GCTTCATCCAGGGAAGGTGCAGGGCCCAGTCAATTTTGGTGACCTTCACTATATTTTCAAGGTCACAGAGACACTTCGAAGATTTCAGCATGTTAACTTGCATGTTAAGATAGTCAGCAAGATATCGCAAAAAAAATATTCAAGGTCAAAGTCAGTCTTTAAAATATGTGTGTGTTTGAACAACTAAAGAACCAGATATCAAGAGAGGTTGATTAGTCATGTTTTTGTTGACATTTAAGTTCATCTTACACTTTCATTACTTTATAAGTTTGATTTGATAATTTGCGGCGGGGGATTATATCACCTTAGTGACAATGCTTGTTTTGTCTTTAATTTGGATTATTCATAGGATCCTATTTTTATGAATTTAAAGGTTAGTGTATTGTTACATCACAACTTCTTCCTGTTTTTTTGTCTTTTATCAGTGGAATACAGGCCATTTCTCCCAAGCCATAACATCAGCTTTTAGCTGTGTAAAATAACATAAATTGAGAAACAGCTAGGGCTTGCTAAAGGATTGATAATCATAAACATCATTGATTGGAAATATTATTAATGATTATTGATGTGAACTTTGTGTCATTGATAATAATGTGCATAAACTAAACTAAACTGTGATGAAATAAAGTGTTACTTTACTGCCACAATACACAAACACTCACTCATCATGAGACTTTAGTTGTTACTGGGAATCCTTGTATATAAGCCCTGGGCTTAATTTCAAATTTGACCCATTTCATCTGAGAAACATTTTTTCTGAAACTTTGTTCTTTTTAACTTTTAATGGAACGAATCTTTTTCCATGAACATAACATCTGAGAAACATAAGTATTATAATGTGAGAGAACTCTTTTAAAATTCAAATTGCTGCGTTGAAATCAGGGTTTCGGTCATTGATCTGCCTTTGGAAACAAAGAGTTCAATATTTTTGGGGACTTCCCCATTTTGGAACATTCACAAGATGTTTTAAGATCACCATAACTTAGAGACTGTGACCCATGACCACGGTCAATCTGTTCTTATCGTGTCCAGTAGTGAGCCCATCTCAGTAGTGAGATCGCTCTAAAAGTAATTTAAAATTTAAGCCCATTGGTTTAAATTAAAAAATCAAAACTCGTTATAAAAATAAGGACGATTCCCGGTAGTTTAACGTTTTTGCACTGTATACAATGTTAAAATGCCTTGGAATTCAGCAAAATAAGAAGTTGAAATAAATGCATGACAAAATGATGATTTTGTCACAAATTGTTGATCATGTTGAAAGGACACTTGTTTCATGTAGTTTAGAACCTGAAATAAATTCCTATGAACTGATCTGAAAATCAAACATTGCTTCCATCATGTAAGTCCCCTTTCTACGTGTCTGGCATGTTTATCAGGGTTATCTCATAAGTTTCTAAAATATTTCATTACCATGGTAACAAAAAGATAACTGATCTTGCTAATGAGAAATATGCCAACTAATGATTGAAACTAATGTGGTGATAGCAACAGTTACCATGGTAACAGGATATGGGAAAAGTCAGGGAATTATCTAGGATCCAGAATAACAGTAAAATATCAGTCTTCGTGTCCAGATGCAATTATCTTTTGGATGGTTCAAAGTGCTGTTCCACATTCAAAATATTCTATTCTTTTCCTTTAAAAGATTTACCCCCCATAAGTTCAGAGGTGATATAACAATTCCTTTTTATATTGCATTCATCATGTTCATATAGAATTTAAGACAAGAAAATTATTATGTGAAAACTTAACATAACATAAATACACATGGTAAAATCTCTTGTTGGTCCTAGAGCTGTGTATGGTGGCCTAAGTGGTGAGATGATATATTCCGATACTAGTTTAATGTGGCGCGTCGATATATCATGAAAGTATTGGCAAGGAACCTGCAAGACAATTATCATCACGATTCAATGGTGGCGATATGATACATATCCCGATACTTTACAATTTTTAAAAACAGAACAGATATGATAGATAAGGTGACTGAAACTTTATTTTGTTATACAGCAGAATGTGTGTTACATTCACACACACTTAAAAAGCTGTTCCATCTAATAAAGTTTCAGCATTTAATGCTGAAGAAAGTACAGCCAAACATATTCAGTATACTTTGATCTAACAGATATAAGTTTGAAACTGAAATTTCCCTTGGGAAGTTGTTTCTGCACCAATGCTTTCACAAACAATTCAATGTAACTTATATCAGAATTTAGAATCACTGAAAAAAACTCTTAAGTATGCTTTCAAAATTTAATGTTCACTTTTTTAACAAAGCTAAGATATCGTTCATAGTTGTAAATAAATAGTGTTATTTGTTAAGCAACTAAAACATATTTCAAATACTTGAAGACAAGAATTCTACAGTTCATAGAGTTTGAAAAATGTTCACACTCTTTCACTTATACACCAACTCCTTTGTTCATGTAACAAAGATAACAGACACAAACAAATTCCTATAAGGCTCAATTTGTTTTTAAAATTCGAAGGATTTCAAAGAGACTCCATTCCTATTCCTAATGCTTTAATACTTACAACTTCAAGCAGTATATAAGTAGTATAGGGATATATCGGCGATACATCGATGTATCATTGGCCCTCGTGATATAAATATCCTGATATATTGCCTAAATGTGTTTTGTATTGATACACTCGTATCGCAAACATCGATACTATCGATGAGTCGTTACACCACTAGTTGGCCCTGTTACTTATGAAGTACAAGTGATCTTTCACCATCTTAGCATTAGTACAGCTATGTACTGTAAAGACATGACAAGCCCTCTCTGCAGTGTTAAAGCCCCAAATGAAGCAAGTCTAGATTTCCTCAGGTTCTCTGGTCTCTCTGGGTCTCATTTTCAATTTAAATGGGTTCATTTGTTACAATCAAAATTATATATATTCAGGTTATAATATTATATATAGTCTAGTACCAGTATAGTTTCCAAATTTTGCTAGCCAGTCGGGGAAGCTATGCCTGAAAGTTCCTAGCCCACAAAATAATTCACGAGCCCGAAATTTGAATGTAGAAACTAAGAAACAGATTACAAAAATAGCTGAGAATAAGATATTGTCAGCATGACACAGGTTTCATCATGATTAAGCTCCTAATATTATGAACATTATTATCAGGCCATAATCTTTCATGATATAAGTGTATAATAACTTAACACGTCTGAGAGAGTGATATATTTACAAAATGACCCCATGAAAAGTCACTAGCCAGTCAGGCCAATGACTATGCAGAGCTCCAGATAAGATTTGTCTTATGTGAGTACTGTACCCACTCTATTTTTTTGGAGTGGGTATTATGAATGTTGAGTGGGTATTTAATTTTCCATTACCCACTGCTTTCAAATATGTGGGTATTTCAGTGATTTTACTCACCTAACTTTATGTCATTGAGTTTGATTACTAAGCAGGTATGTACTGCCTTATGTCATACCTAAGCAAGACCAACTTAAATATTATGGAAATGATTTCATAAATAAATCATTCATTTACAATCAAGTCGACCATGCTCGCATGTTCATAATGTCTGTAACTTAAACAACAGTTCAAAATATCACTGAAATGTGTCACCATCATCGTAACCATTGTTAATTTAAGCTGCTGAGTGACCAAACGTAAATTAAATCATCTTGACAAAATAATAAAAACAAAGTGAGTATCGCTCAGCCTCACGACGGATTTCAGATTTATTGCTCTGGCACTTTACATGATTCCTTGTGTTATCAGTTAGGTAAATATGAGAAGTTATAGTCCGTGTATGGTGAGTTGGTGTGACTGCTGGATTTTGGCACTTTAGCAGGCCGAGGGATGTATTCACCGAACAGTCTGCCCTTTCGTCTTCGTTTCCTCAGCCAGTGACGGATAGAGGAATGAGGGTCAAATGAACTCAGAGGTGGCCTAGCATACTTATTTTGAGGAGGACATCCAATATTTTGGAACCAAGAAGAGCCCTTAACCTTAGTCTTCAGACGGTTTTGATAACAACAATGGAATTCGTGAGACGAGCGATTTGATGGACGATATTTTTAACCAGACCAATGAGCGATCGCGTGGCAAAATCTGTAAGCTGCATTCGCGAGATTGCTCTTAGAAAGTGCTAACATAACCTGTCAACACGAACGATAGCAATTCATGTCTTTTGCATTACGCACGCGATTTTTTTAAAATATATTACGTATTCATATGTTTAAACCTTTTGCGTATCTAACATTTTTCAATGCGTAATTGGTATGCTACAATTATTTTTCAATATGTATTTGGACATTTTGTATGCATATTTTACCCAGATACGCAGATTATCTGTGCCTCTGACTATGGAAATTTACTGGCCCTGATAAAATATAATGAAATGGAGCCCTGATAAAATATAATGAAACGGAGCCCTGATAAAATATAATGAAATGGAACCCAGAGACTTTCTTCATTTTCAGAAACTAAACAAATCTGCAGAGGGATAATTTCTTGGAATTTCACAACACTTGCAAAGATTCTTATCACCCATTACTGACCTAATGCTGAAAGTGTGTGTCACAGGAATATATTGCCCCCAACACCTCCCCTTCCATCAGAGGTGTCGATTGGAAATAACCCATTTCCCAACGTCCCAGTCTAGTGTTTTTTTCTGTCGGGTAAGCAAATTTGTATATCACACTGTACCAGTGTCCAGTTGACTTTCCAATGTTAATTATGTTGTTTATTTAAAAAATCAACAAGAAAATCGGCCGATACAGTGGAAAAATTATCATGGCAAGTGATTTTACATGTGCCTCTGTACCGGAGTACACTAGCAATTTTAAAGTTATTCCACCCCTGGGTGTGGGCAGTTTGGGGAGCAGTACATATCAAGTGTCTCCAGACCATGAAATTGTGGAAATCTAGACTTGCCACATATTCTTGACTTGAATGGGCTATCTTGGATAAATTTGTTTCAGGGTCTGTATGACACACTATGACTTATTACGATAACATTGATGGCTTGTTTGCAGATTCAAGATGGCCCAGAAGTGCCCTGTATGCAGCAAGTCTGTGTACTTTGCAGAGGAGCTGAAAGCAATTGGGAAGACATTCCATAAACTGTGTTTGAAATGCAGTAAGTAAATTAGAGAGATGTTAATCTTTTGTAGGCAGTCATACACATTCACTCAAGAGTGATGATTGAACATAGTGTAGATAGCATTGGCAATGAAATGCTGTGCAGAGGCAATCCAATGGTCATTTTGATACAGGTTTTTAAATCTTTTTGCCGTGATTAATATTCTTTTGTTACAAAACATGATATTATAGTCTTGTGGATATTTCTGAAAGCCATGGCATCTACACCTAAAAGGTGTACTATCAAGGGTGTGTTTGATTTCTTATTGGCTTTTCATTTGTACAAACTGAAATATCAAAATGGAGGTTGATACGAAACAAAGCCAAATCATTTTAGAAAGCTGACATCTGATTGGCTCATTATTTTTAGTGATGGTCAAATTTTGTTCAGGGTTCACTTGGCCAAAGCTCTGTAGAGAGATCCTCATATGTTCACTAGGCTATTTATCAAACTGGAGTAGCATCATGTTGATGGTAAGGAGACTGAATGGGGATATATTCCTTTCCCTGTGTCAGTGTATATTTGTGCTGCATTTTGTATTTGTGATATTCACTTTGGGTAATGCTACCATGATGTCAAATGATTCTTGCTGTGAATGGGTAAAATACCGGTAAACCTTTTCACCATGTTCACCTTGACAGAGAATCCAAGAATTACATTTGTTAGAAATTTTTCCGTGACTGTTTCAGGCCAGTGCAACAAACTACTGGACAGTACGTCAGTGAATGACCATGACGGCAGCTTGTTCTGTCGATCCTGCTACAGCAAGAACTTTGGTCCAAAGGGGTATGGCTTTGCTGCCGGGGGAGCAGGACTGTCTTCAGATTACGGAAAGAGCAGTCAAGCTCGGAGGTAAACTTGACCTTGAAAATAATAATGATAAATATAGTTGCGGGCAACGATGAGGTCTCCTTGGCTTTACTTTCTACCTATCTATTGTATCTGAGGGCTAGATATCATCGTCCAAAACGGAGCCAGAACACATGTTTTGACAGGCGAGCGGATCTTCCAAATACAGCCGGGGTCACGGGGGTCATGGACCTTTTAAGTAGTTCCCGGAGAAGAAATAGTTCCCTCTTTAAAAGGCTGTATCTCAGTTGATCTTGGGTCTACGTTCAAAACAATTAGTGTTCTGGAATCACCAGGACATCATCTACCATACTGGCACTTTTTGTGCAGAATTTGCACATTTTGGGAGCAAACTACTCAGAAAAACTGAAAACAAAAATAACTGCCAAACGGTACGTTTTAGCGACTTGACCCAGGCGACAGGCAAAATTGTTGGGTATTCGATTGTGCATCTGTACAAGAAATTTGGAAGTGTCGGAACAATTAGTTCTTGAGATATTTTCTGTCAAACGTTGAAATTTTCGAATTAATTTTGAATTATCGCCCCTTTGCTATTGGGCCAAGAGCCTAGAGATTTTTAAGGGGAATATCTACACCTCGGTGCGCATCTGTGTAAGTGATTCGGAGCATTGGTTTAGGAGTTAGGTTTGGTACAAAAATCGGCGGAATAATAAATAATAATAATAATCCGAACGATTACAATAGGTCTCCTGCCTAGAGGCAAGGAGCCCTAATAATTGACCACTTGTATAGCCCTGAACTCCAAGACACAGGGACATGCTCTAAGCACATAGAACATGACGGACATTATTACTCCGGATAACCCAAGCTGCGTGCGAGCCGCAACAAGGGTAATGGTCATATGACTTATCCCACCAGGTACTCATTTTCTGCTGGGTGAAGAGAGGAAATTTTGAACAAACTCACTTACCTGAGGTGTAACCACATAGGTGCTTCGTTGTGGGGCAGGACAGAATTCCTAGAAACTCAAGAGCCTAGCTGTCAAACATGGTCACTCATCCAAGGACTCTCTGTGACCAACCTGGCTTTGGGAAATTACTGTATTTCATAGAACAATTTTGCCTAGTTGTGAGATCACTTGATGCACATGATAGAAGACTTATTTAATACAGGCAATTTACACTAGCTAAACTGATGCAATGCATGGAAATTGTTGCTAACATTGGGTGCAAGCTGACAGTAAAGGTTACCTGTCCTGGCAATATTTTACTTGCATTGGTGTAGCCTGGATATAGCGAAATCAATTCCAGGGTTCGAATTCCCAGGCTGTACACATATTTCGGCCACTACACACATATAGATAGAATCAATATCGATAAATTTCATGACTTCACACTGTCATTAACACCTGTGAAGATCCAGGTTAGAATTAGTCTTCAGTAACCTATGCTCGTCGTAAGAGGCAACTAACGGGATCAGGTGGTTAGGCTGATTACCGCCTCATTTTCCATTGACTGCTAGTTTACAGTAACATCGGTAAAAATGTGTGAATTTAAATGGCTTCCGTATTTTACCCCATTCCATGTGCTGCACAACTTCTGCTTACCTCGTTCATGAGGGTCCGTATAACCTTAGTGTTGATTATATATATTTTACATAAAAACTGTGATTAAAATTACACAATGCTAGGTTATATTTCTTTGGGTTAAATAATAGTACCTGTATTATATTTTACTGACGACTGCGTCAGAATTCGTCCCGTTATATTATTGTGCATGTTTGAACTTGTTCACTGCTGATTGCCATTTCCGGCTCAAATACACATGGTAATCTTAATCTTAATTAATTTATAGAGCAAAAACTGTAATTAAACTTACACAATGCTAGGATATATTTCTTTGGGTTAAATAATAGTATTCTGTATTACATTTTACTGATGACTGCATCAGAATTCGTCCCGTTATATTATTGTGCATGTTTTAACTTGATCGCCGGGAAACGTGCACAGCTGATTGCTATTTCCGGCTCAGATACACATGGTAATCTTAATCCCTGCAAATAATACAATGCCCACCAAAAACAACTTAGAACTTAAAAGGTAAATAATCTTGTCTAGTGATGTTTAATTGCAAATTTGACGTCTCTACTGACAATGTCGTCTTCTGTTGTTTGTTCACGCGGAGTGATACGATGTTGTTTTCTTACCCCTGGAAAAAAGTTTGACGAAAGCGTAACCCATGGATAAGACAACCACCTTCTACAGACTGCTTTTAATGGTCCTCAAAATTTAGCATATAGACGGTCATATACGGTAATAATGTAGTGAATATAATTGTTTTAAAAAAACTCATTTGGACTTTGTACATAAAATGTGTATGAATGCAGACTTGGTCTTGTCGCGATATGCAGATGTGACATAAAACTAAACTTAACATAACTCAGCTGTTTATCAGCCTGAACCAGTTCCTTTAATGTCTAGTGTTGGTGGGTCTGCTGCATCAACTAATGGGGGCCGGCCCAGGTTTGGTGCAACTGACCAGTGTCCCCGATGTAAGCAAGCAGTTTACTTCGCTGAAGAGGCAAGAGCACTGGGGAAGAAGTTCCACAAGAAATGTCTCGTCTGCAGTAAGTAGTACTTGAACAACACAAATATTGGTGGATATCAAATATATCAACATGAGTGTTTAAAAGTATAAACATGATCAAACTTCTGAAGCTTGCCGCAGACTTTTAAGACTTAATCAGCAAAGGACTGGCAGTTGACACAGATCTTAGGAATCGGTAATCATTACCTAGATATTAACATATAAATATCTGAGAAGGCACTTTCATTGACAATGAAAAGTAGTGTAGTGTTTTCAGCTTGGAAAACATGACCGGCAGATTGCATTCTGTCTAGAACATAAGTCTGTTATGGTAATTTTAACTATATTTCATCTCAGTAGGTTTTATAAGATACCCATATCATTATTCATATTGATAATTGTAAATAATATTCCCATTTTTATGATGTTTCATTATCAATCTTTTTAGTCAGGCTATCCAGTGTCTTGAATGCAAGAGGAACAGCTAACCAGCTTTGTTGGCAGAGAGATATTATATTATTGTGATGCCTTGGTAACTGATGATGTAACAATGGCCTGCAAAGCATTGTGATACAATTTAATGCAATCATTATCTGAGGATATTGTTTGATCTCATCAAAGTGATGTCATCTGATAACTACTATTGGATGATTAACTTTGTTGTGATATGATAATTATCCTGTCAGTTAAGTCATGATTTGATACAGAATTCTATGCATGAAAACCTGTTTATTAATGTAAGGAAACATTTGTCATAAAAAGAAATGAATAATAGCCCATTTAATCATGTAACTTATCCAATGTCATGTTATTGTACATTGTCCTGTTCCAGCGGTTAAACAATCTGTTTATGCTCAGTAGGACATAGGATGCATGTCTGTTGATTGGTGTGTTTTATGCAATTATGGGAGTCACTGTCTTAAAAACATTTTATATCACTTGGACAGCGACTTCTATTAAGGAATATAGACATCTTGATTTACAATATTTCTCCCTAGATTAGCACCTTTCGTTGACTGAAAATCACCAATCAACCACTTGTTGAGTTTTGCACCAGAACACAGAAGATATTATGAAGCTATTCCTTAGTATCTGTTCCAGTGTGTGGGGTAGCCTAGTGGTTAAAGCGTTGGCTCGCCACACCGACAGCCCAAGTTTGATTCCAATGTGTGAAGCCCATTTCTGGTGTCACCCCTGCCATGATGTTGCTGGAATATTGCTGGAATATTGCTAAGAGAGGCTTAAAACCATACTCACTCACTATAATAATAAATGTGAATTTATAACGCTCCTTTTTCAAGTACAAGGCATATGCTCAAAGTGCTAACACAGTAGATGGATAAAATGCATATATACAATGAGGGATTTGTTTCTAGTCAAAATACAATGAAAACAGATGAGTCTTGAGCAGATGTTTGAAGGAATTCAAGTCAACTACTGAATTGAAGGTCATAGGGAGAGAGTTCCAAATTAGAGGGGCAGAACAAGCAAAGGATTTCCTTCCAAAAGTTTGCAGTTTGAAACGTTTGTGTTTGTTGCAGACACCTGCAATAAGTCCTTGGACAGCACCACTCTGACCAACCATGAAGATGAAATATACTGCAAGTCGTGTTATGGGAAAAAATTTGGTCCTCGGGGATATGGCTTTGCAGGAGGAAGTTCCGGCCTCAGTATGGATACTGGCAAAATAGGGGAGGTAACCAAGGAGTAAGTTTGATTGTTAATTAGTACCAGTTGGTACAACATGTGATGTGTAGATAAGTAGCTCTCTTACAGGTCATCTTCGTCATACCCCAATGTCAGGCCATGGCTGCTGGGAACTAATTTACATAAGTTCATTCAGAACTGACTTTCTAATCATTAAATTAAAATAATTTCAAACTTTAAGAAAACCTTCACTGTCTTTTGTCTAAAACATAAGTGACATTTTGTATAAACTGGAAAGAAAACTAAGTGGTTATCTTGGAATTATTTCCAAAGAATAGACATTGTAAGCATTTATCATTGCAGATATGACAGTATAAACTATGTATTGGATACAGTGAAAGTAAAGATACAGGCTAGACTAACTGTGAAGATTATAAGCTGTGCTTGACATAATAGAGTATGACTTCAGTATATCATTTAAAATGTGGTCATTTAAGGCACAGTAATGGTGTGGTCGCTAGATATGTTGTGCTGATTCTTGCTGTAGTGGGGGTGGTGGGGTAGCCTAGTGCTTAAAGCGTTCGCTCATCATGCCGAAGACCCGGGTGCAAGTCCCACTCATGGGTACAATGTGTTAAGCCCATTTCTGGTGTCCCCAATCGTGGTATTGCTGGAATATTGCTAAAAGTGGAGTAAAACTAAACTCACTCACTCACTCTCGGTGTAGTAGGATAGAAACAAAAGTAATAATAACAGCAACATTTTCAGAAATTCTGACAGTGCCATGTAAGGTTAATGGGTGGAGGCTAACAGACTTACATGTACTGTTTATGTGTATATTACTTTGAGATTGTAGACAATGTTCCTATCCTGTAGTTTTCTCTCATTTCAGTAATGTCTCCTCCTTAGCAAAAGCCCAAGCTGTCTCCATGGCAACAAATGGTGATGGTCCAAAGATTGGTGGTGCTGATGCCTGTCCTCGCTGTAACAAACCAGTGTATTTTGCGGAGGAGAAGCGTGCACTGGGAAAGAAGTATCACAAGCTCTGCTTGTGTTGTAGTAAGTTGACAGGAGTCTAGACATAGTAGATATGTGTGGGTTTAAGGCAACATTCAGCTATTCTTTATGGTTTTTGTGGGTTATGGCCATTTAATGGAATTTTTAAATGATTTTTTTGTACCATGTTTATATCTTATGTGTTACTCTCACACTCGCTTAATCAGTCACACGCTTATATTACTCACACATGCGAACCCATAAGGATTACATCACTCTCTCACACCATCCATCACTGAAGACATTGTTGAGGTCAGTTCACTCACACACTGTCAAGGGGGCGGTGGGGTAGTCTAGTGGTTAAAGCGTTGGCTCATCAGGCCAAAGCCCGGGTTCGATTCCCCACATTGGTACAATATGTGAAGCCCATTTCTGGTGTCCTCTGCCATGATATTATTGGAATATTGCTAAAAGCACCGTAGAACCAATACTCACTCACACTATCAAGCATCAGGTAAACAGGTGCCAACATCATTAATGTCTTAACATCATCCATGATGACTGTGTTCCATTTCAGCGGAGTGTAAGAAGCAGTTGGACAGCACCACCCTCACCAACCATGATGACCACATCTACTGCAAGTCCTGCTATGGCCGACTGTTTGGTCCCCGGGGCTACGGGTTCGCCCAGGGTGGGGCAGGGTTGTCCATGGACACTGGGAAGTCTGGTGAGGTCAGCCGAGAGTAAGTAGTACAGCTTTCCATACAGACTTATCATTCAGTTGGACCTTTTCATATTCTTAGATGACTTGAGATTTTCATTGATAAAGAAATATGTTTAAGTCAGCCCCTCAAAGATCATCTTTAGTTGCAATATATTGCATTGCTGTGTTAAAACGCCTCTAAAATAATAATTATCCCCCGCCGCGCGTTTAGCGCAAAGCGGGGGATATAGTATTAGGCTCTGTCCGTACGAATTGGAATATCTTAAGAACCGTTCACTAGATTCTTTTCATATTTGGTACCTAGTTTCATCACAGTATAAGAAAGGTCCAAGTCAGGTTTGGTGACCTTGACCTTCATTTCAAGGTCACAAGGGGACTTCAACATTTTACCTGCATGTTAAGCTATATCAAGAACTGTTAACTGGATTTTCTTCATATTTAACACCAAGTTTTAACTAGGGAAGGCGCAGGGCCCAGTCAATTTTGGTGACTTTCACTTAATCTTCAAGGTCACAGAGACACTTTGAAGATTTCAGCATATTAACCTACATGTTATGCTTGTCAGCTAGATACTTCTAGACCCATTCACTGGAGTTTCTTCATATTTGATAACAAGCTTCATCCAGGGAATGCGCAGGGCCCAGTCGATTTTGGTGACCTTCACTTAATTTTCAAGGTCACAGAGACACTTTGAAGATTTCAGCATGTTAAATTGCATGTTAAGATAGTCAGCAAGATGTTGCAAAAAATATTCACTGGATTTTCTTCATATTTGACACCAAGCTTCATCTAGGGAAGACCCAGGGCCAGTCAATTTTGGTGACCTTCACATAATTTTTAGGGTCATGACGACACTTTGAAGATTTCAGCATGTTAACCTGAATTGTCAGCAAGATATTTTAAGAACGGTTCACTGGATTTTCTTCATAGACTTTTAAGACTTCTCTTGAATGTTTTTCAATAAGCAATTTCTTTAGTACTAGTTTTGCATATTTCATACACTATGACATTCATGTCAAGGTCAAAGTCAGTCTTGAAAATATGTGTGTGTTTGAACAACTAAAGAGCCAGATATCAAGAGAGGTTGATTAGTCATGTTTTTGTCGACATTTAACTTCAACTTAAACTTTCATTACTTTATAAGTTTGATTTGATAATTTGCGGCGGGGGATTATGTCACCTTAGAGACAATGCTTGTTTTAGAAATTCAATTTTTATGTGTAATGACAATATTTTCCCAATGTGCTTGACCATGTCACTAGAATCTTAAATCCATGGTGCACGCTCAAGCTCAGTTTGGTTACATGTCAGACCTGTGATCAGTCTAAGTAAACTTGGGCTCAGTATTATTCGTTACACTGCTATACTGAGTCTAACAAAACTCTTGTGGAAGGTCGCGTCAGATAACCTTTTCAAATGACCAATCAGAACACAGCTTACCAAATCACAAAAGTTGACATTCGCCCATACCTATTGAACTTTTACCTCCAAAACGTTTGTACTAAACGATTTTTCTGTACGATCGGTTCCTAGTGAGGCACGTCACAGCAGTGAGTAAACAGTCGCTGAAAATAGCATTTTGTCAGTATTCAAGCATGTCAGCTTGCTGAATTATTAGCTAATGATAGCCATGTCACCAGAAACCCCAAAGCGTATATACTGCAGGGCAAATATCTGTGTTTTATGCAATTTTCATTTGTTGGGAGATCAGTGTTGGGGAACGGGGAAGAGAAAATCCATTTTGTAAGTCCCGCCGAACCCTAAATAGTAGCTGCTGTCTGATTGGTTAAATCTGTTTGGCCGTCTCGCGTTTGATTGGACGGTCAAAGGTCGCTCAAAGGTTACCTGACGCAATCTTCCACAAGGTTTTGTTAGACTCAGTATAGCAGTGTAACGAATAATATTGAGTCTAAGTTTACTTACACTGGACCTGTGGTCCATCACAGTATATTTGGTGTGGTTGCTGTCTGTATTATGCTTTATGTTTGCTTTGGAGATAGTCCTGTACTGAGCCAGTACTTTTCTTCCACCAGCAATGTGTCATCCTATGGCAAGGCACAGGTGATGATGGACAACAAGGGAGATAATGCTGGTGGCAGGAAGTTCGGTGGAGCTGATTCCTGTCCCCGATGCGGGAAAACTGTTTACTTTGCTGAGAAAGTAGTTGGAGGAGGCCGGGTAGGATGCTTGTTTAACCTTTTGACATGTCTGCCAAGATGTTGAGATTGGGTGCTTGTTGTGTTATCTATCAGCCTGCCAATTTGCCTAACATACATGTGTTCACTGTTGACAAAATATATTACAATTGGTAAAAGTGAATTATGATGTTGGCAAATCATTTGTACAATGGACATGCGATTTATGATTTGGAAATGAATGATAAATTGTACTCCTGTAAAGATACAGGTTTGTAGTGATCTTCAGCAACTCATGCTTGTCGCAAGAGGCGTCTGAGGAAATTAGGTAGTTGGACTAGCAGACTTGGTTGTCGGGTCATCATTTAAAAATTGCATGGATCGATGCTCATAACATGAATCATGGGTTGTCTTGTCCTTGATTATTTGCAGACCACTCATTTACCTGGAATTTTGCATAAGACAAGAAACAAACAATTTACTATGGAGGTATATGTGTATGTTATTATTGTGGTACATTGTCAGGGGTGGTGGGGTAGCCTAGTGGTTAAGGCGTTCGCTCATTATGCGGAAGACCCAGGTTTGATTCTTCACATGGGTACAATGTGTGAAGCCCATTTCTGGTGTCCCCTGATATGATATTGCTGGAATATTGCTAAAAGTGGCGTAAAACTAAATTCACTCACTCACTGGTACATTGTCTAATTTGCAAATAGTGACATTCCAACAATCTTGCTGTTTCAGTCGTGGCATAAGATGTGTTTCCGCTGCGAGGATTGTAACAAGGCCTTGGAGTCCACCACACTTTGTGAGGCTGGAGACAAGATTGTCTGTAAATGTGAGTTGAAACACCAAATCAAACCCCTTCTCCACCAGAGAAAGTTGTTCATTGATGTTTATGACAACCCATCCCCTACCCCCACTCATATTTTTCATCAGTGTATCACCTCTATACTATTTACCAATCTATTTGACCAGGGTGACCACCCTGTTGTTCACTGGTCTGTATGACCTCCATACTATTTGCACATCTATATGATCTGCATACTATTTACCAATCTATGTGACCATGGTGACCATTATGATGTTTACAAGTCTGTATGTATATGATCTGCATGACCTCCATCTTGTTCACCCATCTATATGATCTGCATACTATTTACCCATCTATTTGACCATGGTGAACACCCTGTTGTTCACAGGTCTGTATGACCTCCATCTTGTTCACCCATCTATATGATCTGCATACTATTTACCCATCTATTTGACCATGGTGAACACCCTGTTGTTCACAGGTCTGTATGACCTCCATCTTGTTCACCCATCTATATGATCTGCATACTATTTACCCATCTATTTGACCATGGTGAACACCCTGTTGTTCACAGGTCTGTATGACCTCCATCTTGTTCACCCATCTATATGATCTGCATACTATTTACCCATCTATTTGACCATGGTGAACACCCTGTTGTTCACAGGTCTGTATGACCTCCATCTTGTTCATCCATCTATATGATCTGCATACTGTTTATATGATCTGCATACTGCATTGTGAATTGTCATGAGATGATACAGGGTTTTACCTCCACTCACAAATATGGAGGTCCCAGGGACCCCAAATTACTAGGGTCCTTGCATGCAATATGAAGGTCCTGTGAACTAATGGTGTAGAGAATTGTACGTTTTGATCATTCTTAAGAGCTTGCAATGAATTATTGATCATATGGACTGGCCTTTGAAATGATGAACTGTTATCCTCTCTACAGCCTGCTATGGAAAAACCTATGGCCCCAAAGGATTTGGATTCGGAGCTCTCAACACCACTGCTTAAGCTGCTGTGTCTTGGGTCTCCAACCAGTGTTGAGGAGCTGTGTCTTACTCCTGAAGAACACCTGTATCTGATTACTGTAATGTGGAGCACCAGTATCTGATAACTGCATTATACGGACATTTTATGATAGCTGGAAACATGTGCTTTCACTGTTGAGAATATTTACTCTTCACTACTGGCACCAACTAAATGGATTTTTTGTTGTTAAGTTTAACACACTTCACCAATCAACAGCTACATTCAAATTTGTTTAAAGAAATTCTTCATGTGGTTGATATTAAGTCATGGTAGCAAAATTGTTTTGAATCACCAGTCATCACTTAGCACAACTTTTTAAACTAAGTGAGCTCCAGAGGAAGTCAGGTTGTCTTAAGGCAACCCAACTCACGAGTTATGTCTCTTGGACATGACAGGATCTTAAGATTGTGGGTTTGAATCCTGGAATATGCCCAACTTATGACCTTTGATTCTGTGCACAGTAGGGCCTGTAAGTCTTGCGAGGCGCTACTTCCGGTACTCAGCTGGTTCCTGGCTGCCTTTGCTCTCGCCAACTTGGTACTAAGCTGGATCCTGGCTCCCTTTGCTCTCACCAACTTGGGCCCAGCTTACTTCCGGTACCAGCGTATATTCAAGAACCAGTCCTGGTTCAAAATTGCACGACCGCCAAATATGACTTTTCCAGACCAGGCCAAGTGTACAACCATGCTTGGCCGTCACAGCTGTTGACAGTCGTATTAGTTGGCTAATTTTTTTGGATGGTTAAATCGGAAATTTGTTATACCTTCAAGGATTATCCATTCCTTGCTGTCAACTGACAACCGTGAGACCATTCGAAACTGTATGAAACATTGTTTGTCGACGGAAGTACTAAGGTCTCCCGAAGTGCCGTGACCTACTTACAGGCCCTGTTTCACCAAGATATATGTCTGTGAGATGTAACACATTCACTCAAACTTGATGAAGCAGTGCGTGGATCATGAAGACATATTCAATAATTTGATTCTTTGTGAGCATTGTCAAACACTGGGACTAAAAATATTTAACATGATAACATAACTTGCAAATTCAGTGAAATGTGTCCCTGAGATAATATCAAATATGATTTTGCTACAGTGGTTCAACATCAAATCCTACCATACATATATGTAGAGCAACAATTTTACAATTAGTTATGACAAAGGACTGTTGAAAACATATCATGTTTACTGAAAGATGGAGGAACTGCTGATTGTTCACAAACTTTTGATTTGTTGTATAATACTGCACTTGGCAATATTCCAGCTATGTGACAGTGGCTTGCACATGATTGAGTCAGGACCAAAAAGTCCAGTGATCAATATTGTGAGCAAATTCCAGGCTTGGGACCAATTCCAACCCAGAATCCCAATGGGTATTTCAAAACACTGGTAACTTTGTGATAACAATGAAGTTGGTGCCGTAAGCCAGGTATTGTACTTTCTGGAAAGAACTGATTGATTGTTATCAGTTATTGATCAGGTTATAAATTTTAGTCTTTATCAAACGAACCTGGCAATGGTAGTGAATATTGATGATGTTGATTTTCCTGATTGATGTTTGAACTGGTAGAAAATATGTTTACCATTTTTTTAACAACCCAAAAAATCTCCTTATCGAAAGCTAAGTCTTTCTCAAAAAACCTAGCAAGGTAATGAATATCAGTGACCGACATTGATTTTTCTGTCCATGTTTACCTTTTTATTGACATCCCTTATATGCTCTTATGACTAGCCTATCTCTAGTGCTATCACTCAAAGAATTTAGACATTGCCAGTAAGGCATTTGCTGGTAACATTTATTTATTTGATGGACCGTGACATGTATATCTCAGTTAATCAATATCGTAGGGCAACTATAGTCAGCACAAATACTCATGTTATTTTATGGTTTGTAAAACTTTATCTGTACTGTAAGAGCAGTGGTATATAGATATATATTACTTGTATGTTGTGTACTGTCATTCCGAGGGTTTTCTGTATGTATTTGCAAAACACAGTGAAGATGCTGTGGTCTTATTACTCAGATTTGTATTTGACTTTCAAATGTTTCTTGGTTCATGTTCTTCATGAAGAGTTTGTAAGTAAAATAATACCCATCTGAATGATGATTTTATTTAATGAACATTGTCAGATGAGTTTGTAAGTAAAAATATTGCCGAGCTGAATGGTGATTTTATGTAAAGAACATTGTCAGATGATAAAATTGAGAATTCAACTGTTTAGAAAATACTTACATGATTGGTTAATTGTGTTATTTTCTAAAAATAATATCAGCTTCAAAGTCTGGAGCAAAGTATTTTCTTATTCATTTGAGCAGATTAGCAATAGCAAAATTCTACTTTTCACTCATCAAATTTGGCATCCATGTTTTAAAGATGATGAAATACATGGACATACAAACATGATAAATTAGCAGTTAAACAATAAAAGTCAGTTAATGCTACTTTATCCTCCATAGATGTCAAAATTTAGAATTGATCAAAATGTCACGGTCATGACCTTGATGTTAACCTGATGACATAATATTACATGTCTTTTAGTAAATACCTGTATTCAGTATTTGTTGAATGGGTATATCTTTGTGTATATTTTATTTTAATCAAGTCAGTTATTCCAAAGGAATACCCTTCCATAATATTCAATATATATTTGTGAAATACTTCAGACAAATTTCGTCCACCTGTATCTTGAGTCATTTATGGTGCTTCAGTTCTTGTTGAATGTATCCTAGTTTTATTCTAGTCGCTTCTTGTTCGTGCTTTTCTTATGTGAGACCTTTGTACAAATATGTGCTTATATTCCCAGTGCTTGATAATCCCATTGTCAAATCTTTTACTGATACAACCTTTCTCTATGTAAAGATCTGGGTGCACCTACATTGGAGAATGTTTCAGGTGAATGCTGTTTTGAACCTTGACAACCCAATCAAAATGAAGAATGCAGGTGTGCCACAGTTAACCATGTGACAGTTTTTCAAATAATTGTTCAGCTTTATTTCTTTTCTCTTCATTCTTAAATGCTTTATCTTTACAAGCCATGACACACAACACAAATATACTCCCAGTAGGACATCACTATTGCTCAGAAATTACTGAGTGTATGATTTATCCAAAACATTGTAATAAGCTTTATTTTTGCTTTCAGAACTCTCTAATCATATTTGTTTTTAAAATACTTAAATCTTATATGCTTTTCTCTATACATGTACATCACTCACTCATACTAAGAATTTAGAAGCCTCAACACTCATTGGCTGATTAGAATGTTCATCTGATGCGATCTCCAATGAGTGTTTTCTTTGTATTCACACAGACATTGTATTGGAGTAAAGATCTGTTATGGGATTCAATTTATTCAGTGCTCCCTCCTGACTTACATATTCAGGTAAGTACTTTCACAAGCTGTTCATGTATTGCAGGCATTCTATTGAGGCACTAATGATTGCTTGATGATAATGTTTTGTCATCCGGAGATGTCTAAGGATGTCTGTCTTGTATTGATACAAGTCGTGACTCTTCAGTCATAAAAGAATATGCATTGTGTTGCTACATCTGTGCCAGTTTACCATATGGTTTGGCTAAAACCAGGTTCTGTGCTTTTGGACAGTTTGTGTTTAATTTGCTTGAATTGTCAGTATAGACATGTGATGGTATTATGCAAACAGATATAACTCATAACTCTTGAAAGGTAGTTAGGTATGCTAGGGTTGTAATTATTATGTTTGCAGATTGTTAGCAAATCCCTTACAAAATTAACATTAACCATGGTAAGTGATACAAAATAGGAACATGAATTTATATGGGAAGGTATATTATGTACTGTATCATCAGGTGAAAATTGCTATCATGATATATACCTGGATTTATGCATAGTTTAGAACAAATTTAGCCAAGTTGGAAAACAATATTGACACTTTCCACAATTTGAATTTCTTTTTAATGTAATATTTTCCTTAGATTTTGCAATATATATGCATTAATGCCATTCCGTGCTGTTGAATGGAAAATGTTTAACTTTGTGCATTGATATTCACCCCTTTTATGTATGAGTAGTATATATATCGATTTCAAAGTCTGGTCTATTCTGAGGTACATGTAGAGTGCATTGATCAATTTGTATCTTTCAGAAGTTGCTGCTTTGTGTTATATATAAGAATTCAGAATTTGAAAATCCATATCCCTTGTCACCATAGTAAAGATCTGTATTAAAGAACTGATCAACTCTTTTCTGCCAATTTTGGGGAGTTCATCTTGACCTCATGACTGCTTTCACAGTGTTTCTTTACATTTCATGGAGAATATTACATTTGAATGGGTTTGTAGACTTTGAATAAGATTATGGACATTAGAAAATGAGCATCATTTTTGTGATTTTTACAGTACTTTGCAAATTTGATTTGTATTTTATTGTTAAAGGCTGTGGGTTTGTTAGGTCCTTTTCTTTGGTAAGTAGTATGTTAAGATAACCAAAGAAAAGACAACATGCTGTATTATGTTAAAGTTTTAGTTTGTCTTGTATGTTAAGAAAGAGAAGAGTGTGGAAAAAGTGACAATGATCGTTCAGTAACTATGCACAATATTGTGATGTCATGTCCCTGCCAAATACTTTCATGGAGTTATTTTTATATAACATGGGCAACTGTAGTTCCGTTATCATATAAACTAAATAATATGTTCTTGCATTAATATAATTAAAGGTTGGAGTTTATTATGTAGTTCAGTGTTATAATGCCCATTCTGAGTTGACACCACTCTTGGTCAAGAGTTAAATACTTGATTCAAATGAGATTCAGCAATATCTAGTTAGGCCATGTAAAAGTGCTTTTATGTTCGTCCAAAAAGCCAAAGCTATTGTTTTGTATGGAATTTGTCTTTATGAATATTTTGTTCTTAAAATACTATCTATGTGTGACATTTGACAACAACTATCATAGGAATCCACCATGCACTTCTTTGTATTAGGTGATAGACAAGTCAGCATCTTCACACCACACTTGATTACAGTCACCGTAACTATAGCTCTTGTATTGCTGACATCACCTTTGCATATTGGGTTGAAACCCGTCCTTTTAGCTAGATTATTAAATGCTATGTCTGTAATGACTTGCCTTTGTACCCAGCATCCGCTGGTCATTGTCCTTCAGTCCGATTTGCCTGGCTCAGTTGGTCTTTCCTGGTCGTGATTGTGTACATGTATATTTCACAGCCGAATGCATCGCTGCATGCATTTAAATAAGTTAAAGAGGGGATTGCTTAATAATGTTAGTGTTCTTATTCCATGTACTAAAAATGTATTTTTTGGAATAAGAAATAATTTGAATACTCAATTTTATGGAATTGGTATTTACACATTCATGAATCAGTTCTATAGGGTTTACAGCTCTCTTCCAGGTATCCAAAGGCTAAAAATCATAGCTTAATTTTAAGATCTGAATACCAACCTTTATTTGAATTACTTACTTCCCAAATCTTACTCTATTTTTCTTCGAACATGAACATAAAATGAGAATTCCAGATCAAAAACAAGAACTTCTACTGGATTTGAAAAACAAAATGGCAACACCTCAAAATAATAACTGGAGATAGTGGTATTTGTATATGTATTTGCTAAACTTTTCTGTGGTTAATAATAAGTTAACTGTAGGCTTTTACTGAAGAACTACAGTGCAGCATATGTGGTCTCAGGCCACTGCATACACTCTGCGAAAACTTTCTCAGACAGAATCAATCAATCAATCTTCATTTTATATTGAAGAGGCCACAGGCCTATAGTTCATAAATCATACATACATTTATATTTGCCCGAGTAGTAACATTTACATTTTTCAAATATTATTTTTTCTTAGTAATGTTGCAGATTATGTCTCAGACAGAAGTACATGTAATTAGAATATATATATATAGCATCCTCCACTTTGTATCAATTAAGTATCTACAGTAAACTATGGTTTTACATAACTCAAAGGGACCATTCATTTTAGTTTACTGTATGTTTCCACTCTGATCAGACATGTCTTTGCTGGGTTGTTTGTGACAAATTTGTGAGCCCTAATTTATGGCTACGGGGGAATGATGGTGATATTTATGGAGAAGCATGTACAATGTGAATGGACCCCCCCCCCTAAAATTTATGTACAAAATAAGTGAACCCCCTGCATGTCATGTACAAAATCAATGACCCCCCTCCCTTTCCCATAATTTCTAAGCATAATTTTAAACATAATTTTATGTACAAAATTGCTGACCCCCCTAGTAATGCGTGTGTCCAAAATAGATGACCCCCTAGCTCCCCAGAACAAAATGGGTGACCCCATCATTTCTCTTCTCTCCCTCCCCCAATTTTTAAAATAAATTATGAACAGTCCCTTGCCTAAAAGGTTTTTCTTTACTTTTCAAACCTGACAGTGTGTTCTTTTCTTTCAGAAACACTAGATAGAACACTGTAATACGTTATGCAACACAGCAACACTACCTCAATTCTGTGTGTAAAATGTTTACTCAACTGACTGATGTCTTGTTATTGAATAAGAGTCATAAATATGTTTGAACCTTTGAAATGTCATTTGATTTTGGAAGAATTTGATTATTTAACATTTTTCTGAAATCACATGTTTAGTTTGTGTAAGATCATGTTTTGATAGCTGCCATGGATACAGAAGTTTTCAGTATTGATTAGATATGATTCTTTATATGGAATTGAACTTTCAGTGTCTGTATTCTATTGTATATTTTTATTAAGGGGACCAAAGGAATAGTAAGACTTATCTAGGATTTGACACATCCAACTCTATCTTATTACTGAAGTAAGAATAAGGAAAGACAAGCATATATCCATTTATATGCAATTTGATTATACCAATGGATTTTTATGACATCATATGACATCTTTTATCGTGAAAGTGTTAATTAATTTTTTTACAGACTGTTAATTGAGGTGAATGCCACAGGCAATTTACAATTATCTTCTACATATCAGTGTTTCAATAGTGATAAATGTTGCAGGGGGTTACTGGGACCAGACTGAGTTGACGCAACACAGTAACCATTATTTTATACAATGCACCTGGGTATGAGGTGCTATTCTGTCCTGCTGGGGGCCATCGGTGTCCAGAGCTGTATTCCTTGGGTATGCCAGAAACCTATGATGTGGGGTTCAGAACCTGGTCTCTAGGTATGTCTGTACCATAGCTGTGGGGTTCAGCAAAGCGGTAAAGTCTGAAACCAGCATCACTTTGTGCTATCCTCCCATAAGAAAGGGGCAGTGGGGTTAAATTGGAACCCTGTTCAATGCGGCATTAAGCCCACCTCTCAATACCTACAGTTAAAGGACTTATTTTGTCCTGCTTGGCCCACTTGTCATTTATCCTAGGATTGGATGTTAGGTTATAGGACAAACATTGTAAGTAGCATTGATGAAAGAGAACTCTTTATTTACTTGATTCAAGTTCAGCTTATAACTACATGTACACACTTTTTCCTTACATAGTTTGTTAAGGCTGAATACATTCCATTGTTTCTTGAATGTTCAGTGGAGCAGGATTTAAATAGAAATTAATGTTTCATACAGATGCATGCAGCTCTTTCATGAAAATGTATTAAAAGGTACTTGCTCTTGCAAAAATAGATTTGGAGGTTGAGAACATTGGGCAGAAGTTTCTACTTGAAGTTGGTTGTCTGTTAAGTATAAACCTGACTATTGCTGTAAGTTACAATATATATGCATGTGCATATTATTATGTTATCTTTAGTTTGTTAATGTTTCAGCAATAAAGCTTACATGGACTTATTGTTTCTATAGTTTTATTGTTTTACCTCATCTTTCCTGAAAGGATAGTCACGATATGGCTGAAATATTGCCGATGTGACTTAAAATCTTAACTCAATCACTCACTCCTGAAAGGCCATTGGAGATATATCATTCGAAATATTTTCACATGTTCATATTCTTTGAAATGGCTTGATGGATTCATCTGAAATAGTGGCTATGTTTATTAAATTCGTATTTGATATCAAGGTAATTTTTTTTACATAGTCACCCGGGTCTTCAGCGTGACAGGCGAACGTTTTAACCTCTAGGCTTTCCTCAAGGACAAAACTGTTCAAATGAGGCTGAAACGTCTTGATATTATTGAATTCGTCTTCAGTAACCCATGCTTGTAAGAGGTGACTGATGGGTTCGGGTGGTCAGGCTCGCTGACTTGGTTGACACATGTCATCGTATCCCAATTGCGTGGATCGATGTTCATGCTGTTGATCACTGGATTGTCTGCTCCAGACTCAGTTATTTACAGACCTCTACCATGTCGCTGGATTATTGTTGAATGCAGCGATAAACAACAAACCAACCAACCAACTTCATAGACAATCATATCGCATTTTCTGATCAACCCAGAAAAGAACGGGGTGAAAACGCTAAACATTTTCTATCACCCTCATGGTACCTTATTCCCTAGTTTTCGCCTCCCGTTAGTCGCCTCTTACGACAGGCATGGGTTACTGAAGATCAATATTCTAACCCGGACCTTCACGGGTAGAGGTATTTGTCAGCATGTGTGAAAACTGTATATGACGCAGTTTTCACCCGCAGTCTCTCTTCTCTCTCTCTTTAAACATTTACGATGTACAAACATGCTGCTGTGCTGCCCTGAAATATCTACAAATACGTGAAAATATACGTTTATTACATCTCCGTAAGCTGTATTACAACCACTTTGTTTACAGGATGATTTATACCAGGAATGGTAAAGTTATGAGTCGACGTTCATGTTTCTACAACGTATTCTGGCGGTACGTCGTTACGCATCGGCGAAAGTAGTCCCGCTCACGTGCTTGCCTGCGATCTTCCAAACCCCTCCAGCGTGTGTTCAGATCGGTAACCTTTTGCTTCAAATAACGTCTGAAAATAATAATAATGTGAATTACTTTATACATCACACATTAATTAAAAGGTGGGGTAGCCTAGTGGTTACAGCGTTCGCTCTTCAGGCCGAAAACCTGGGTACAATTCCCCACGTGTACAATATGTGAAGCCCATTTCTGGTGCCCCCCGTTGTGATATTGCTGGAATATTTCTTAAAGCGGTGTAAAACTAAACTCACTCAATAAAAAGGCCCATTCAGAGTTATTACACATTTAGCTGATTAATATACGATTTGAAATCGCGCATACACCTTTGCAACTAAATTTGGTCGGTTGTACAGCATCTGACTGGTTTCCCAGTATTGCCACAGCGGCTTAAAACAACATACACCATTGACACTTTGATATATGTACCTTCTGTCTAAGGCAGTCTGTGCACGTCTCTGAAACTCTTCCTGGCGTCTCCTGTACTCCTCGTCCCAGCGTCTCTGTGTCTCCGCCTCCGTGGGGGTCAGCAGGCAAGCCTCCTCATCCTCCATACTGACCCCAAGACACCTGCGTGAGTTGGATGGGGAACGGGTGTTGGTCACGTGAGAGGACTACATTTAATGGGGAACGGGTGTTTGGTATAGGGTGAGAGGGGTACGTGGGATGGGGAACGGGTGTTTGGTACGAGGTGAGATGGGTACACGGGAAGGGGAACGGGTGTTGGGTACGAAGCGAGAGGGGTACATGAGATGAGCAACGGGTGTTGGGTAAGAGGTGAGAGGGGTTCATGGGATGAGGAACGGGTGTTGGGTACAAAGTGAGAGGGGTCCATGGGATGAGGAACGGGTGTGTGGTAAAAGGTGAGAGGGGTCCATGGGATGAGGAACGGGTGTTGGGTACAAAGTGAGAGGGGTGCATGGGATGAGGAACGGGTGTTGGGTACAAAGTGAGAGGGGTCCATGGGATGAGGAACGGGTGTGGGAGGGATACATAGGATGGGGAGCGGGTGTTGGGTACGAGGTAAGAGGGGTCCATGGGATGAGGAACGGGTGCTTTGTACGAGGTGAGAAGGGTGCATGGGATGGGAAACGGGTGATTGGTACGAGGTGAGAGGGGTGCATGATATGGAAAACGTGTTTGGTACAGGCCTCCTCATCCTCCATACTGACCCCAAGACACCTGCGTGAGATGGGGAACGGGTGTTGGTCACGTTGTGAGAGGACTACACTTAATGGGGAACGGGTGTTTGGTATAGGGTGAGAGGGGTACATGGGATGGGAAACGGGTGTTTGGTACGAGGTGAGAGGGGTACATGGGAAGGGGAACGGGTGTGTGGGTGGGGAACGGGTATTGGGTACGGTGTTGGGTACGGTGTGAGAAGACTACACTTAATGAGGAACGGGCGTTTGGGACGATGTGAGACGCTTACAATGAATGGGGAAGGTGTGTTTGGTACAAGGTGAGGGGGTACATAGGATGGGGAACGGGTGTTGGGTACGAGGTGAGACGGGTAAATGATATTGGGAACGTATGTTGGGTACGGTGTGAGGGGTTCATGGTATCGCGAACTGGGGTTGGGTACGTTTTGAGAGTGATACATGAGATGGGAAACGGGTGTTCGGTACGACGTGAAAGGTGTACATCGGATGGGGAACGGGTGTTGGGTACAATCAAAAGCCAACATGTGTCACTATATAAGTAACATTGATCAGTTTACACGATCTGGTAACGTCCTATTTAATCAAAGCGCTGTGGGCATTAACAACACAACGATCTGTAGAGTTAAAGAGGCATAGGAGGAAAGTACGAACAGAACAACGTGATCTCACGCAACAAAGCTAATCTTGGACATATGAGCAGCACATGGCCGTTGTTTATTCTCTGTAGAATATGCACTGTTAAGCTGAACAGATGCAGAACTTCACCTATATATTCAACTACACCATAACAACCACCACCTGTTTATTCTAAACAGTACCAACATCAATGGAGGTCGAAACTTGATTTCATACAACTTCATTCCGGCACTAGACTAACCCCTTGAGGTCAGTTCCTGAACCATAATAGTGTCCCTTCCGGCCAGCCCTTCTGTAATGCTGTACAGCTCTAAATACAGGAAGTCCGGATTTTCCACATTTTCATATTTGGAATCTCACCATGTCTCCTTTTCATATAAAATGAAATTCTTGCTTTTTATCAAAAGTATATATTTTCGGAGACAAAGAGTTAGTGGAGAAATCAGGAAACCCACGTTTTCCATATTCCGATAAATATTGTTTTAGTAATAAGTATCTAGAAGAACCAGCTCGAAATTACGGATACCTGTGGCTCTAGTGAAGAAATGTTAAACCACAGGGGACATACTATACAATCATTAATTCCTCGTTTGGTTTAGTTTATATTGTATATATTAAACCTCTGCCCACAACAACGACATCCAAATGTCTACATCACTCACCACAAGAGTTAGGCCCCAGTCGGAGTTTCACGGGTCAGCCTTTCCGTGAGGACTAAATGAAGTATGCTACCAACATGTTGTCTTTGTACAAGCTGAATGCCCGACAGTGTTTCTATATACAGCCTACACACTACAACAATCACGGAACACATGACCGCGTGTACTCGCGTTCAACAGGGTCGTGCATTCATTCAATTGTCTCGGAGCGCTGTGGCGGAAATTTGACTGGCCTGGGGCAGAAACGTGATTGTTTCTGACAAGGCTAACCGTGTATAGGTGTCCCCAGTGTTTACGTATGTTTTGAAGGGAAATATTGCCGTGCTTTGTTAGAGATGTTTAATACCCGTTTATGGCGCTGTTTACTCGTATATATGTATGTATTTATATGAAATATGTTCCAACATATCACTGTCAGGGCCAAGTGTTCTGTTGGTATTCTCCACATGTATGAATTTGTCCAAACGGTTGTGCGATCTATGGCTGCATTAACAACGATTAAGGGTATACTCACACATAAGGGGATTTGTTTTACGTCGCTGTTGATATAAGTGTTTGTTGTACACATGTTACGTTATTATTAGAAGCAGCAGCAGTAGTAATTGTAGTGGTAGTGGTAGTAGTAGTAGTAGTAGTAGTAAGAGAGTTTAGTGTTACGCCGCACTCAGCAATATTCCAGCTATATAGCGGAAGACTGTAAATAATCGAGTCTGGACCAGACATTCCAGTGATCAACAGCATGAGCATCGATCTGCGCAATTGGGAACCGATGACATGTGTCACCCGATCCCGTTAGTCGCCTCTTACGACAAGCATGGGTTACTGAAGATCAATATTCTAACCCGGACCTTCACTGGTCAGTAGTAGTAGTAGTAGTAGTAGGAGGAGGAGGATAGGGGTGCAGGAAGGTGCACGACACGTACCCATGTAGGTAATCGAGAACTGCCGCTGTTACAGGTCATTGGCTCCCTCCCTCTGCAAGCAGTTCGCGTTCTGCTGTTTATTTTGTTGACAGTTACATAGACAGATTCTTTACTACAAATGCATAAAATCGGTGATTTACAATGTGATTAGGTTGTCTGACAAAACATCCACTTGCACAGTTTGATATCGATTGGGTCATTGGATGAAGAGATATTTACAAAAAACCGGGTCCACATGCATTTCATGTCAAACTTTTATATATGCTAGGTTATCACATTCCATAATAAAAGACCGCCTCCGTGGTGTAGTGGTAAGAGCGTCCGCCCGGAGAGCGATAGGTCGCGGGTTCGATCCCCGACTGCGTCATACCAAAAGACGTTAAAATATCGTACTTGTTGGTCCCTGCCTGGCGCTCGGTATTAATGGGTACAACAATGACTGGTCGGCTTGGAGTCAGTATAATGTGTCTGAGTGGGGTATTCATGCTTCACTGCGGCATGGTATCTCAGTGGGCTAGCACTATAAAACCAGCTTAAGTCTGGGCTAGTACAAGCAGACGCACATACACACACACGCGCATCACGTCGTCATATGGGCGAAATATTCTCAAGCACGACGTTAAATCCAATTTCACCTAACCTCACATCCATAATAAAAATGGTCAACAGGAGTCATCAAGCTAAACTGAGGGTTAAGGGAGCGTGCCTTTTGCCATAAAACTGACCTTATAGCGGAATATATATTACACTTCGATAGAAAATGGACCTCGTCTTCAACTGCACTATTCTTACAATATTTACATAGCCGTTGTTCAAGGGGGGTTTTAGGCCGTGAAACACGACCAAGCTCAATCTCCAGAGGTAAAGTTCCACATCGTAGTTTGGCAAGGGTACTTCGTTGCGACCTATTGAAAATAAGTGCGGACATATGTTGATACTGATAAAGAGGTCTTAAACAGCCTGAACGTTAAGTGTGACATATAGTATGTCTTCAGCATATCGCATTATATTGAAATGTGTATTAGTAGAGTACCATAGAAATTAGGAACATTCCACTTTACAATTTGTGTATTAACGCCGAGTTTGGGATCTTCAGTGTGATACATCTTCAGTGACCCGCAATTATATACTCCCATATTGTTTATATACATAACTCCACATATCTTTTAACATTCCTTTTACATGTTCCACTAAGATATGGTACTAAACACTAAACAGGATATATAATGACAAAAAAACAGAAATTAATGTAACCACGAATTATTGTCCACATCTGATCAAGATCACTTAGATCCAGAAATAGGGAGATTTACTATTGTTGGTTTAAGTTAAGCATCCAAATGATATAGAACTCAGCGTGTTGGCATTTGCTCTAAGAAATATTTCTTTAAATGATAAAATTTGAATACAATGTTTAAAGTGATTGGAAATGTTTGCGGTCTGGACCAAATCCGAAAGATTTTCGGAATGATTATAGGTCGCTTCAGCCACAAAATGCGACGAGACTAATCAGCTTCACCCATTGTGACTTGGTTGGTCTATCTCAGTACCTGAACAAAAATATATTTCGTTCCACGCAGTCCTTACTGTAATGCAAAAAAAGGCCAAACTGAACCATATCTATATTCTCTTCAGGTTCAGGTTCTGAAGCTGCCAGCTGCATAGCAGTTCTTTGTGTCTAATATTTTCACAAGTAATTGATCCTACACGGAGATAGAACCAGGAACATTTTGTAACAAGGGAACTTACAGCTTTCTTTACTTCACTGACAGTATTACACCTAGAACTCAGATTTGATAAAATATTTTTACTTTGCACAGAATGTATACTGACAGTGAAGGAGACATTGTTACCAGTGTAGCTTATAAATATAGTCTATGGCTGTGGCAATGTACCTTACACGTACAATGTATATATGGCACGTACACATGTCTTAATGTCTTTTCAAGTTTTGTTCATGTGTGAAAAATACCATTAGAATAATTTGTTTATTTTGATTACCCGGTATATAAAATTACAAATTGATATAGGATATAATATGCATTTTTAATAGATATGACAGGTGAATTTAATATTTTGGTCACTCGATGTATAAAGTTAATAATAATCTTTATTATATGCCTACAAAGATTGGCAGACTGAAAAAGAGTACGGGAAAATGAGAAAAAAATTCGACCCCGACGAGATTCGAACTCGCAATCTTCTGATCCGAAGTCAGACGCCTTATCCGTTAGGCCACGAGGCCGCTGAAAGAAGCGTGTTAATTATGCAGATATAACCATCAAGAGCCGTTTATACGCAGAATCTATGAAAACATTTTATTAAAGGATGTGATAACGTTCACATTGATGTTGGTGTTATCCTTTAATATACCATAGCCCCACTTTGTGCAATAAACAGGCAGATTACCCAACGACTTTCCTTGAAAATCTTATTTGGGTCAGCTGTTGCGACATGAATATGCAAATTACCGGGCGCAGCCGCCAAACAGCCATCGATTCAAGCTTTACTGAATAAAGAGGTTCTTCATCCAGGAAGTTTGTCCTTAACTTCACTGATATTTGTATTAGCTATAACTATATAACTATAAACTATAAACACACAACAAAGGCATCACAACTTCTATCGTAGACTTTGATGCAACTTTCTGTCAACAAAAGACTGAGTTACTGTCTTATAACCATGTTTGGTGGCTGCGCATTCGAACAACGACACCACATCACGGAGGCTGTTACTTGACTGACATGAACAGAATAAATTCTAAATGTAGGCCTCGTTTCATTTGAACAAATAGGCGTCTTGATATTTTTTTAGGGGTGGGGGTTGGGGTGTCATCAACTTTGAACACATGTTCTGGGGTCGGTGGAGGTGTCAGCAAACTAATTGGGGGGGGGGTGTCAATTACTTTGTACATAATTTTAATGGGGGCGGGGGGGGCGGCGGTGTCATTCACGTTGTACATGCTTCTCCATGAAATTCATCACACACACACACACGTTGTGCATGCTTACAACTCATCATCACACACACAACCACCCCCACCCCACCCCAAGCCATAGATTGTGAACAAGTCCGATCCCTAACGTGTGGTAAAAGCATTTGCAGCTAAGTATAAACACCTCCTTTTTCAATGACCGGGTAGTGGCGAGTATGTTTTTCTTTATGGTGAATATAATGTGTGAACCTATTTCTGATCATTTACAGTCTCCGCTCTAAAATTATAGTCACTTATTCATTATCTAACCTTTGGTTAAAAACACTAATTAACATGGTACATCCGCGTGCATTTATATATGGCATTTCTGACAACGTCCATACGTGGGTGTTCATTGTTGGCATTCGAGAAGTTGACGACATATCCCAGTACTGCACAGTGCTATGGCACTGCTTCTAATGATACAGATACTTTGTTAGACTAACGCTTAGTCCCTGAAAATATACACTATTGGTGGTAATAAATAAACCCATTTAAATTGAAAAGGAGCCCCAGTGAGTTGGGAAATTAACCTGGAGAAATCTAGACTTGCTTCATTTAGGGTTTTAAGCATTGCAGGGAGGAGGGCTGGGTAGAAATAATGTGGTTCAGGGACTGTGAGACAGACTAATACTTCGTTACATTGCAGAGACCATATAATAATAATAATCTATTATACGGTCTCTGGTTATTGGAAACATCGCTTGATCGAGAGAAACTGCCACTAAACTGGTTATCGGAGTCTCCGCTGGAGAGGATGGATAAGTTACTGTACGGTTTCACAGGAAAAATCCGTTTGAATCCGTGTGTTATAAGTCACCGGGCACATACACAGAAAAAAGTGTTTGCACTTTCAAAATACAATACCCTGTTCTCCTTCGGAAGTGTGAAACATACATATTTGTAATTTCTACGAGTCTAGACAAAGCCAATGCTCGGAAATACAAAGAAACATATATCACCGACACATCATCAGTGTGAATGCATAAAGTATTAACAGAAAACGCCAGACGTATAATACTTACATACGTATGTGTATATATGACAAACAAGCCTTGAAGTTCCAACTGAAGGGCCCGTATTCTCGGTCTCAGTGTACACTGTCAGATAATGCAGATACGTCAATCAGAATAGATAAAATGTTTTCAACAACTAGCTGCGTATGGCCATCTTAGGAATGAGATCGATATACAGTACCGTGTATTGAGTAGCTGAAACATATATACAGTACCGTGTATTAAGTAGCTGAAACATACTTGAGTGCTGATTATAGAGAACATGCAAACACTTAGTATGAATACGGCGCTCCATGTTCAAATAATATAGATATCATTTTTATCAAAACACTCAGTCAGTTTGTTGGGTTTAATAAAAATACACCCTAAACTAATGAGGAGGAAGTGAAGTACTCGTGAGAGGCGGTCGGGGTAGCCTATCTGTTTAAAAGCGTTTGCTTGTCACGTCGAAGACCCGGGTTCGATTCTCTACATGGGTACAACGTTTGAAGCTCATTACTGGTGGCCCCAGCCGTGGTATTGCTGGAATATTGCTAAAGCGGCGTAAAGCTATACTCTCTCACTGAGATACTTGTGATTAAAGAAAATACACCCACAAATGTAATTTGTTTCAAGCAGTGACCGGAAATATATTCCGAAAGAAACAAAACTATTTTATTAATCAGTGCATTTGCACTTTCAAATCAGGCTGTTACGAAGTTTACTTTTAGCAATATCGATCCGAATGGCGAATCGTAGACAAACTGGATCATGCAGTGTAGAAGTGAACGCGTTTATTTATCCTAAATGGCACAAAATAAAATCGTAAATGAATATTTTATTGTCGCTTCCTTACGAGTGATGTTCATGATAGATATATTATACGTTGTTCACTGGTCTCGTGCAGGACATTTGTATTTATTATTATCGTGGCGAACGAACAGATGGTACGATACAAAACTCGTACGATACACGACTGACGAGCATGTTTGACCTGTGTCGTCCGGGGTTGACCCATCGATTGGATAATCATTGTCACGCCACCATGTTGATCCGGAACTACTTCCTTTTCCCATAACAATCACATGAGTTAATTCATTATTTAAAACTTTTAGTACCTCGGTATTGTTTGACAGCCATACAGGGGCGGATACAACTCTTTGAGAAGTGAGTGTGAGTGTGAGTATATGTGTGTGTGTGTGTGTGTGTGTGAGAGAGAGAGAGAGAGAGAGAGAGAGAGAGAGAGAGAGAGAGAGAGAGAGAGAGAGAGAATATTCTTGAGAGGGGGTGGGGGGGGGGGTGCACACTCCACTTTCACGAGAGTATCAATGGTCATTTAATAAACTTTCCCCACCTCTCTCTCTCTCTCTCTCTGGATCCGCCTATGCGAATGCTATCTTCTCTGTTCCTATCTACATGGCGGAACATGCGTGCTTGGTTTTACCATCTCAGTCTAATTACCGGTATTGGACAAAGGAATCACCTCCCAGGTTTCACTTCTTGTTATTTTACCGTAAACATGTTACACTGAGAGTGAGTTAAGATTTTAAGTCACATCGGCAGTATTTCAGCCATATCGCGACTAATTATGTTACACGCAAGGTGTCTACTATAATAACACACACATACATGTATATACACATGCACTTGGATACGTACACGGACACAGATAGATTATATAGGCTATTTATTTAAAGTACAAAACTAGCAGACATATAAAAACATGCACGTATAAAACAAGTAAATACACGTGTACTATAGTTGAACACATATTCCTTGAGAGGTCAGCAAATGGGTGAATAACTTTGGACCAGCATTGTTTTCTTAAATCAGTTAAAAAATGGAGGAATCATGTCGCAAAACAGACTAACGCCAATAAGCGTAACAACGAAATGCGTTATGTACGCTTAGTCAAGGGCAATGACTTTTAGAGAATGAACATACTGAGAACAGTTCCAGCCATGCCTAATTCGACAAAATAAACTACATACCAAGTTTTAGCAATGCCCGTATAGAGAGTCATAAATATAAACAACATCAACCATGACTTTTAAGGGGATCATAAATATAGAGTAGTCTCAACCAAACGTATTTAGAGGATCATAGAGTCACAGCAACAGGTCATTTGCATTAAACGTTCCAGACATGTCTGTTGAAAGGAGCCAGGTCTATTTATTCGGTTATATTATACATTAAAAGATTCACCCATATCGGACAGACAGGCATTGTATTCAATAATGGAAGTTATTGGCCCATGATACAAACAAAATGCGAATGTTAATAATACATACATGCTGAATATAGGGTGAAGATTAAAATTCAAGATTAATTATGTTAGAATGAAAGATTTACTTCCTAATTTTAATACAGTGGAGAGGAATGTACTTAATGTTTTTATATAATTAATTCTGTTACAGGTAATTAAACGCACATAGGTTACAATTTTTGGAGGCTGTATCAACCATACCGATTGAGAGGATCATGTATATGGAGGTTTAAGCCATGCCTTTTTGATAAAAACACGTACTGGCAGTGAAACGATCCCTGTACGTGTTACACACTGAAGAGGACTCTACACAGGAAAGTATTGTATTAAGTATTGTCAGCATGTGAACACCATAGGTAGAAGGAATATATATTTGTGTTGTAGGTCATGGTTAGCCAAATGGAATACCGTATATGTGTACAGAAAGTCACTTTTGGCCAATTAGAATACCGTATATCTGAAATTTGATTAGACTTGTTGCCGTTGTCGTCAGTATTAGCAGGTGATGGAGGAAATGAAAACCTCTTTCATCAGTTAAAACATGTAACAAAAAGACAAACAAAAAACAGTCCACTTTAGCAAACAACAACGCACACACAACCCACACACACGCGCGAACACACACACACCAACAAAATAAGTTACCACACACACACGCACGCACGCGCACGCACACGCACACACACAAACAAAAACCAAAAACAAACCAAAACAACAATTCGAAGACATAATAAGAGCCACAAAGATTTGATGAGCTTCTTAAGCACCACCCACTTATCATGAATATCAAGTGGTAGGTCCCTTAGTCGTTACAGGGACTGAGACTGCTCACTTTCTGTTCCAAGGAAATCCAGTGAAGTTTGAAAGTATGATAAATGAGTCGTGAGAGTGAAGCGGCCGTATAATATCTTTGACTATGATCAGAACTAGTGAACCAGTCGACAACGTAAGTATAGCATTCATAGAATAAACCCTCTGATCATATGTGTAGTTAACACCTGGTGTCATCACTGATTTCAGTGGTCCTTCCATATGATTTTCACGGCTATTTTGCCCATTACACCAAATTTTGTCCCATTTCTGACCATAGTCAAATCGGGTATTCTTTTGCACTGACGTTTGAGATTCCCTTGTAAGCTTGTCTATATCTGACTCGTCTCCAGGTCAGGCGCGGGAGTGTGCTTGTAGGACTGCCACAGTTTCATGGTGAGATCTGCAGCTACAGGTTCTCTGTCTGTGGACTGTGCCAGGAGAAGGTTCAACAGGTAGTCCATCCCGAGATACTCCTTCACAAATACGTTTTGCTTCTCCAGTGAGTACGAATCACTATCAGGGGATGTGAGGGTGTACAGCTTGATCTTCCCTGATGTCAGCCGGGGAACATGGAGTAAGAGGATCCACACGATAAGACTAACCAGGTTCGCCACTGCCAGGATTAGAAGCCAGTAGAACAGGAACATGTACACTTTGAGATACACTGCATTGATGTGAAAGGCACATTGGTAGTGTTGTGTGCTTTTGCCTCTGATATCAAATCTACATCTTCCATATCGTGGAAAGGGAGTCTCCGATGTGCCTTTGGAGTATTGATCCCTGATTGCCTCGAAAGGTTTATCTGGTGAAAAAAGCAATCCGATTATAACTAACTGGATGAATGAGTTGAGGAGATACAGAGCTTTCTTTAACAAGAAGATCACAGTGTTCAAGACGCATGGGGATGGTGGGGATACCACTCGGGACATAAAGGTCGCATCCGAGCTGGTCTCAGGTTTGTAGGTCTCTGCATAAAGGAAGAGGAACTCGGAGTCTGATCCGAGGAGTCTCTTCAGGAACTGTGCTAGGAGATGGGGTGCAATGAAAGCAAAGGCCTGGTAGAACATAAACAGGGGTACAAACGTGTGATAGGAGAATATGAGTTCACTATAACGGTATTCCGAGAATGATCCTTCATCGAGGCAGTATTTCAGAGCATATTGTAAGGTATCGAGTTTTGTCTGCTCATCCATTGGTACACAGGTAATGGCGGAATCAGGGAAGACAGAGACGTAGACTAAGGCGGCTATCCCTATCACCACTAAGATCAGCATGGTCCAGATGCGGTTGAGGCGATCTACATCATCCTCGTCTCTCCGTCTCTTCCAAAACATTTTCTGAAACAATAATGATTTAAAAGATTAATTCGCGATTTGTTTTACGCTGTTCGTGGTGTGAAACACAACTCTCAGTCGGATTACGGTCCCTCACAACGTTTATCAATACAAAGCACTCCAACCGTATCAGTTTAGCCTTGCTCCAAGGCTGTACTGAATGCTGAGCCCATGGACGTTTAGTAGTTCTATCCTTCGAAGAGGCCTAGACAAGTCTAGATAAGCGGACAGTAGTCTGTTATTTTTTATTTCTTAGAAATTATCATTAAAACTCTGAAAACTGAAGGATTTCCCTAATATCCAGGACTGATGTTGCACGAGGGTAAGAGTGAGTGAGTTAAGTCTTACGCCGCACTCAGCAAAATTCCAGCTACATGGCGGCGGTCTGTAAATAATCGAGTCTGGACCAGACAATTTCCATTCCATTTGTATCTGCGATACGATCGATAACACCATGTTGCAGTTATTGACCTGTCTTCCCCTATCCTGTCTCCAGTTATTACAATGACAGTATAACATGGTTCTAGACATCGAGAAAAGGGTAAAGATAGATAACTCTTCCCATTGATCGTCAATTGCAGTCCAACATTTGGAACCAGATTCCTAATGCATTTCGTGGTTTCAACTGTATAACCTTTTAATAAAGTTTATCACTTCTAGTTGACTGGATACTGTTTCATTTGTTCAAGCATGCAACTGCTAAGCCTGGCGTAATCCAACCCCGTCCCACTCCCCATACTCCCCATCACGACCCAAATACAAAATATTCTAAACATTCAAAGGATCATAAATGCCGTTCAAAACAATTTCGCTTCTGACCTTCACCTTGCGAGTTTCTGCAATGATGCTGAACATAGGTGACATATATAGGATTTGCTGTCTCTGGTAAATGCTTAAGCAAGCCTACAATCACGATCTCAACATATGTATCATACCGCATACAATATGAGTCTTATAAAGTGCATTTTGAATACCAGCATATGCTTACACCCTTGTCATCATCTACAGTATTACATAACGAGGTTCCATACAACTGAGAATAAGACAAATGATGCCTGTCTGATCAGCTTGCACCTGTGGAAATTTGAAGTCATGTAAATACCTGCGGCTGTAGTCGTAGGATTCAGCAACCAAGACGCAGGACCAAAAATATCCCGTTCTGATTCTGGATAACAAACTCTAATAACTCATCCCGTGCTGCGGTTGTGAGAATCTATTAATAGAAACGACGCGCCCCAGTTGTCAGGGCCCACTTCGAATGAAACACAGAACTGTATCTGACAGCGCTGCATGCGTACCCAAAAAAGTATTTGCTTGCGTTTTGAATTCGTTACATTAATGTGAAAAAATTATAGTGTTTTTCTTTAAATCGTCATTTGTTTTATTAACATTTTATGATGATTTAGAGATTGACCAGTGTGAAATGGTTTGTCGTTTCGATGCTCGCTCGTTGAGTCAGTTTTGGGGGATATCTGGGTTTGATCAAAAAGATCAAACTGTTTTGAAATTAAATTGCGTTATTCCAAGAGAGTGGAAGAGAATCTTTGTGCTATCTCTGTTTTTTCATACACTGAACCGACCTTGTAATTGATCTGTATTTATATGACGATGCAAGTGGTAGATATAAATGATATCGTTGCGAAACTGTGATTTATAAAATTGATTTAAAGATAATAATAAATTATTTGTTTGATACAATAAACTAGTTAAACGAGTAAGTCGCCTCCAACACTTGCCAAACCGACCAAACACTGACGTCAATTACTATAAGGCAAAGAAGAATGATAAGAAACGAGGAATTGATCGAAGTAACAAGAAAATAATCGAAGCTAATTAAGGAGTTTTGCTGAGAAAGACAACTGATGCTTCAAATGTGGCTCATTATGCTTTTGTAGCATGTTGGGTAAAAACATATAACAACCAACAACTTCAGTTGTTATCTCTATGGTTTGTGGGCCGATGGACGCAACTGAAGAATGGGAGAAACAGTTACAACAGTCGAAAATAAAGCAAAATCGGCATTTTTGGGAATTAAAATTAAATTAAAAACGTATGAGCTTTAAAAAAATATGATTATAGAATACATACAGAATCTCAACCAAGTGTCTACTGATATCAGTTGTATCGACATAAATTAGATATATTTACTTTTATTAACGAGGCACGAAGACCCGACTGTGAGATTCTATTATCAGAAGTCAATCTTCATTAGTTTTCAATGAAAGATGAGCACGCACTTAACGCTATTTATTACCCACGAGGTCAACGTATTGGTAGTTGCATACTAATCTTGTACGTCACACGAGTGTCGTATCGCGTTGACCCGTGTCGTAACGCCTTGACCTGAGAATCTAACGATTTGATTGGATAACCGATGACCTCTCAACTAGGTCACATTCTGACGTAACTATTTTTTCATTCATAACAAGCACGTGAATTCATTCATTCTTCAACTTAAATGTATTGTGGGAATGTAAACATTGCGAACGTTGCCGTGTCGCTGTTTAATTGTGAGTCGAACTGAGACATTATATCCGTCGAAAAAGTAAACCATGACAAAGTGATATTTTGCCCTAGGGCATCGTATGAAAAATATGAACCCCGATATGTTCGCCCTCGTAGGTAATAAATAGAGAATACTACACGAGGTCTCATTACATACGAATTATACGAAACGAGTGTCCTTTTTATATTATCTGACCGAGCGAAAGCGATTTATTACCTACGAGGGCGAACATATCGGGGTTCATATTTTTCATACGATGCCCTAGGGCAAAATATCACTTTGTCATGGTGACGTGACGTCGTGAACAAGGCTATGACGTCACGTTTCTTCTGTGACGTTGTGTTCTACATGCGGCGACGGCGGATAGCCAGCTTGTGTTTGAAAGTAGATTTGGGTTTATTTTCCTCAATTTGACGACTTCGGTAATAAACAGAATATTATATTCGTGCACATACTATGTTTACGACACTCGTGCCTAAATATCGGCATATCTAAAATAGACAAAATTGTTAACACTGCAAGTAAAATCGCTGGAGTCAGATTTGAATGTTTATCATCAAAATATGAGCGGCAAATCGTGAATCAAGCTGTCAAAATTATATCTGACCGTACTCACTACTTGAATTCGGAATACAACCTCCTCCCTTCAGGCCGCCGCTACAAAGTTCCAATTGTGAAAACTAAGAGAGCCCTTACATCCTTTATTCCAAGTACCACATCTCTCTTAAACAAATGTGAAGATACCTAAATCAAAGAATTTATGTAAATATGTTTGGTATCTCTCTAATGTGTCAGTAGCTCTGCTGATGTAACACAAATTCCTGAAAAGGCATTAAAGGTCACATAAACCCTAGGGGGTACAATACATAAATCACTAACTGGCATCGTTATAAATGAAACCCCGTCATTAAAACTACTCATTTCGACCTTTAATTGACTTAAATCGACCTTTTTGACAACAGTGCACAATTCTCACCCGCGAACGAAATTTCAACCAATCAGAGCGGCGCGCCTCTGTGACGTCATATGAGGAATAGCTTTGAGAGCCGATGCAGAATTCATCTACATTTTAGGGGGTAAATTATCGTGTTTACAGGCTTGTATAAACCTGAAATCGTGACAATTGTTGTGGAAAATGAAAGCTATATGTTCTCACAATCTACTGTCATTTAATTTTTGTCTCCTGCTTTGCCTAGTTTCCGAGTTACAACTTGTTTTCATAGACGATTCTGTCAAAATCGATTGGTGTCGTTAGGCCCTATTTGTATAATGACTGATCCAAATTGATCCCATTTCTGTGTTGTTTTACCTCGATATTTAATCATGTCATGTAAAAATCTGTTTGTATTCTCAAAACAGTGTCGGCCCATAAGTTTTCACATGCAATACAGCAATTAATACTCCCTCGTTGTAACCCGTGTTAGGTGGTATAAACCTACACATGTCATTTGTCATCATTCACTTGATGGTTAGTTAATGAATTTATAACAGGTATAATTAGTGGTAACACACTTAGATTACCCGACAAAGGTTCCCATTTGGCATTTCTTGTGTCTGGAGTAAATATTCAACATTATAAACATCGATCAAAGGATTAACCGATAACACACTGATTGATTAATTACTTTTATCTTACACAGCGGAATTGTCAAAAGGTAGTGTTTATGTATGTAGATTTACTAATCTATACTGAATACACTCTGTCGTGTCGGTGTCTGCGTAAAAACAACGTCCTTCTTTCAAAGGATTAACCGGCAGTACATTGATTGATTGCCCATTATTGGCTAACTAAATTACTGTTTTTAAAGAAAGGCGGACATTATGCAATTAGTTGCCAGGTGTGCTATCTTGGGTGACCAATGAGACTATACACCAATACCTGAAAAGATTTATCACTTTTTCGTATATTAAACTGTTAAAAGACACATCATTTGGAACAGTTTTGTGGATATTGATGGATACATTCCTCGAACAAGGTAATGGCCTGATATTGTTCCTATAACTTTAATCTGTTTTAATTTTAATATTTGCATTTTGTTTTTTATTCATTTGTCGTAGCATTGAACAGAATCATTGTTTTCGCCGTGAAGTGTAATGAGACAGACAACATATGCATGCACTAGGGGTGTGTGTGCAAATTATGATTCACATTGGCAAACTATAAAATGTCTAGATATTACAGTTCTGTTATAAATTCACTATAAGTATCAGCAGATCGTCTGCTTTTTATTTAGTTTCAAAATGCATACAAGTATGATAATAAACTAATTAGGATTATAAGACCAAATATAAAGACGCACATTGACTAGTATCTACATACTGGTGAGTGGACATTAACCATGGGAATGTAGCAAGAAATTTAACGCGCAGTATTGTGACTTCGACCCCCACCTCGCTTCCGTGGAAGAAATCGTTATGTTATAAGTTGTGTCATGCAAAATCCGTTTTGTTATGATTCCAATACATATTTAACAACGAGTAGAAAGTAGTCTTGATTTTCTAACTTGATGAAAACAAACTATAATCTCATTAATTCTAACAGATTTTTTTTATTTTTAAAAATGGCGGCGCCCTGTCGGGAACATCCGCCAGTCTGAGGATAAATGGTATTTAGGTTTGTTTTCACCGAGTTACAAAATCAAAACTACTTTCTACTGGTAGTAAAATATGTATTTTATTGATGGCCAATATGATTTTGCATGACATAGCGTATATCATAACAATTTCTCTCGTGGCAGCGAGGTGGGTGTCAATATAATACTACTTACAATATTATTGTTACTTCGACCACAACCTCACTTCCGAGGAAGAAATCGTTATGTTACAAGTTGTGTCATAGAAAATCTTTATGGTCATCAATCATATGCATATTTTACTACAGTTAGTAAGTAGTTTTGATTCTTTAACTTCCGTGAAGCGATCTGAACACAAGTAAGATATCGTTTCAGGCTTCCACAACGCTCGCTTCGCACTCACAAACATAACCCATTTAGCACGAACTGCGGGGTCCTGTGGAAATCTGTGCATGGGGACACCATCGCCCGACCCCTAGGAGCAATTGACGACAAAGCAACGATTCGGCATGTCGTCGTTGATGTCGAGAAATCATCAAAATGATGAGCGTGCTACACATTTTCTATACAACTACTAGTAACTGAAAATCGTTCCTCATATGACGTCACTGCAGTGCTCTGGCGACAGAGTTACGTAACCTGTCTGTGGTTTCGTTGGCGGGCGAGAGTGAAGCAGGCGACTTTTTGGCCACTTTTAATCCCTCGGTATTAATTAACCACAAGTTTTTAAAGAATAAATTTGGTGTTCCGCATAAGACAAACCACAAATCTTTCATATGTAATGGTTAAAAGAGTAACAAAAAACAAAGTTTAGTGGTTCTTTAAAGTATTATTCTATTCTATGCTTCTATTCTATTCTATATCCCTCGCTCTCGCTCGGGAAATACCAACATTTAGGCACTCGTGTCGTAAACATAGTATGACATGGGCACTCATATAATATCCTCTATATAAATTTTCATTATTATTATTATAATCTCTGAACACTGTACTGCCATTATATCTGACAGTAGATTTTGTCCAATGCCCTGACAATGCTATGACGACGTTGCATTGCTGAATGGCTGCACCGTGTTCAGAGATGGACATTTTTCATTCAAAACCAATGAAGGTGATTTTTTATGATAAACAGAATATCACCCTCATGTCTTCAGATATCAAATATATCAACACTCGTTGATAAAAGTAAAAATATCGGCAAGCCTCGGATATTTGTAACTTTATCAACTCGTGTAGATATAATTGATATCAGAAGACACTTGGGTGAGATTCTCAAAATAATACGCTTAAGCAAGTCTGCTTTCAGATTGCCCGTTAACAGTCTCATCAGCTTCTAATACAACAAGTACAGTTCACCCAACAGAAGAGTGTTACTGCACTGAAAGTGAAGACAGTGCATTAGAATACCGTGTATATATATATACCTATAAGTACATTGTGCGAGAACGAGAACGGTTCATCTTCGATCTTGTAAACTGACCACATCCAGGTGAAAATCTGCTTCTCTAGCCCCGTTTAAACAAACTGACATACAGTTGCATGCTGGAATTGCCTGCGTTATGTGGTGCAGCTATCAAGGTGCAACCAGGATACAGATATGTTGAAGTTCTGGGCGTGACAATATGCTGACTTCGGTATCGCCCGGAAGCACACGAATGCCAAGGTATTTGTAGATGCGCCCGCCTATTCAGGGCCCTCTTCGATTTGAAACAGAGAACTTTGCCTCGTTTGCTTAAATTGCCGTTTCATGGGCGCAAGAGCGAGGTGGCATATGGACTCTTGGACAGTACAGTACAGTGCCGCTTGTAGAAGTAGCCTGGTATTCAGACTCGATGAAATGGTTCAATAAATCAAAGGGTTGTCTATCCTCGTCTCGATTATTTACAGATTACAGTAATATCACCCAGAGTGGCGTCAGACAAGCAAACAAAGTGGAATTTTAATTTTTTCCATAATCGAACATAAATAAGTTTAATGCTCGAGTGAGTTTGGTCATCTTATCAATTCATAACCTAACGCATAGACATTCACACCCCTACCCTAGGTATTTGTAATGATGTTAAGAAATTATAACACTGCCAAACACGCATTTTAATGACTGTTTTAATTCGACTTAAAAATTAAGAAAGTAAATTAGATCCATATAGCTCTGTATTCCCGTGACACGATGCCCCGACACATTGCGAGAGTTGCGCGAGATTTGTCTTGAGCTGGTTGACAAGGTCAGGGTCGGCAGTCTTGGCAATGTTCATGAACTCGTATGGGTCACTCTCGAGATCGTACATCTCAACAAAGTTCTGAAATGATGAGTGATTAAGTTTAACATTGTTTATGGGTATAATGTCGATAATCCAAGGATCTTAATCTTTGGGAATCAGGGATTCGAACCCGGAAAGTGAGGCGACTAATAGATATTTGGGACATCCGCTCCACAGGTGAGGCAGGATTGGCTTTCTATTGTGTGAACGCCTGGTCTTATCACTGTTTGATTATGATTTATCTCAAAGTAGAAATTAATATGACGTTTAATTGTTGCTTATAACCTTTCTGTTCTTAACTGTTCCATCAACTGTTTCACCAATAATGAAAGTGAGTGAGTTAGGTTTTAACTTTAAGCAATATTCCAGCAATAGCATGGCGGGGAACACCAGAAATGGGCTTCACACATTGTACCTATGTGGAGAATCGAACGCTGGTCTTCGGTGTGACGAGTAAGCGCTTTAACCTCCAGGCTATCCCACCGTCCATGTAGATGTACATATATATATATATTTATATATGTGTGTGTGTGTGTGTGTGTAGATGTTCAATACTCACGTCGTTGTCGGCAATTTCACAGTATTTGTAATGTTGTTGTCCGTCGCTGTATCTGATGCAGGTATAGGTGTTATTCCAAGCATCCTCGCACTGACAGTGGGCGTAGGTGTGGCACCACTAAACCATTATAGATAATATATTATTAAAGTCCAAGGTAATTTATTAAATAAATGTAGTTTTACAGACATATTTTATCATCCCAAACTGTGTTCCACTGGAGATATTGCTTGTGCGAGATCAAACGATATCGTTGTACAATGCAGTAACGTCATCAAATACATAACTCACAAAGCCATGACGTAAAAATCATAATAACGTCACAGTGCTATGACATCGCTGCACTGCACTTCTAATGGCATCATCGTGTTCAGTGGTGTACATTTTTCATTGAAAACTAATGAAGAGTGATATTTTATGATAAATATCACCTCACCCGAGTATATCAATTACCACAAGTTGAAAAACTCCGAGGCTTGCTTGCCGAATGTAGTTTTACAGACTTATATACATGTACAATCCCGGTTTGTAGAGTCGACCGAAAATATTTATAATCGACCAGTGGTGGATAAACTAAATATGGTCAAGGCCATAGGGGTAAATGGCCCACAACGGCCTGTATATAATTGATGTAGCCCAGGCGAGTTAGTGGTTGATGTGATGAACAAGATCACATCCTGTAATCCCCATATGATTTCTCTTACAACAACTGCGGACATGAATTACAGCGGAATATGAAAACCGAAGTACACACATGAATCTATTACGGCCCTATTCACCGAAAGTATGTCAGCTTATGTATCCATTTAGTGACTGACTGATTGACTGCTGTTTAACGCCGCACTCAGCAATATGCTAGCTATATGGCGGCGGTCTGTAAATAATCGAGTCTGGACCAGACAATCCAATGATCAACAGCGTGATCAACAGCGCAATGACATGCGTACAATGACATGAGCCTGACCACCCGATCCCGTCAGTCGCCTCTTCCGATAAGCACGGGTTGCTAAAGACCAGTTCTAACCCGGATCATGTCGCTGGAATATTGCTCAGTATGCACAAAAAGACAAAGACGATGACACCGTGCCGATCCATCATGTGGCTCTTACGGCTAGCACGGGAATAATTCCACCCCAGAAGAGTTTGGCAACGTACCGCTATTCCTTGATTGTCTAACTGGTCACATCCCGGGTTGATTCGAGCCGATTCCCCGTGGTACTCTGTGAGGAAATGCTGCCTGAACGGCAACTTGGCGTTGTCATGAAGCAGTGGCACAATGGACCTGCCGTCGATGTAATCGGGGATCGTCGCTCCGGCCAGGTCCATGAAGGTCGCGGCAAAGTCGATGTTTAATACATTTTCCTGGAAAGTGGAGTACATCATTTGGGTATCTAAGGTCATACGCTATATGAATTCACTAAATCAACATAAAAAACAAACTATGTCAAGCCTTTTGATATGTCTCAAGAACAGGGATCCGTTTCACAAAGCTGTCGTAGCTCTGCGACTATCTTAACTTCTATGCTTTGATGTAGACTTACGAGAGTCGTTGCGCAAAGATCGTTTTGTTAAACGGGACCCTGATTAGCATGTATGTTCGTTTAATGATTTGACCTGACGAGTACGTGGGCGAGTCTAATTTTAGTGCTGTCAGTTAGTGTCATGTTAGTGCTGTCAGTCTCACAGATATTGCATATAGCATGGCCAGAAGACGATTAATATTATTGTGTTTGTTTTTGTTCTTTGTTTAACGCCACACTCAGAAATATTTCAGCTTTATGGCGGCGGTGTGTACATAATTGAGTCTGGACCAGACAATCCAGTGATCAACAATATTACCATCGATCTACATAACTGAGATACGATAACATGTGTCAGCGAGCGTGACCACCCGACCCATTAGTCGATTCTTACGACAAGCATGGATTGCTGAAGACCAATTCTAACCCGGATGTTCACGGGTTAATGCTATTATGACACTCACTAGCATGTCTGTGGTGCTGAGAAGCCAAGGATCATAAATGCAAAAGCGGGATATGAATTGACGATCACGAACAAGGCCACCTGTTTGTTCTGACGTCGTTTATCGGTGCACTTAAACGCAACGTTGATCCTCATTTCACCTAACTTCCCCTTTTGGCACTGACCTTGTTGACTGAACGGGGGCGTATCCCAGGACCCCGAACTAACAGTGGTACTCGAACATCAAACTCATAAAGGTTCCGCTTGTCCATCGGCAATGAAAACTGACCTGTAAATAACGAAGTTTTAGCAACGCGTTCAGCAGTATCATCAATATCAGACCTTTTACTCCGTTAGGCACCTCACAGATTGCAGGGGAAAGATCTGATTCCAATAAGATATGTTAAACTGAGAGAATGAATAAATATTTTACGCCATAGTCATTGATATACCACGTATATCGCAACTGGGTTTGGACGGGCAAACCGGCTGCTTTAGGATCACGCTCTCAGTCAGCATGTAAATTTGTACTAAAAAAATATAGCGATGTGTATCATTCTCGTGGCGATATTGAAGTCATAGTTTTGCCAGTGAGGCTTTATGTATTAAACCTATCACTCCATACATATATTCCGGATTAGAGTGAGTGAGTTTAGTTTTACGCCGCGTTTAGCAATATCACGGCGGGGAACACCAGAAATGGGCTTCAAACATTGTACCCATGTGGGGAATCGAACTCGGGTCTTCGGCGTGACGAGCGAGCGCTTTAACCACTAGGCTACCCCATCGCCCAATCCGGATTACAATATGACCCTAGTAGCCTACGCTTAAATGAGGTGAATCGGATTGGGTGTTCAGACTCACTGACTTCGTGTCATCGAACCCTATTTGGTGCAACGTAATTCATATTTTTAAATATCAATCACTGGTTTAAGTGATTTAATATTGCTGCTTGTGACCATTTCCTGAATACTTGCCTATGTGGTATCCGTTATCTGAGGAGTAAAATATGTATGTGTTGTCAAGGCCAAACTTCTTCAACAACGTGCTGACAACATCTTCCACCATATCTTCAACGGACATCAGGGTACGCCACCTTTAAAAACATGAATATTCGCATCAGGATTTCTCGCTTTATATTTTACATTTGTCTTGTCAAACAATATTTTTGGCATTTAGTTATCTGACGAGCGGAGCCACAAGTGAAAATATAGAAAATTTGAGGAAAGGATTTTAGTTTTAGGGTTTTACGCCGCATTGAACAGTATTCCAGTTATACCAAATCGTGTCAGCTTGGTGTAAGACAAACGCCTGAAGCAACGCAGCTCTGTCTTCGATATGAATATTACTTGGGTGAAACCTACAAACTGCATGACCCGTTCAGGCCAATGCATTTTTTTCTAAATGTTCGTCATGACCTGCAAAAACCAGGACGTGTTATTTCACAACTACAGGATTATCACCAAACAATTAATCCTGCAAAATGGGTGTGGAACATATGTATTTTATGAAACCAAAACCCCTTTGTTTAACTTTTAACTTGTTTAATAAACAATATGCCCCTAAGTGTTGCTGTTGTCCAGCGTACCTGTTTCTATATATGCCATCAATATACGTGGCAGTATCGTTAGGGATTGGTGTTATAGCTTGATCAATAATCCAGTGCTTGTCCTGAAATTAAAACATTGTGTCAAATACATTACTGTCACAGACACTGGATCATATTTTATATACAGATGTATGCAGGTGTATGTCTAAAAATATCATATCTTATCCATTTCTGAAAACAAAATTTATTGATGTACAAAGAATAAGTTTTACATATGTTGAAACGCCCGTCCCGCCTCGATTGCTATTGACGAACATCGTACTTCACGAACAAGATCAAATATATGATTGAATTACTTGTATAGAATAACTAAGTGAGTTGGTTTTAAAGGCGATTTTAATAGCAGTTCTTCTGCATTACGGATTGTCATCTTGATGGGAGTATTACGGATTGTTGACAATCTTGGTGTGAGTATTACGTATAGTCATCTTGGTGTGATTATTACGGATTGTTATCTGCCGAATCCAAACATGCAGGCTTTTCAGACAAGATTAAATCTTTCCTTGATTCATTCAGGGTTTTTACATTGCGGACGGAAATGTCTGAGGGAAAGGGTAATAATGTGGTTTAGGGACTGTGTGACAGACTAACAAGGAACCTGACCTTGCCATGAACATTGTAGGATCCCGTTCTCTGTGCAACAATGTCCGAGAAGTGATCCTCGTACTGAGGTGCGGATGTCCAGGGCTCGTGACATGCTGGGGTGGACAGCATCATGAAGAAGGGGGTGTCGGCATTCTGGTAGCTCAGAAACTCCATACCGCGTCTATGCTAATTGTGGGAAAAAGAAACGGTTTGGCAAAATTTAATAAATCTTACCTTCATATAACTTATACAATACAAAGAGATTTTCCAAGGCTCTTTACTCATGATTTGCATCTTTTTAAACATGATCTGCATCTCTTTACACACGTTAATAATCTTTCATCATAAGGTCATGCATGTTCGAAACTGTTTTTGAATTCCTATAATCAACACCAGATAATATCAGTCTCTAACAGTGACAAAATAGTGAATGTGAATGGGTCACTAAGGACTGTAACGTCACACAGCCATTATTTCAGAACAGAAAACTCGAATTACTTCTTTCATATCTGCGCACCGTGTTAAAATATATCAGACAACGCCACAACTCAACGTCTATACACGCTATTAAAGGTCTTTCAGTCTTGCTTGATCGTGTTTCTGCACTAAGATACCTTTAGTCTTATACGACAGTATATATATAACGATAGTTACGATCACATCTGTTAGGTAGTCCTCGGTGTAATTGGAACCGTGAGTCTCTCTAGTTCCGTTGATTGACAGATTGTAGTTGTAATAGACTGAGTTGCCAACCTGAAATAACAATAATAACAATTATTGATATCAATGAATTGTCTGTGCATTTTGACACAAATGTAATCAAGATTGAAAATTCAGCTTGTGGTTTTGACGACCCAGAATATGTAAAGGGCGTCATGGAAAGTGAAAATTATAAAATACTATTCAAGCAGACAAATCTGACCTTGTCGTTTTTTAATAAAACAAAACAAATTATTTATATCATTGGGTTCTCTATCTGATCCTTTTGTTACAAATGTGATCAACAACATTCAGGAAAAACATGGCAGTTATGCGGACCTCGCCTACGAGATAGCACGCTTGACTAGTGGTTAAAGCGTTCGCCGAAGACCAGGGTTCGATTCCCCATGAGTACAATGTGTGAAGCCCATTTCTGGTGTCCCCGCCGTGATATTGCTGGAATATTGCTAAAAGCGGCGTAAATCTATACTCACTCACTCTTGGTGCCTCCCAATCAATTGGCTGACACTGGGAGAGTACCGAGTTTGCTGCCAGGAACACCGCCCCCAAACAGTCTGGAATATGTATGTTATCCACCAGTACAAACACCGACGTACTCACCAGGCCGACCCACGAGTCCCATCCTGGGGGTACGTGCTGCACTCCACCCGTAGTATCCTCACCATACTGCAATGTCGACACCGGATTATCACAAACACTGGATCAATTCCCGCCTTTTCATCGTCCACCATACCCCACAACCGTGCTGGTTGCCCTTAAAACGTGTCAGATAACCCCGACCAAGTGTAAAACCCCAGGTTAACCTTGTTTCTGTCCTTTACCACATACCGTCTCCGGTTTTGTTATCAGATGAGTATGAGATCTTCATCGAAACTGTAAATGGTGGTAAAACGTATCCACCCCACACAACCAGTTAAAAACACACCGTGTGTTACCTACCATTGTAATATTCGTCTGAAAAGAAACGGATCCTGAGGACAAGGAACACAACTCTTCACCGCTAGTTGCTGAGCCTTGGAATGCTGTATATCTGTTACACTACTAAGCAACATACCTATTATATGAAGGTAAATAATCGAGACTGGGCCAGACAATCAGAGTGACTGACACCTTAAGCATCGGGTTATGGTTAATGGAATACGGTATCATACATCAAGGAAGTCAGCGCCTCTTACGACAAGTGAGGATTTCCGAAACTCAATTTGTACCCGGATTTTAATGGGTATTTGCATACTACTGAATGAAGACCATCAGTGTCTCCTCTACATTTAACATATATGACCATTTGAAAAAATAGATTAAACCATTCATCAACGCAGTTGCAAAGTCTTTTGAATTTTGCTTTATAACATTACACAAACGGTTCCTACTGTCATCACATTGGTTACACCCTTACCAGATTGAGGTACTTTCCAGCGAAGAAAGTTGAGTACCCTTGCTGCTTCATGAAGACGGGGAATGCGTTGATTTCCTGTGTTTTCTGGAAGTCGGGGCTGCTGCAGTTTCCCGCCACGCTGTTGTTTATTGCCAGGTGATTATGCAAATACTTCCCTGTGAAAATACTTGATCTGCTCGGACAGCACACCGGGGTTGCTACAAACTGATAGTAATAGAAATTAGAACATCTGAAATTTGCGTTGATCCAAGATAAATCAGATATACTGTATAACATGCAGCAATGTATGTTTGAATGTGGCGCCGTCTCTGTGGTCTTGTAGGCAGAGTGACTGAAAGTGGGAGCTTGAGAGAGTCGACAGTTTGATCCCCGTGTCGTATCATACAAAAATACATTTAAAGAAGGTACTTGTTGTTACTTTGCCTGGCAGTCGGAATTAAGGGGGTAAATAAAGGACTGGTCCGCTCTGAGTCAGTATTACTTGTGTACGTGAGGTATCCATGTTGAAGTATGTTTCGCAGTGTGTTTGCACCATAAAACCAAGCATCCACACACAGGGACATGGGATACAAGTGAAGGCCACCCAACAACCCAATTCACCCTGATGTACATTTAGACATTCTCAATGAGATCGTCCTGAAGGCTGGGGTTTCATAACCTGGGGAACTTGGACTAACAGAGTTCCCTCATTCATTTCAATTCATCATTAACCCGTGAAGATCCGGGGTAGAATAGGTCTTCAGCAACCCATGTGCTTGCCATAAAAAGGCGACTATCTTGTCGTAAGAGGCGACTAACGGGATCGGGTGGTCAGTTTCGCTGATTTGGTTGACACATGTCATCGGTTCCCAATTGCGCAGATCGATGCTCATGCTGTTGATCACTGGATTGTCTGGTCCAGACTCGATTATTTACAGACCGCCGCCATATAGCTGGAATATTGCTGAGTGCGGCGTAAAACTAAACTCACTCACTCACTCACTCAATTCATCATTAAAGTCTAGTCGAAACGAAATTTTTGAGCTACGGCCAATTTTAAGGTCATTGTTTTTGAAATGGTAACATACAATAATAATTTCAATTTAATGCAATATTCGTTGACCTGGTCAAGTGATTTTTGTATATCGCACGGACTTTCACTAAATATGACTGTATTATCAGCACATAATGTTATAAATTGTAGCAGTAGCGTTATATATCCGCTCAGCTTTTGTTCCATTTCACACCTCCAGTAGTTGTTTTTAATAGGCATTGTTCATTTACGTTTAAATTTATATGCTCAAGACAACATATACACTATAAACATGCTACCTAGTATAGAAAATAGAAGTGACAAAACCCTTTACACACCCATAAGAAATCTCTGCTAAAAGCAGAGTCGATTGTAAGTTTGGACTATATCATGAGTATATTTTTGTTTCAGCAATATTACAGCTGTACAATGTTGTTTGTAAACAAATCGAGTCTGGACCAGAGAAACCTATGTCTAAAACAAGCTTGTGTTGAAAACAGAAGATTATTTCAATCAAGGATCATTTTTAAACGGATGTATATTCCATGAACATAAAATTGTTATTGCGGCATAAGAATCTGGATCCTGTCAAGTCGCGGAAACGTACCGATATATGACCCGTACTTACAGATCCATACATGTCTGATAAGACCACAAACTAGAATAAACTATCCTGACATGGTCTACCAGCCTGTTAGAGATAATGTCCTGATTATGATAATACAAAACAACTCACATATGTTAGCTTCCCTATACCATGGATTGGACAAAGGTTTAAACTCATAATAGTATGGTTCCAATCACACCAGAAGATTTGACAGTGCTTGAACGCATAAATTAATGCAACAAGCTAAGGGTCTTCTTGGCTAAGTTCCTGACGTTTGATTCATTTTGTCAGCTACAGCAAAACATTCCGATTCGTTTGCATAAAGAAACGGAAAATCATAATTCAAACCAGTACGTTTCCTGTCTGCTATTGAAGAGCTTGGATCTTAATTCAATTTGTAATTATTCAAATATCACACTTCGCCTTCTGTTCGGTAATATATTCTATATTGAAAATTCACAGTGAATTCATCTACTTACCATATTGTCGAATGTCATTCCTTCATTTGCAATGAGCTTTTTCGTTTTCACCATGGGCGTCTGAAATGACCATAAACAACGCGTTTGACCACATGAGCTATATCCGATTCTCTTGCATCCAGCAATAGAGCCATGTTAAACTGTACTTACCTGTGCCTGTATCTGAGTCTACGCAACATGACTATACAATACATATGTAAACATAAGAAGTGAACTTAGTGATGGAATATTGATAAAAGCGCCGTAAAACCTTACTCACTCACTCACTCACTCACTAACTATTGTACTCACGGACAAACTATGCTAAATACGTTAGCATGGACGTAAACAACATTACTTGAAACTTTAAATGTGGGCGGGAGTATGTGAAAATTCAGAAATAGTCTCTCTCTCTCTCTCTCTCTCTCTCTCTCTCTCTCTCTCTCTCACACACACACACACACACACACACACACACACACATTACAGAAAACAACATGGATAAACATCAAATCAAACCTACCATTCCACCGATCTCCGAGTCTTGGTCATCTGTCAGTATGAAGACAATATTCGGAGGTTTTCCAGTAACGCTGTTTACCATGTACAAGGTGGCCAATATGCCACACAGGAATTTAACGTCCACCATGGTTCGTTGTTTAACCTACAACTGGGTAGCCACACGTGAGATCTTCCAGTGTGTTCCACTTTTCAGTCCGATAACGTACGTTGACTGCTCTAGCTTGACCCAATCCTCGTCCTTGACGGGGTAAGGTATGATAAAGGACGTTTTTATCAAATACTAATGACTCCCGAATTTTTTTATCTACTTCATTTATACTCGCGTGACTCAGTACGAAATGTACTCTACGTTTGAAGTATCATTATTTAGATCGCTTGAAAAAATATGTCCAACCTCTTGAAAAACATATCTGTGACACGTTTACGCGGTAGCTTATCGAGGACAGTCATAAATAGGTCAGGTTATTGAGATACTTGTTTTTGTTTGTTTCTTTGTTGTTTTACGCCGCACTCAACAATATTCCAGCTATATGGCGGCGGTCTGTAAATAATCGAGTCTGGACCAGACATTCTGAGCATCGATCTACCCAACTGATATACGATAACATGGGTCAACTAAGTGTACGAGCCTGACCACTCGTTCCCGTTAGTCGCCTTTTACGTCAACCATGGGTTGCTGTAGACCAATTCTAACCCGGATCTTCACGGGTGTATTGACACACATTAGTGAGGATATTTGTGTAGCTCATGTCGAAATGTAAATATAAATCGAACGGAAATAGAGACTATTTAATACAAAGTTGTGTACATGTTATGATATAGCGTAAAACTAAACTCACTCACTCACTCAAATGTCGGTCGTAGTGTCATTTCAGTCCAAGACACGAAGCCAGCATTTAGTACAGACATATGCTATTTAAAGGTTCCCTTGACACCGTGGCATCTTATTGATAATGGTTCAGTCAAGGCACGTGTTGATGGCATGATTTTTCGGTATGTGACTTATATTCGTATGTCAATAAAAGAGAACTGTTGTGAAAGTAGGTTATTGGTGAAATGTGGTAAAATATCTACTATTGCTGACAAAATAAATCTGACTACTCTTATTACTGTAGATCAAATGGCATTACCGATTTTCGTTCAACTTGAGTTGGTGTTTTGCTGCATTCGGTTTGATTATGTGGTGTGAAGGGACGTCCACTCCTTCTCCATTAATGTCACTGTCAACTCTAATATTCATGGCTTTAGGGGCGGTGAGGAAGCGTAGTGGTTAAAGCGTCCGCTCGTCCATCCGAAGGCACGGGTTCGATTCCCCCTTGTGTCCTCCGTCCTGTTGCTTTAATATCGCTTCGAGCTGTAAAACCCAACTCACTCCCTCACGTGAGTTTTGGCAGACTGTTTATAGAGGTGAGGTAACATGGGGTTCAACGTCTCTTGTGTGTCTGCTAGTGTTGACTAATGCCTGTGTTATAGTGCTAGTCCATCGAGATACCATGCCAAACGTAACACAATGTATATCGCATCAGAAATAGCATATGGTTTCCAAGTCGACCAGTAATTGTCTTCTTCTCCCATTAATGCCGAGCGCGAGTGGGAGTTACAAGGATTTCGGGTGGTGGGGTAGCCTAGTGGTTAAAGCATTCGCTCGCCACGCTGGAGATCCGGGTTCGATTCCCCACGTGGGTACAATGTGTGAAGCCTGTTTCTGGTGTCCGTGATATTGCTGGAATATTGCTAAAAGCGGCATAAAACTAATCTCACTCACTACAAGGATAGCTGTGCAAAGTTGCGTGCTTTAGTGGTGGAGTATACCCAGAATAGTGAGTTCGTTACGTTTTTCGCTACACACGTACACTTTTAGATTTGAAGGTCGCTTTGAGCAGCATTTCTGTTTCTTTCTTGGAGGAAAGTCTGAGATAAGTGAGACGCCCATTACCTTACAGACTTACTATGCAATGCTGAAAAACTACGTATCAGGGTGAATCTGAAATTCCAACCCGCAGTCAGTGGACGCACAACGAATTGAGGGGTCACAGACCACCCGTTTCTTAGGCTCTTGGGTTCTTTATACGTGTGTTGATTTACGCCTTACAGATACCATATGAGCACACCTGTGAAGACCCGGGTTAGAATTGGTGGTCAGCAACCCATGCATAGGTCGGTTGGTCAGGCTCCCTGACACATGTCATCGTATTCCAATAGTGCAGGTAATTCTGTTGATCACCGGGTTGTCTGGTTCAGACTCGATTATTCACAGACGAAACGTGCTGAGTGCGGCGTTAAACAACAAACAATGGCACGATGATCAACAAGTCACTGTGTCACGATCTATGTCACCATGAGTTTGTTCGTTCTTTATTAGTTCACAGCATGTACATCATATGGATACACCATTACAGATCCCATACAGGTTAACTGAGATTTGCTTGCGGAGAACGGCACGTGGGACCATCGCACACCACGAGACGAGACATGGCGTCCAGAAGCTGGGTTCTCTCTTCCGGGTGAGACTTAGCGATGTTCATCAGCTCATAGTGGTCGCGACTCAGATCATACATCTCCTCAAAATTCTGAAATACAAGGTTACAGGTGGCATCAGGTCAGAAATAGTGTCCGCTCATATAATTTTGAACAATAGATGGTTTGTTTCACAATGAAATCACAACCGGCAACCGACCCTGTCTTGGATTTACCTCACTATCGGCGAACTGGCAGAACTTCATGTTCTGTTCCCCGTCACTCCGTCTGATGCAGGTATAGGTGTTATTCCAGGAGTCTTCACATACACAGTGGGTCCACGTGTGACAGTACTGAATTATAATAATAACAGTATTAAGTGATCATTATTGTTGCTCGATTAAAGCACCAGTTTGCCTTCAAATCGTAATCATATTACCCTGAGTTGTTCAAGATTCGAGAACAAAATGAACACTTATATGGTCGCTAAAAACACTGGATTGAGTGAGTGAGGTGGGTTTTACGCCGCTTTTAGCAATATTCCAGCGGGTGACACCAGCAATGGGCTTCACACATTGTCCCCACGTGGGGATTCGAAACCAGGTCTTCGGCGTGACGAGGAAACGCTTTAAGCACTAGGTTATCCCACCGCCCCTAAAATTGACCTCGTAGGTTTGTGTGTTATACCGAGCCCTTTACAGGACGGACATCTCATAAAAGAGAACGACCTATCGCGAACTTTGACCAACCAATGATGTGAACTTTAGCCAAATAGCAGTCAGTCAGAGCTTTACCCCACTGGCGAACTATCTTTTGAAAACAGTTCGGAAAAATGTTTTTATTCAACAAATATTTTATCATTAAAGAATAAACTTTTATCATTTTTGCCATGATTGATCATAAGCTGATGGGACACCGCTGTAGCTATGTCCATACCGCCATTCCTTGGTCGTCCCACTGGGAGCAGGAGGAGATGCCGGTGTTGGCCTCGCCATGGTACTCAGTGAGGAACTCCGTCCTGAACGGCACCGAGACGTCCCTGGTGTTGTGCAACAGCGATGCCAACGACATCCCATCCATAGTGTCAGGGACATGACCTCCCACCAACTCCACAAATGTCGGAGCAAAGTCTATGTTGAGGACGTTTTCCTACACAGAGCGGCTATGTTAAAGGCTATGACATTGCGGCAGTATTGTTTTGGTTAATGCAAGCAATTCTTATTCCTCAAATATAATGTACAATTTAATGATAGTATTAAACATATTTTCATATAGTTTTGCTGAATGAATCCTAAAGGCTTCCATGCCCATTAAATCAAACAATTCTTATTCCTCAAATTTTTAAGTACCATTTAATAACATTGTTTTATATATTTTCATATTTTCATCATAAATGAATCCTTGACTTGAGTACATTTTTCGGACTGGTAAAAAAGCATGCAGGAAATGAAACCCCTTCTCACCATGCTCTCTGACCCCGCTGGAATTCCGGGGCCTCGAACCAGCAAAGGAACTCGGACGTCGGACTCGTACAGGAGACGTTTACCAGTCGGCATGGAGAACTGACCTGTGTGGGCAGTACATTAGTGTATCAGGTACGGAATAAAGGGCTCTGACATCGCGCTCGAGATGTATGTATGTGGCCGCTTGTATTAGTTTCTGTCTAACAGTTCTAACCTACTGAAATGCCATGGCGCGAGTTTCTGTCGAACCCCTGGCTGGATAACATCAAGAACCACCTATGAGCGATCAAGCGATCGAACCACTGACCTTCCGTCCTCAAAGCAGATGCTCAGTCCACTACACCATTGAGGCGGTTAATGTTTGAAATGTCCTCAGTGTCATTATTAAAGGGTCACCTAAGCATCTAATATGTCAAACAGGAACATATTTCAACAGGGGTCAAAAGGTCTGAGTATGCTAAAGAACAGGCCTCTGATATATGATATATAAAGATATGCCTCTGACAAACTGTGGATCAATATAGGAAACTGTAAAATATGATTGTTGGTGGTCAGTCGTTTATCGCAGCAATTGTCCAGCTACATGACGGCGGTCAGTAAATAATCCACTCTGGACCAGACAACCCAGTGATTGTCATCATGAGCATCCATATACGCAGTTAGGGATGTGAAGACATACATCAATCGCGTCAGAAGGCCGGTCTGCCTGATCCCGTTAGTCTTCTCTTACGACAAACATGGGTTGTTGATAGTGTCTTTCTAACCCGGATTTCCACAGATTGAGTTCGTTATATCCATGCACGTGTAATACACGACAAGTGACATACAATATGTGTATAAAATGGTCAATTTCCAGATGTACCCGAATTGCTATGTTGGAAGCAGAAAATGGGACGTTTTGTCTCTTATGACTTGCGTGGTCCCTCAATAAGACACCTTACCATAGTAGTTGTGTTGTGAAATGGGACAAAATTAAATCCTATATACACTGTGTTATTTTGATTGTCTCATCGGGCTAAAATACCTTACATGGAAACGCCTAAATTACACCCCTTAGAACCACATCTTCAGGTGTAATTCCATCATACCTGCGTGGTAGCCGTTATCGGAAGAAAAGAAGATGAAGGTGTTACTGAGGAGTCCTTTAGCTTCCAGTGTGTTGACTAAATCTTCCACCATGTCATCAACCGAGAGCAGCGTCCGCCATCTTGAAATGCACATATATCCGTAAAGAGATATACAATAGTATACAAGCATTGTCACCAAGGTGACATTATCCCCCGCCGCAAATTATCAAATCAATGCAAATTTAAGTTAAATTATAAAGTAATGAAAGCTTAAGATGAAGTTAAATGTCAACAAAAACAATGACCAGTCAACCTCTCTTGATGTCTTGCTCTTTAGGTGTTCAAACACACACATATTTTCAAGACTGACTTTGACAGGAATGTCATAGTGTATGAAATATGCAAAAATAGTACTAAAGAAATTGCTTTTTGAAAAACATTTAAGGAAAGTCTTGAAAGTCTTTGAAGAAGATCCAGTGAACTGTTTTTGAAATATCTTGCTGACAATTCAGGTTAACATGCTCAAATCTTCAAAGTGTTTCTGTGAAAATTAAGTGAAGGTCACCAAAATCGACGGGGCCCTGCGCCTTCCCTAGATAAAGCTTGGTTTCAAATATGAAGAAAATCCAGTGGACGGTTCTTGAGATAGCTTAACATGCAGGTTTACATGCTGAAATCATCAAAGTGTCGCCATGACCTTGAAAATTATGTGAAGGTCACCAAATTCGACTGGGCCCTGCGCCTTCCCTAGATAAAGCTTTGTATTGAATATGAAGAAAATCCAGAGAACGGTTCTTGAGATAGTTTAACATGCAGGTAAAACGTTAAAGTCCCCTTGTGACCTTGAAATGAAGGTCAAGGTCACCAAACCTGACTTGGACCTTTCTTATACTGTGATGAACCTTGGTACCAATTATGCAAAGAAACTAGAGAACGGTTCTTAAGATATTCCAATTCGTACGTACGTACGGATGGACGGAGCCTAATACTATATCCCCCGCTTCGCGCTAAACGCGCGGCGGGGGATAATAATTTATTCTTGTTCGGCTGTGGAGGTGGTGTAAATGGGATCTAAATTCATTGATGACGTGCGTGCGTGCTGGCAAGTGTGTGAGCGTGCATTTGCTTGCGTGTACGTGCGTGTGCGTGCGTATGTTTCTAGGTGGATGATACCAAGAACAACGTACATGTCGTTATGGAACGATGACACGCCACCATCAGGAATTCCCACAGACAGTATACACAAAGAAACAATCACGCCTAAACATTTCACGATGTATTTGCTCGCGAAACACCCGGAAATGGGTTCGTATGAATCTGTACAGTCAACCCAGTGGCTGACTATATGAGCACCGAGCCTGCTCCTGTGTGCCGGGCGCCTGTGTTAATCCACGGGTGGTAGGACCCAACCAAGTCAATATCTAAGGAACGTACCTTCTCCTGTATACGTCCTCAACAAAGGCGATAGTGTCATTTTCCATAGGTGTTATAGCTTGTTGAATAAGCCAGTGCTTCCCCTTAACATAAAGAGTAAAACAAAAGTCAGTGTATTCTTGTACAACGAGTGGGTTGGAGGCCACATGCATTTGTTGTGTACTGCGACACTCAGCAATGGTCCAGCTGTTCAGCTTGAGAATTATCGTGTCTGCACCAGTCAAACCATTGATCAATATTATGAGCTGTCGGGTGTCATTACACACCGTCCAGCAAGCAACTGAGCATGACATAAGTAACTAAATCTTGTAATTTTAGATAGCCTTGCAATATGTCATTTCCAATTTACAAACTATCCAGATCAGATGTAAATGACGTAATGAATTAATAGTTTTAAAAAGTATAGGAAATAAGGTTATCTCCCAAAACTTAGATAGCCATATCTTAGACAGCCATCACTTAGACACTAATAAAGGGGATTAATAAAGACAACACCCATGGCTGGAATGGAACAGTCCTAATTAGTGTTCCCTGCTGAGTAGACCTAGCTTGTATTCTTGACGGGTATCTTTACAACAGAAACAAAGTGAGGCAGACCAGTACAAGAGGAAGGATTTGGAAGGATTTCATAACATAATGAACCGCACCCTGCCCCACCGACATCCTAACATCTTCCGGTTCATCGAAATTATCAGGAGAGTAGAGAAAGCTGATAGGGCTAAGCTGTCTTAGTTAACTTTCGGTGCAGCCCCACCCTGCAGAAAGAGAATCTAGTTCCTTGATCTTGGTTAGGGGAATTTTGTATCAGATAAATGCTGTGCTTAATGTGCCAAGGATGTCACGATAATGACCAGTAAGCATTACATGTTATGTGCAATTATGTTAAACTTTAGGGAAATTTTGTGGAAATGCCGTGACATATTAAACCATATTTAACATTTGCTATTTATTTTTTTTATCTCTGTTGAACTTGTAATAAATATGCTGAATGAACATGACGTCTTGTCTGATTGATTCTACTGGACTGATCCATTATAAGACATAGGTATCAGCTTGAGGATTAGTTTTGCACTGAACCAGAAATGTTGTTGTCTTAAGCTGTCTGAGATATGGCGGTCTAAGTTTTGGGAGGTTACCGGAAATAATGTTGCAACAACGTTTACCAGGGCTCCGTTTCATAAAGCTATCGTATCGCTACGACTGTCGTACAGAGCCTAGATTTTCGAAGCTCTCGTAATTAGCGCTAAGATAGTCGTAAGTGCCATACATTAACATTAACTTAAGACTATCTTAGCGCTAAGAGAGCTTCGAAAAATCTAAGCCCAGTATAGGAGGCATGACAGTCGTAGCGCTACGATAGCTTAGTGAAACGGGGCCCTGGTAAACGAAATATAAGCAAGAGCATACCAACAATACGAGTGCCCAGAGAAGGTGGGCATGAGTATGTTGGCAATTTACTACATCCGCATTTTAGACTGACGTGGGTGGTCGGGATATCTGAATTAAGGTGTTGTGATGTGAAATATGGTTGAAGGTCGAGTTAAGAGATATTGCATTATTGTAGCCACGTATTTTCACGTTGCTTTAGTATCTGGACCAATGGCGGTTAAGTGAATGTGTGAGTGAGTTTAGTTTTACGCTACACTCAACAATATGCCAGCTATATGGCGGCGGTCTGTAAATAATCGAGTCTGGTCCGGATAATCCAGCGATCAACATCATGAGCATCGATCTACGCGAGTGGGGGTACGATTACCTGTGTCACCCAAGTCAACGCGCCTGACCACCCGATCCCGTTAGTCGTCTCTTACAATATGCATTGGCTGCTGAAGATCAATTCAAACCAGGCTCCTCGCGGGTTCAATGGCGGTTTAAGACACCATGCCGCATTTCAACATGGGTATCCGATCGAACACCATGACTGGCTCCGACCCGACCGGTCCTTGTTTCATCCCCGTAATACCAGGCGTCAGGCAGGGTAACAACACACACCATTATCAGTAGCACGTGGACGAGAATTAATGTACAGGGTGCCGTTGTACAAAACAACCTTAGCGCTAAGGCTACCTTAAGCCAATGTTCAGGGTGCCGTTGTACAAAGCAATCTTAGCGCTAAGGTGACCGCAGCTCCCATACCATAACATAGGCTAAGGTAGCCTTAGCGCTAAGGTTGTTTTGTACAACGGCACCCTGGTATGGGAGTTACGGTTACCTTAGCGCTAAGATCGCTTTGTACAACGGCACCAAGGCCTTCCTCTCTTTGGACAGACGATCTATCCGGGAGGCGATCTATTAACTAAGTGTGTTACCTTTCCGAAAGTATTGAAGGAGCCAAACCGTGGAGCCTGTTGATCTGGGAAGTTGTTCACATACTGTGGAGCCGGCTCCCAGGGGGCATGGCAGGCAGGGGTGGACAACATCATGAAGAACGGGGTACTGTCGTTTGTCTTGTCGCTCAGAAACTCCATGGCGCGTTTATGCTTTAAATTAAAGTGTCAGTGAGTGAGTGCTTTTACGCCGCTTTCAGCAATATTCCAGCTACTAGTATATTACAGGCATCACACATTGAGCCCATGTAAGTAAATATAATTATATATCTTTAATAACCCTTTTTTGAATGAAACTATGAGCGTATTAATCTCGGTTTGAAGCAAAAGAAATATAAGAAACTAATGGAAAAACAGTAATTTTTGCTCTGGGTAACTGTGTAACACAAACTCAGCGTAACTGTGTATGTGTGCGTGTGTGCGTGTGTGTGTGTGCGTGTGTGTGTGTGTTGCTTTGCGTCACCCTCAACAATATTCCAGCAGCATGAGGGCTCTCTGCACATATTGGAATCTGGACCAGACAATCCAACCACCATGGAACAATGACACATCAACAAAGTTGCCGAGCCTTCTCCCTCAATCGGTTAATTCGCCTTTTAGTGTAGGATGGACAGTCAACTTACAATAATGTCTGTTAAGTAATCACTTGTGTAGTCATGACCATGACTTTCAGCAGTTCCATTGACAGATAGGGTGTAGTTGTAGTACACCGAGTTGCCCACCTGCAAACATACACAGACAGATTAGGCCAAGGTCGGGTTGTCTCGCGTCATTTTACCCAACAGCCTCGGAATGGGTAACCGAGGGCAATTGTAAACTGGTTTCCTGCAAAGCGAACGCACAAACTGCTCATGAGACAGGGTGCCAACTGTGTCTTTACATATACAAAGATTGTTTAAAGTCATGAAAAAGTAATCACCGAAACCGTTATACACCTGTTTAGGAAGGATACATAATTGTACTGTACATAAAAGTACTGTTAACCCAGTGGCAGTGGAATCAAATAATGTGCACGTGGTAATGAAACTCATGATGCTGACAAATCTAAGGGAGGCAACTCCCGGTGCTTCAGGCCACCTTCCACCCGTATCACAGATATTATAACAGGAAATAAGAGTATACTTATATTCACTTCTCCGTCTTCGAATAGTATATGAAGAGACACATATTCTGTATATTATATTCTTTTAAGCAACGGCTATAGGTGAGTGAGAGAGTTAAATAATCGAGTCTGTAAATAATCGAGTCTGGACCAAACAATCTAGTGATCAACATCATGTGCATCTATCTACGCAACTGGTATACGATGTCATGTGTCAACCAAGAAAGCGAGCCTGACCACCCGATCCCGTTAGTTGCCTCCTACGACAAGCATGGGTTAACTTACTGAATTAGATCAATTGTAACACGGATCTGCACGAGTCCAACGGCCATAGATCGAAACATATTACAACATTCCATCTTTCGGGTTCATATCTGTTAATCACGTCCAGTATTACATTTTGTTTGAGGGAAATTGTTAAAATTGGAAAGCATCGATACCGCCGCAATTTCCTGTGAAGACTTGTGTCCCTAGGGTAATCCAGAAACCCGAAGTATGTTCACGGGTTCGAATCCCGCTTCGCCCCGATTATGATTCGAGGTTTCTCAGCACCATACCCGTGGCGAAGCATCACTTCGGGCTTTTTGGGGCGGTGGGGTAGCCTAGTGGTTACGGCGTTCGCTCGTCACACTGAAAACCCGGGTTCGATTCCCCACATGGGTACATTTAGTGAAGCCCATTTCTGGTGTCCCCCGCCGATATATAGCTGGAATATGGTTAAAAGAGGCAAAAACGGAACTCACTCACTCACTCACTTCGGGCTTGGCTGCCACATTGGCTGTGATAGAACCGTAAAATTGTTCAATGAGGCGTTAAAACCACTCTCTCACTTATATTATATTTCTATGTCCGTGAAGCGGTGACACTGTAATCACTTACCAGCCCGACCCAGGAGTTCCACCCTGGTGGAACGTGTGCAACACCCCCTGCGGGATCCGTGCCATACTGTGAAAGACAAACACAGAAGTGGGACATTAGAGAACTGAAACAGTATTAGAGTATTATAGCATCTTTTTCTGAGAAAACAATTTATTCGAAACACGTTAAAAAGAATCGTGAAAAACAAAATGCCCGGATTAACAAGGTTACGCATTAACGTTTCAAAGGAATTTTCTCCCACATGCAGAAATCATGATGAAATGAAAATCGGGTTTAAAGTCTCTATTCCGAAAACGGAAAGGATGTAGTCGAAGAAGGTTATTTAAATTTCTGTTGTAAATCCAAAGTTAAACAAACACAGATGAAATCTCGAACTTCTTTAACTAAGGGTGGTGGGGGTAGCCTAGTGGTTAAAGCATTCGTTTGTCACACCGAAGACCCGAGTTCAATTTTCCACATGGCAATAATGTGCTACGTTCATTTCTGGTGTCCTCCGTTGTGATTTCTCCTGTGATAATGCTAAAAGGGCGTAAAGCCATAGTCACTCACTCACTCGGTAACTCAACATATCGTTTGACCCGATAATCCCAACAGCAACTGGATGCTCCAAATTTTAACACCCGGGTAGTCGCGGAGGATGGATATCTGACGACAGATCATACTATTGTCGATTATCGTTAGGATTTCGCCTAAGTGAGAGATGATAGTATGTGCACAATTAACCTGATTGAGATATTTCCCAGCAAAGAATGTATCGTATCCGTGTGCCAGGAGATGAACCGGAAACGCCTGAGGTTCCTGTGCATGCTGCCAATCACTGCTGCTGCATCCGCCCTCGACGGTGTTGTTCAGCGTCCCGTGATTATGCTGATACTTCCCCGTGAAAATACTGGAACGACTTGGACAGCAAACCGGTGTTGTGACAAACTGCAACCAAGATCGTATCTTTTACTTGTTTGTAGGCAATATTCCAGCTGTATGACGAATGGCTATAATTATTTGAGGGTTGACAAGTGACTGACAGAATGGACTTCAACACAAATGGGATGCAATGCTATGCAATCAACCGAGTCACTGGCGCTCGGTATTAAGGGGAGAAGAAGACAAGGACTGGTCGACTTGGAATCCATATGCTATTTCTGATGGGGTGTACATTGTGTTACACCAGGCATGGTATCTCAGTGGACTAGCACTATAACACAGACATTAGTCAGCACTAGCAGTGAGTGAGTGAGTTTAGTTTTACGCCGCATTCATCAATACTCCAGCTATTATCGAGCCTGGAAAATCCAGTAATCAACAGCATGAGCATCGATCTACGCGATTGGGATCCGATGACCTGTGTCAACCAAGCCAGCGAGCCTGACCACCCGATCCCGTTGCCTCTTACGACAAGCATGTGTTACTGAAGTCCAATTCTAACCCGGACCTTCACGGGTCGTCCATGATGGACCACATAAAATATCACTGCGGTCAAGTACAAGCGTTGAATTTAAATGTCTGAGCGGACATTATGAGCACATAGGCGTCGTGCAATGGCAATATTAAAGTCGTTTACAATGTGAGAGGTCAGAGTTCGCCGCACACGGTGAGCAAATGCCGACTCTGAAACCTAAATTTCACCAATCATGACCAATGGTGTTACAAAGTGCGAAAACAGATTCCACTAGAAGCGCCCCGTAAATCCCCGACACTTTCCATTTTAACAAAGCATACGGCACTATTCGTCTCGGTCTCAGAGCCTAAGACCACATTGTTTTCCCTTCTACCCAGCTTTCACTGTAATGCAAACGCCCACGGGTGCAAGAATCTTCTTCATCACTGGGGCTCCTTTTCGACTTAAAAGAAGTTCTTTGTTTTCCATCAATAAATGTTACACGAGTACATGTGTTCCAGTGTGCCAGGGGAATCTTGCAAAGGAACCCTTTACCACTTACCATGTTTAGGAACGTCATACCATTTTCACCGATGAGTCGTTTTGTCTTCTCGAGTGGTGTCTGAAAGGTATCAAAATATATACTGTGAAAACATTTAATAATAGCAATAACAATCATACGGTCACACACGGTGATGTCCCTTATACATACTGATTTGTATGCATTGGGATATTGCATTGTGACGACGGCCTCTATCCTGTCTGGACCAGACAATCTAGTGATCGTTAGAAATCCCCCACACCCCATACAGGTTTTACTTGGATTTTGTGGCTGTGTCTAAAACGTAAGGTCATCTTTAGAGCAAGTGAGTTTAGTTTTACGTCGCTTTTAGCAGTATTCCTGCAATATCAAGGTGGGGGACACCAGAAATGGGCTTCACACAGTGTACCCATGTGGGGAATCTGACCCGGGTATTCGACGGTGACGAGCGAAAGCTTTTACCACAAGGCTACCCCACCTTTAAGGACAAAATTGAGAATTGCTATTGTGTAATTTTTTATTTGTTCATTTAAATTTCCATATAAACCGACGTGTAACAGAAAGCACTTGCTGCTTTGGGATAATTTAAAAAATAAAACAAACAAAAACACACAAAAAACAACAACACAGGAACTTGATGCGCCGGAAACGTTGCAACTGGGTGTTAGGCAACAATCGTTGTGACAGGTAGGTCACGATCAAAATAATTGATAAAATTTTGACTTTGTTTGGGGCAAATTAACCCAGGGCTCTGATCCACAAAGCGATCGTAACGTTACGACCTGTCGTAATTCTATAGTTTTACCATAGGCTTACGAATGTCGTAGCACTGCGAACGCTTTGTGGATCGGGACCCAGAGCACCAAGTGTGTACTTTCTTGAAAGCAAAATTTGAACTTTACGACTTCACGTTTCGGCTTAGGCCGAGAATTTGAGGCTGTTGTCATTCGCCATATTGATAAGGAATCGCTTAGTCATATTAACTGCATCGTCTTCAGGACAGTCAAGTACTATACAGCTACTCACCATGCCTCCAATCTCTGTGTCTTGATCATCTGTCAGTATAAACACTATATTTGGAGAAGCTGAACAATGCACAGATACCATTACAAGCAGAAATATTGCTGCAGATAGTTTCATTGTTGCAAGATTTTCTGGAAAATCTGGCTATACAAAACACGACCCTGATCTGATCTAGTTTCTGGTAATCTTATCTACGTCACGCAGTAGGGACATTTATTTATGTATACCACTCACTCGTGTGTGGGGACCATTGTGTTGTCAATTGCAGTATCAATCTGACTGCTTTGCATAATAGTGAAACATGTGAAGATCCGGGTTAGAACTGATCTTCAGTAACACATGCTTTTCGTAAGAGGTGACTAACAGGATCGGTTGGTCAGACTCGATGACTTGGTTGACACATGTCATCGTATTCCAATTGCGTAGATCAATGCTCATGCAGTTGATCACTAGATTGTCTGGTCCAGACGCGATTATTTACAGACCGCCGCTATAAAGCTGGAATATTGTTGAGTGCGGCGTAAAACTAAACCCTCTAACTCACACTCACTCACATAATAGTCTTATGATGAGGTCTTTGAACAACCGGTCCCGGCTTCGGTGAGTTGTTTTCATATGTTTTGTCGTATTTAGCAATATTACAGCCACACGACGGCGGTTTGTGAACAATCAAGCCTTACAATCGGGTGACTGACATCATGTAGGCATCTGTGAGTGAGTGAGTGAGTGAGTTTACTTTTACGCCGCACTCAGCAATATTCCAGCTATATGGCGGCGGTCTGTAAAAAATCGAGTCTGGATCAGACAATCTGTCCAATGACTGACAATATGAACAATTTAGACATATACACATAGTGAGAAGCCGATTCTCAAATGAAGCGGCGGTGAGGTAGTCTAGTGGTTAAAGCGTTCGCTCGTCACGCCGAAGACCCTGGTTCGATTCCCCACATGAGTACAATGTGTGAAGCCCATTTCTGGTGTCACCCGCCGTGATATTGCTAGAATATTACTAAGACAGGCGTAACACTAAACTCACTCACTCTAGCTCTCTGAGTATACGTACGTCTGAAATAAACACCAGCACTAGATTGTCCATAAATCCCCTTTCCTCGAGGACTGCCCTTATCCGCCCAAGGAGGCAACCTAATATATGTAACAGGGTATACCAACAATACGACACTATTGATAACCCTATCGGTATAATACAAAAATGTGCATGATTTGTAAACTAAATCCCCCAAAATCACAAAACTCAATCCTTATTTTCATAAACACACATGTAACCCCCTTGCGAACATGTTATGACGAGAACATCTTGAAATCCCTTGCTCTCATTACCTTGTGTAATCTAGTGGCTTCCCGTCTATATATTCAAACGAAGCTGTATCTTAATTTGCTGTAAACAATTCAAGTCATCTACACATATACCAGCTCGCGTGTTTCCGTGGCTATGCATTCAATTGCTTATGACGTTATCAACGCGAGATTTCCAGCAAGCACACTTTTGTTCCTGGGTTGATGAGCTCCGGTTATTTGTATTCGGGCATTAAACCCCTGTGTGACTTTTCTTAATTGGAGAAGTGGTGTGGGGTGGGGGTGTGAGGTGGGGGTGGGCGTCATTATTGGTTTGTATTACAAGGGTGTATGCACATCAAATGAAACACCGAGAACAAGTAGGGTTGGTCTAAGTTAACGCTCATCACGTACCGCACGTGCATTTGTTTCAGTGTTCCAACTACTGCGCTTCCCCCCTTGTAATACAAACCAATAATTGTGATTTGAATCTATGATCGTTTGTTAAACAACTTTTATCCTAAGATGAATAAAATTCTGAGATTCAAATGTTCAATTGGCAAGGTAAAATTATGAGGATTCGCAATCTTTTTGTTTAAAGTGAAATTCATCGGTACGTTTTCACTGCAAACAGACTATAGATCATTTACAGAAAAGCCACATGCACATTCCGGTACAAATGTCCGCACGACCTTGTACAATCTAGTAATCCTAATTCATTACATACATCTAGCTATACATTATATACATTGTATAATGAATATAGTCCTAGTAAGGGTACGGGACAAAAGGGACTCTGTAGCTTGTTGTATAATACATTGACTTTCGTGTTCTTTTAATTCTACCATTTTTAGTCACTGGGTGATTAAAGTTCACATCAACATTTTTGAAATTCGTTATTATCATTTTTAGTCACCAGTGAAGGTCCGGGTTAGAATGTGCCTTCGGTAACCCATGCTTGTCGTAAGAGGCGACTAACGGGATCGGATGATCAGGCTCGCTGACTTGGTTGACATATGTCATCGTATCCCAATTGCGCAGATCGATGCTCATGCTGTTGATCACTGGATTCTCTGGTCCAGACTCGATTATTTACAGACCGCCGCCATATAGCTGGAATATTGCTGAGTGCGGCGTAAAACTAAACCCACTCACTCATTTTTAGTCAATCTGTCCAAAATTGACAGATTTTTCAGCCACTTTGTAGAATGACTTTGCACGTTGCCTACGTGAATCAAGCAATTCATAACTTGCCTGACCATTTTACCGACTTACTGTAGCATATAATATGTTTCATTACACACGCATGCATGTTATTTATCAGGGGGTCATGCCATTACATTGTGATAGTGTGGTGCGGCCGGGACTCCAATAGGAAAACTCCGAATACTCGCATTTCATCCGGGTCACTGTTAATGTAGCGAGCCTGGGAGACAGTCTATCAGTCTATCAGTGTTCCGTCTTATTTTGCGGGTACAACATTGGCGTCGTCGGCAACTGGATATTTTCAAAACATTTAGTGAGTATAGTTTATACTTCCCTCGCGTATTTTTGTCACATTTTGACCAGCCACGTGGTTTGGAAATTGACGTGAGGTTGCCGCGAGTCACGAAACGCACGTGCGTATCATACCGTAGTTTATCCAATAAAACTACTAGCCTTTTCTTTGTGTTCTTTTCAATTTATTATAATTGTTTAGATTATTAGCTCAAGGGAATATTCCGGATAATCTGGAATATTGTAGTTGACGATAAAGGTACTTAGTTTAGGGAAATAAGCAGGGTGTTTTTGCTGTGGTTAATATTATTTTTTGAGTTTTTAGGATCCGTTGATAGGGTTTTCAAGCACGGCTACACCTCTGAATGTAAATACTGCCGATGTTTGGCAGCTACAACTTCTGAAAGGTATCGGTTCAGGTCGGGCTAGGGTTATTGTCCATGGGCGTGAATTGTGGGGGAATTTCTTACCGAAGATATGGCTAGACAAATCCATGACATACCTTCTGCTATTTGCGACTCTTTGATAGAACAAAATCTCGGAGCAGTCCATGGAAACACAATATCAGGACAGTGACCTGGCACGTGTGATACAGCATATGGGGCAATTACACAATTAGGTTGTCTCTATGCAGAAAGAGATTACTTTCAACAGAGGTGAAATTGAGGCCACGGATAGGTGCATTAGACAGTTAGAGAGACAGACAATGATTGGTTAGACAAATTATATTCTAGAATTTCATCTCAACCCAAAGCGGACAATGATGCAGTGGAGTCTCCAATCAGCTGTTTAGTTGACAACTTGGCACAGTCTGGAATATATCGTAGAGGTAAGCACTCATTTCATTCCCAAACTGGAAATCTTCTGCATCAAGGCGAAAAGAGATACAATCACCAAAATGACGGTCAAGTACCATTTAGTAGTCGCAGGGCTTCTGAAGCTGGTCAGAGAGTTCAACAGACATTAGTTACACACCCAAGGACTCCTCAGGTCAGGTTAGGGACGTACGATGGGAAAGCGGAATGGAAACCATTTGAGATTCAATTTGAAAGAATGGCTACTCGTTGGCAGTGGGATAGGGAACACAGATTATATCTTCTTGTTGAGGTATTTCAGGGAAAGGCTCAGAAATTCTTCAGTACTCTGTCTGGATCGGTTCAAAACAATTATAATATCCTCACTCTCAAGTTAAGAGCTCGTTGCCGATGCAACTGATCTCCAACATACAATAAGAAAGAAAATTATGGTGTTGAAGCAATATTCGGACGAGCCGATTGAGGAATTTGCTGAAAAGGTCCAAGAACCAGTAGTAGCTGGGTATCCCGATGCGCTCGATCATGTTTGGGAAACAGCTGCAATAGATACTTTTCTCAAGGGGTGTACAAACAAGGACGCCGCATAATCAGCAATGGATAAAGTCCCAAATACTTTAGACGAAGCACTACACATGGTAAAAACATCTTCAAACAATCTGAGAATTATTCTTGGTTCTAGGAGGGGCGTTGGGGTAGCCTAGTGGTTAAAGCGTTGGCTCGTCACGCCGAATACCCGGGTTCGAATCCCCACATGGGTACAATGTGTGAAGCCCATTTCTGGTGTCCCCCGCCTGATGTTGCTGGAATATTGCTAAAAGCGGCGTAAAACCAAACTCAGTCAGTCAGTCAGTGGTTCTAGGAGGGCGCACTTCAGAAAGGTCCATTTCACAGAGGAGGATAAGTCAGATTTCCTTGTTAGTACTCTAGAGAATGGGAACACTGTAGCTGGGGATCAGGAGTTCTTGAAAATATGGTTTTCAGAGCTTTCGAATGAAAATGCCAAAACTAGGGCTTGCTCGTAGAAATGACAGATACATTGAAAAATGTAATGCAGGCACTTACAGAGCGACAGTCTAGATCCCAAAGTCCTAGGGCACAGAGAAACTGCTACACTTGCGGGGAGGAGGGCCATTTTGCAAGAGACTGCCTGAAGAAACTTACGTCTAGATCTCCATCCCCAGCAGCCAAGTCTTTAAACAGGTAAAGGTTGTGAAAGGTGGCCCATTCCCAACCTGTGTACTTGGTAGTGGCCAAGAAGATAGTTGTAGGGATTCCTCCACAACTTCCAGATGTGTCAAATGGTTCTTGTGCTGATGCAGGTGTTAGGGAAATCACTTTGTATGAAGATGTAGGAGTGGGGAGAAATCAAACTTTGGTTATTCCGGTACAGTGTGGTGATTCGTCATGCCAGGCGCTTGTAGATACTGCAGCTCAGGTTTCAGTCCTTAGTGAAGAGGTAGCACACCGCTTAGGTATTTTTCTAGGTCTGTCAGAGCACATCATTCTGAGGGGTGTGTACAACTGTAGTGTGAATGGTTGGTGGCTTCGGAAGTAACCAATGAAGATTGGAACACAACTCCTCAAATGGGATGTGGTTGTTGCTGCAATTCCAGATTCTATCATTCTAGGTCTAGATCTTCTGAGGCATAATCATGCAGTCATTCACTTAGACAATCTCTCAGTCATACTGAATGGTGATGTGGTTGAGGCAGCATTATTAAAAACTGGTAGTAGTATGAGCAAAGTTGCGCATGTCAAACTTTTGAAAAAGGTTGTTGTTCCTCCCAACTCCATGAAATCTGTTGAGGCATCTCTAGGGTGAAGGTGATTTTCTTCTACAGCCGTCAAAGAACCTCAACGGTCTGTTGTCTCCTTTTGCTATTGTACAAGGACCTGGGACCTTGTTGAGAAACCATTCAGATACGTCTGTGACTCTTAGAAATATTTTGAACTAGGCATTGCTACAGAATTTGAACAGGTCCTGGAAAATAATACTGCACTATCTGGGGGAGACCATTTGAGAGTGCGTCTTGCGTCTTACTCATTGGTTTCCAAGATGTATTTACCAAAGATGGAGCGCGACCTTGGTTTTTGTTCAGTTTCTGAACATAAGATTGATGTTCCACCTGGACAATCTCTCAGGGAAGTGCACCAATTAGCAAGAAAGAAAATAGGAAGTGTCCAGCATCGTCAGAAGATCGAGGGATTATGACATCAAATTGAATAAACGATCTTTCGAGACGGGAGATCTTGCCTACGTGCTGGATTCATCTACTAATGTTGGAATCAGTAAGAGTCTCCATGGAAAGGTCCTTACTTGGTCACTGACTGCCTTTCTCCTGCACATCACTCGGGGATCGGAAGAAAACCTTTGTCCTGTTTCATGACCAGATGAAGATTTTTATTGCAGTTCCTGGGTGGGTAAGAAGCTACGTCATGAATTGGATCAAGGAGTAACAACGAGAGCAGAGTGACGTATCTGTTGACGGGACTATTACAGCGGATGGGGCGGGGTTCAGCAACCGTTGAAAAGAGAGTTCGTAAAAGACGGTTATGGATGAAGGATTATATCCAAAAATCCAGAGATGAGTAACTTTTCAAATTGTATATAATTCCGGTGGTAAGTGTGTATGTCGTGGACATAATTTTGATCACGTGAGTTAATATAGCTTATAATTAATGTATGTAAATTAAGTTTAAGTGGTGGAAGTGATTTATATATGTATCTTTTAGCTGTCATGGAAGAGGAACACTTTATTCCCGACTGTGACGAATCTGGGCTCAGTTACGAAGACAAAATGGTACGAACCAGTCCAGTCGCCCGGAGGGAATCCACCAAGCGGAAAAAGGGCAGTGTGTGTGCCTTGTGTAAAGGCGAGTTTACACACCTTCATCGTCACGAAACCCAGGCTCGCCTCCCTTGGTTTCTCCACCCAACAACATCTTGCTGGATTTGTAAACATCAGTTCCGGCAACTTAACTTCCTCTTGAACACCTTGGCATCAAGCATAAAAATGATCGTGGTCTGGCCTCCTTTACGGATGAGAATCAACTCCAACGATGGGTATCATGTATGGTCTATTTTTTCAAAAATCTAAGAATAAGTCTGAGCTTTCAGTCGCATGATGAGATGCTAGAGGAAGTAAAAACCACGGATATGAATACTCTACATCCTTTGGCGGAAGCCTTAAAATCAGTAGTCAACTAAGGTGAGAATGGTGAGCTACTCCACTGGCGAACTATCCTGTCCCAGTTAGAGCAGCTTCCACAACAAGCAAGAGAAGAGGTAACAACGAGGAGGGCCGAAAGTCAGCGACGTATCTTTGTCTAGTCAGGAGCTGGTAATGGCTGACAGTCATTTTCATTTGGATGTGCTGCTTCAGCGGACCGGCTGCACTGGTCTTGCTGAAGTAGCGCTCCAGTGTCATGACAGCATTAATCGCGCCATTGCAGTCGCTAACTACTGTTGGTCCATACATTGGCCAGCAACCTCGATGATGCAGGACGACGTCTTGAGGTCCTCCGTTGGTATCCATCCCAAGGAAGCGACTCTTGTGAAAGGCAGAAGGTTGTTTCAACAGCTGTAACAATATGCAAGCTCTGGCAGGTTGTCAGCTATTGGAGAATGTGGGCTCGACTCCACCCAGCATGACGACGACGACTACTTGGCCCATCAGTAGTATGTTTTAGAGCAACAGCTGCAAATAGCAGCCGAACATCGTCTGCCTGTTGTCATCCATTGTCGCGGCACCAAGCAGTTGGAGGAACGGCGCCTTTCAATCTTGAAGAGCTGCCTTGACAAAACACACAAACTGCACTATCATTGTTTTTCAGGGGATCTAGATCAAGTCGACCGTTGGAAGGATGCGTTCCCAGAGCTTCTCGGCATCTCGCCTCTCGTATTTAGGCAACAGATACGGGGGAAACTTGCAGATGTTGTCAGGTCGGTGCCATTGAACCAAGTCGTATTCGAGACGGACTCGCCGTATCTGACATCATCACCATTCAAGATCCCAGAGGTGGCGTTTAAAGTGGCTCGGCAGAAGAACCTGCCTGTATGTGTGATCTTACAGAAGACAGCACAGAACACCATCAATTTCTATGAGAAGGGGAGGGATGTGGTGCGGCCCGGACGCCAGTCGGAATAATCCGAATATTCGCAGTTCACGTGTGTGTCCTAGCTCGCGGTTCATCTCGAAGTAAAGAGTGATCACTCTATCAGTGTTCAGTGTTATTTTGCAGGCACAACAATAGTTTTGCTATTTGTTGTTGAATGCCGCACTCAGACATCTCCCAGCCCGTGTTTTATATTGTATTGTCTTCTTTAATTAAAATGTTTTATTTAGTTTTACATGCTAGTTTTATATTCATATCTGTGATACTCTAGTATTTTTACTATCCATCGTCGACATGTTTTACTCTTCAGAATGTTTTCATCTTCATTGTATAAATTGTTTTCATCAAGATATGGCTGAGATATTGCCAATGTGACGTTAAATATTAACTCACTCACTCACTCACTCAGACATCTTCCCGCTATATGTGACGGGACAATCTAGTGACTGTTATCACGAGCACCGATCTATATAATTGGGATACTATGACAATTTCCAGATAGTAGTCTCTTACGGCAACATGGGTTGCTGAGAACTTCTTCACAGGCACATACGTTATTAATGACAGTAATGATGAAACGAGCCTTACCTAACCGTAGCTAGGCAATGGCCGAGAACAGCCTTCTCACTCAGGAAAAGTTTATACACTGAAAACAAAAAGAACGCGAGACTGAATCTGTAGACTAACGCTTAGTCTCTGAATATCTATAATTGTTATAGTAAGAAATTATTCCTTTTAAATTGGAAGGGAACACCAATGAGAAGGGAGATTAGGAAATCTGGACTTGCTTCATTTAGGGCTTTAGCAGCAGAAATGTCAAGGCAAAATGGAAAATAATGCGGGAAAGTTGAAATAGACTAGTGAATATGGTGTAAAGCAGTTTGTCAGTTGTGACGGGTGTCAGTTTGATGTGGGATGAAGACCCGACGTAAGGCATGTTATAAACGTACACCACTTAAGCTAAACCATCTGATGACCGTTGGTATAGTGGATAATTCTTTAATCTGCCCCTTTCAAGGTCTCTATAACGGGGAAATTAATCATAAGATTTTTTCTCTTTGATTTGCCAGGTTAATTAGTTCAGCAATATGTCCGTCATCCGGGTACCCGACAAGGGAGGCAATTGTGTTACTTTTCGTGACGTCGATGGATATTGGTTACCGACCATTTTCCAGGAAGATGTATTTCGAGAATGTCACAAATTGAACATTCGAGAAGATGATGTGATTATCATAAACTGGATGAGATCAGGTAAGACAATATGTGCATCTGGATATATTAGGGTTTCTTAAGGCACTGGCCAGGGAGCAGAAGGTCGGCAAATCGATCCCACCGTCGCGTCATATCATAGTTTTTTTTAAAATATGGCACCTGTAACAGTACAGTTCTTATTCTGCCTGGTGCTCGGTATGGCGGTGTTAAAAAGACTGGACGTCCAGGAATAAGTATAATGCGTCCCAATATGATCTTCATGTGTAACGGCAGCAGGTTATCTCATTAAAAACGATAATTGTACAAGGAGCCGCCGCCACACGCGTCTTCACAAATTTTGAAAACGACGATAAAGCCCATTGCACCTCAACTCACCTCATCTCACCACGGGGGCGGTGGGGTAATCTAGTGGTTAAAGCGTTGGCTCGTCACGCCGAAGACCCGGGTTCGAATCCCCACATGGGTACATTGTGTGAAGCCCATTTCTGGTGTCCCCCGCCGTGATGTTGCTGGAATATTGCTAAAAGCGGCGTAAAACAAAACTCACTCACTCATCTCACCACGGGCGCCCTGGGGGTAGCCTTGTAGTTATAGCGTTCACTCCTCACGCCGAAGACCCGGGTTCGATTCCCCACATGGATACAATTTGTGAAGCTCATTTCTCGTGTCCCCAGCCATGATATTGCTGGAATATTGGTCAAACGGCCTATTTAACCTAAACTCACTCACTCATATCACCACATCGTATCGGTAGTTAATTTATTCTCATTGTGGAGCTCGTCTCTATTGTCCCCCGTCATGATCTTGCTGAAATACTGCAAACAGTGCAGCAACGTACAACCCATCTAACTCACCCACTGTGTATTCCAGGCACCCACTGGCTTTTCGAACTGGTCAGCATGCTACTCAATAACAATGACGTCACAATTCCCAAGAAGAAGGAGGATAACATGATCGAGTTTTCTGACATCCGTACTCTAGAAGCAATACCATCCCCGCGGGTGCTAAACACGCACCTGCAGCCTCAGGTGCTACCGGAAGGTCTCAAAACAGGGGCATGCCGGGTAATCTATCTCATAAGAGATCCTAAAGATGTGGCCGTGTCCTGGTATTTTATGCATACTTCGTACAGTCACTATGAATACACCGGACAATGGCAGGATTGGCTGCCAATGTTTTTAGAAGGAAAAGGTACCTTTGTGTGTCCTGTGGTATATATCGCTATATAGATCTATACCATCTATACATTGTTGTCGGCTTATTTTCATGAAGTTCTTTCATCTAAATTGATGAAATGTATGTATGTATATTATATATAATGTCATATCACTAACAAAGCTTTGATTTACGTTTTTCAAAACATTAAAATTCTCATGTATCTTTCAAAGACCAAAACCCTTTTAGGCATTTGGGCAAACCATACAAAGAAAGTGTTATGTTTTGGGGCAGGTAATATTTACATAAAAATGATTGTTAAAGAGAATCATTCCTCATTTAATGAATGTTTTATTTTAAAGGATGACGGATGCATATGAACGCATGCACCTTAAGGAGTTCAAAAGTGATCTTACAAAAATAACAAGCATCATCCCATTGTTTAAATGTGGAGAAAATATGATTTTAGGTTATAAAATTCATTCCATTACCAAATATACATCCTAAGCTAATAGTTAATCGGTAAATTATTATTTATTAAAAAGCCTTTTTGATCAACCCAGGTATCCCACACATGCTGGTCTTTAAAGATGAGTAAGTAGGGAATGGGTGGTCAGGTTCTGTGATTTGGCTTATGTCATCTTATCCTGTAGGTCGTGGGTCGTTCCCCTGCCTTCAATACCTGGTTTGTCTGATCCAGACTCGATAGACCATAAAATATCGGGGTGTGAAACAATATTTTACAATATAATTGGACTCGATTCTGATTGGTCAATCAGAGACTTCAAATCCGAATAACTAACTGGAGCGTGGAAGTTTACTTGACTGAGAGCGCCACGGTTGTTCAGCTGTCCTTGGACCTTTGAAACCGAAGCTAATATTTTAGACATGCATTTCTAAGTCAATAACGAAATGAACAATTCCAGATTGTCATAAATTGGTTACAGTCATAGTTGGTTTAGCTACAAGCTAGGAATGACTGTTGCAGTTGACTGGAAGTCCTGGTTTGATCACGTCAGATCATGGGAGCGGCTGTTTCAGGACAATCCTGATGTCAACGTCCACTTTGTCCACTACGAAGACTTGAAACTGGTATGTATTGCTTAGACAGACAGTGTTCATTTGTCCTAGAAAGACAGGGTCCTAGACAGATGGGGTATTCACTTTTCCTAGACAGAAGTGGTCCTAGACAGACGGGGTATTCACTTGTCCTTGACAGACGTGGTCCTAGACAGACGGGGTGTTCACTTGTTCTAGACAGACGGTGTGTTCACTTGTCCTAGACATACGGGTTGTTCACTTGTCCTAGACAGACGTGGTCCCTAGACAGACGGGTGTTCACTTGTCCTAAACAGACATAGTCCTAGACAGACTGGTGTTCACTTGGCCTAGACAGACGGGGTGTTCACTTGTCCTAGACAGACGGGGTCTTCATTTGTCCTAGACAGACGGGGTGTTCACTTGTCCTAGACAGACGGGGTGTTCACTTGTCCTAGACAGACGTGGTCCTAGACAGACGGGGTGTTCACTTGTTCTAGACAGACGGTGTGTTCACTTGTCCTAGACATACGGGTTGTTCACTTGTCCTAGACAGACGTGGTCCTAGACAGACGGGATGTTCACTTTTCCTAGACATACCATAGGGGCGTGTCTCGCGTAGAAACAGCGTTAGAAAGACATATAGGTGTATAGACCCTACCCTATTACTATATAAAAGGAAAGGGATGTAACAACGAAACCACCCTCTCCTCAATCAAAGTTAGATTTCACCACGTAAAATATTTTTAAGGCCCCGCCGAGGCCTACGAATCGAATCGAAAGCTAGATGGTTTCCCTACAAAATGAGCTATATATGGGCAGAATCGGATTATTGTTTCAAAAGTTATACGCCATAACTCACCGAAAACAGCTACCTGCGCAATTCCAAGCCAAAATCATGGATCAGCCAAGACAGCGAAAACTCACCTTTTAAATTCGTTTATTAATTCCAGCCACGTTGACAGCACCTATCTAGGGCTAGATTCGATCGGCGGCCATATTCCACGGGTCTAAAAACGGATTGCAACATTCAAGTGACCTGAGCATATCCGCACAAACTGACTCGGGCCCTCCGACTGGTGGAAAATAAATATCCTGTAAAATTTTGTCTGTTTGCTAATGGGCGCGAAATATGAACTTTGCAATATTCCTTCTATTTTGGATGATGTACGGAACAGTAAATTTGTAAGAATAATTTTACAGACGGAGTGTTCACTTGTCCAAGACATACGGGGTGTTCACTTGTCCTAGACAGACGGGGTGTTCGCTTGTCCTAGACAGACGGGTGTTCACTTGTCCTAAACAGACATAGTCCTAGACAGACTGGTGTTCACTTGTCCTAGACAGACGGGGTGTTCACTTGTCCTAGACAGACGGGGTCTTCATTTGTCCTAGACAGACGGGTGTTCACTTGTCCTAGACAGACGGGGTGTTCACTTGTCCTAGACAGACGGGGTGTTCACTTGTCCTAGACTAACAAACGATAGGGATGTTTTCATAGAGTGAACCAGGTTGTCGCGTAAAGCTCACCTCTATGGCAAGCCGTTTTCACATTTATTAAGAAATTAAAGATATCGTCAATTGTTTAAAAGATCTTCCATTTAAAGATATCAATCTATTAAAGATATCGGTAAATAATTGAAGATATCTTTAATAAATTTCTGATATCCAAATAACATTAATGATATATCAAAATGTTATAGAGATACCATGAACTTTTTTCGGGATACCTCTAAATGTGTTTAAGATATCTGTAAAACAATTACGACCATAGTGTACATAGTCTACAACACGTAGTCTTTGAATATATATATAACTTTGATAGTGCAAACCCATTTAAATTGAAAAGGAGCCCAAGGCAGATGGACCTGCGGGAATATATTCAGACCGATTTATTTCCCTTGTTGGTATTTTCAGTTTATGGAATTCATTTCGTCATGCTTTTTATGTAATTAAACAAAAACATGAAACATCGACCAAAAGATCTACCTGTTTTACAGTGATAATTTATACACTAAGTAGATACCGTTCAAACGAACTAAAATGCATGCACTCAAATATATTTATTCAAAGATATCTGTACGATATCCACAAAATGTTTTGTTGAGGTAATTTCACAGGTGTTTTGATTGCATGGCTTTGTTATTCTAACATCGTGTACTTGTACCGGGTATCCTTATTTTCAGAATCTAATACAAGAGCTACAAAAGCTGTCGATGTTTCTGGGACTAGACCGTGGAATAACGTTGCTCGAAGCGATCGCAGCCAAGTGTACTATTGGACGGATGAGAAACGACAAACTGAAATACACTTTACACGAAAAAGGTCTCCCTGTCCATTATCGTAAAGGTATGTGATACTAGGGAGGGAGGTATGTAGTGAGAAATTCAGTTGAAAGTCTCCTTTAGGCATCACATTTGCGGACAAAAACACAAACATATACAGACCCGCACGCCCGCACGCCCGCACGCACATCTATGTACCGCAACAAGATCATGGAAAATCATGTTTTTAAGCTGTGGGGAAGCCTAGTGGTTAAAGCGTTCATTCGTCGAGCCGAAGACCCGTGTTCGATTCGCCACATGGGTACAATGTGTTAAGTTCATTACAGGTGTCTCAGCCGTGATATTGCTGGAATATTTCTGAAAGCGGCGTAAAACCCTTCTCATTCACATTAATCTTCACTCATAATCCTCATCACTTGTTTAACTAGATATTCTGCACTATATAAGTGCTGCACGTTTTGTTCAACAAAATCCTGTGGTCACAAGAGACACAACGTCATTCTCTTCCAGGTCTGGTTGGTGACTGGAGGAACTACTTCACGGTGGCCCAGTATGAACACTTCCAGCGTCTGTATCAGGAGAAGATGACGGGGTCCCGCTTCCAGATTCGATACAGCGCTGCCATGGACTGAACAAGAAGATAAAATTATGTCACAAAATATATCAGAATTTCCACATCGTGTTTAAATTGTTTTGACTCGGAAATCCTGAAGAGGAAGACCCGTGAAGATCTGGGTTAGAATTGATCTTCAGTAACCCATGCTTGTTGTAAGAGGCGACTAAGGGTGCCTCTTCGGCCACCACACTCAGTGCCCCTCTCTCGAACATGGCCATGGGTTCCTTCTAATTACTGCACATTATTTTCTGTACCATTTAAAAAAAGCGTGAAAAAAATGGAGAAAAGAGATGCAATACAATTTGTTATTCACGATCTTGAGTTACTGTACAACATAGTTCAATCCACGATATGTTCGTGTGTGTGTGTGTGTGTGTGTATGTGTGTGTGTGTGTGTGTGTGATGATTGATGATTTTTATGGAGAAGCATGTACAATGTGTATGAAACGCCCACCCCCAACCCCCCGCATTTCATGTTCCAAAATCAATGACCCCCTAGGGCATGTCTGCAAAATTGCTGACCCCCCTACCTCCCAAGAACAAAATGGGTGACATGCTATCGACCACTCGACCGGCCAGCCAGGTTTGATTCATTTGTAAGGAAGTCACTTTGAAAGATGGGTGATAGTACTGAGTGTGGTGTTAAACAACGTTCTCTCACGCACTTTGGCATCGCGAATTAATAGTGGTTGGAGAGAACGTAAAATGCATCTATTACATCTATGATGTTTCCATGCACGCGTCCACTGTACTTTATATCGTATTTTCGCAACAACTGCAGCAACTACAGCAACTATAATCTAGTCTGATAAGTGGTTGACATAATAGAGACGATGACATGCATTTCACTGTCACCCGATTCCTTCAGTTGCCTGCATTGATCAGCATGGGATTGTGGTGACCGCATTAGCCTGCATTGATCAGCATGGGATTGTGGTGACCACAGTAACCTGTATTGATCAGCATGGGATTGTGGTGACCACATTAGCCTGCATTGATCAGCATGGGATTGTGGTCACCACATTAGCCTGCATTGATCAGCATAGGATTGTGGTCACCACAGTAACCTGTATTGATCAGCATGGGATTGTGGTGACCACATTAGCCTGTATTGATCAACATGGGATTGTGGTGACCACAGTAACCTGTATTGATCAGCATGGGATTGTGGTGACCACATTAGCCTGTATTGATCAGCATGGGATTGTGGTGACCACATTAGCCTGTATTGATCAGCATGGGATTGTGGTGACCACAGTAACCTGTATTGATCAGCATGGGATTGTGGTGACCACATTAGCCTGTATTGATCAGCATGGGATTGTGGTGACCACATTAGTCTGTATTGATCAGCATTGGATTGTGGTGACCATATTAGCCTGTATTGATCAGCATGGGATTGTGGTCACCACATTATCCTGTATTGAACAGCATGGGTTCGTGGGGACCCATTACCCTGTATTGATCAGCATGGGATTGTGGGGACCACCTTGCCCTGTATTGATCAGCATGGGTTTGTGGGGACCACATTACCCTGTATTGATCAGCATGGGTTCGTGGGGACCACCTTGCCCTGTATTGATCAGCATGGGTTTGTGGGGACCACATTACCCTGTATTGATCAGCATGGGTTCGTGGGGACCACCTTGCCCTGTATTGATCAGCATGGGTTCGTGGGGACCACCACGCCCTGTATTGATCAGCATGGGTTTGTGGGGACCACATTATCCTGTATTGATCAGCATGGGTTCGTGGGGACCACCTTGCCCTGTATTGATCAGCATGGGTTCGTGGGGACCACCTTGCCCTGTAATGATCAGCACGGGTTCGTGGGGACCACATTAGCCTGTATTGATCAGCATGGGATTGTGGGGACTACATTTCCCTGTATTGATCAGCATGGGACCACCTTATCCGGAATCCCCTACTGGTAGTGTCCTTTGAAAATGCTCCAGTGGTGTCACAGAACATCAGTCAGACGATGAACAGATGAGGTGACTCACAAGCATGTCCTTTTGCTGGTGTGCGCTTTCGTCATTCATCTATGTGTTAGAATATAAGTTTCTTCTTTTTTGCCTGTCCTTTTGTAGGTGTTTGAACATGTCGCCTTTTTGCATGTCATTTGTATGTGTTTCAACATGTCTTTGCATGTGCTTTTGTATGCAATTGAGTAAGTGGCGTTCATATAAATCTCATGTTCCACTCTTTAGAATAGGTCACCTTTCTTGTGTTTGCCATTTTCCAGATGCTTGACCATGGTTCTATCAACTTAAATTCCCTTTGTAGGTGTCACTATGTTTAAAGTCAGTTTCTTGTGCCAGGGGCAGAATAAGATAAAATGTTAATGGTCTGAAAAGATTGTTATAGTTTATTCAACACTTGATCAACACACTCTTGTCTAAAAAGAATTTAAAGAAAAGTATATTTTGACAGGAATGTATAGCTTTATTATGGCTTTCGAGGATTCACCGGTTTCACGTACACTGGCAGCAAACGTTATTTCATTTCCATGTTGGTATAACAGAGTTGTTTAGTGTATACATCATTTATTCAGTAGGAATGTTTATCGGCTCCTGTGTAGTGGTCACTGCTGGGTGATTACCGATCTCCAGCGCACCAGCCTGGACTCCAGACTCCTCCCCAGTGCCTCGGTTTACCGTTAGGGTCAGCTGCTGGGAGGAAGGCAGGGGTGAATGAGCTCTTGAAGACATCAAGTTTGGCCTTCAGTTGGTCCACCACATCAGACATTCTCCTCGACAAGTCTTTGTTTTCAGACGGATCAGCTGAAATACACAACGTGAGTGAGTGAATTTTGTTTTACCCACTTTCAGCAATATTTCAGCAATATAAGGACGGGTGGCACCAGATATGGTTTTCACACATTGTACCCACGTAGGGATTGAAACCGGGCCTTCGGCGTGACGAGCGAACACTTTAACCACTAGACTACCCCACAGTGCCAGATACACAACATGATATTGATTGGTAGTATACATTCCTGTACACCTTATATGACCAAGTGAGTACTGTTTTACTCACTTTTAGCAATAGTCCAGCAATATTAGGTCTTCATACATTATACCCACGTGGGGAATCGGACCACGTTCTTCGGCGTGACCCCACATCCCATATATACAGTAGCTGACCATACGTGAGTCATCATTAGTGAAATTCCCATAGAATTGCATGTTAATTAACTCTTGCAAGAATAATTTTCACAAATTAAGTTTTGTTCGAATTGCTTTTAATACTTATCTACCAGGTGGGAAATCATCTCAGCTATATACACATAATTTTCATTCAATTTTCCGATGATTATTAAGAAAACTGCAACTATTTAAACAACATATATTAGACATACTAATCATGTTTAACATGGCTGTCTATGGGACAGATTAAAAGTTGTACTTATACATGGTGCTTAATCAGGTGTCATTCGATAATTAATCAACGGAAAGATGAAAGACAATTATGTACACGTAGCTGAAGATGATTTCCAAGGTGTTTGCAAAATATCAGAATAAAATGACTTCTACTCAATTTATGAAAATTATTCTTGCATCAGTTAATTAACATGTAAGTCTATGGAAATTTCACTAATGATGACTCACTTTTGGCCAACTACTGTACATTTTCGGTTAACATGGTCAAAGGTGCACTGGTGCACTGACCTTTGACAATGAATACTGATGTATGTAGTGTAGAATTGCGTTCGATGACCACGCCTGAATTCCCTGATTGTGGGTTCGATTCCGGCCTCGCTACACATAGTATCTTGATTTGTCAACTCATAAAGGTGAGTAAGTGAGTATAGTTTTACGCCGCTTTTAGCAATGTTACAGAAATATCACGACGGGGGGACGCCAGAAATGGGCCTCACACATTGTCCCATGTGGAGAATCGAACCCGGGTCTACGGTGAGACGAGTGAACACTTTACCCACAAGGTAGTAAGCATCTGAGACCAGCATCACTGTGGGACTCTTTTCACATTAGTTTATATAAGACTGGGTCAAGTAACAGATATATATGTGTTGATATATTAATACATAAACAATGTGCATAAACACGACACGCTGCAATTACGTGCTTAATGTGTCTCCGTGCCTGTAGGGGATCTCAGAAATCTTAACATGTACTTTTTGTGTCAGTTTCCGAACTTGAAGTAGCCGAATGAAGGCCGCTTTAGAACCTCCTTAGCCTGAATCATGAAACAATATTTCTATATACGTAAGTAAGGGCGACAGATTATTACACTCAGCACATGCAGTTTCAGACTCGGCATATTTAGTAGAGGAAACAGTGCTCTTGTTACCGTCGATGTCATAGAGACGATATTTGACTGTCGTTCTTGTCCTTCCTCTCTTGGTGGCTCGCCGGCGTCTGTTGGTGAGGGGGACGTCGAAGATGTCGTTTCTGCTACCAGGATTCCCTTCGGTCAGTTTGTAGCGCCCGACCCTGTCAGAACAGCAAGATGACGCATGAAACATGCACGGGGTCGGGTAAGTAGTCTTATGGTTAAGGCGCTTGCTCGGCACACAGGTTCGATTAATCATAACTTCAGCTTTCCAATTGTCAAGTTTCCCGGGCCGGCATTATGTTATTTTGAGGCCCAATCTTTTCCACTGAATTCCGCTTGAACTCGAAACAAAGAAGAAGTGAAATTGAATCAATTATCTTAACCTCGTGCAAGTAGCATACCGTGTCCCAAGTACCCATCGTCTTTAGTATGATTGTAGGTTGACTTGGTTGTTTGTATCTATAGTCTTTATCTGTGTTTTTAATATTTAGTGTGCCTATATTGGTGTCATATTAAAACCCCAAAATAATTCAAAATGTAATGCCGTTTAACACCCTGTACCTAAAAATACAAATGGGTTTAAAACAGAACGTGTGAATGTAGCCGAGTTATTGTCGTCCAGACACTCCCTAACCCCGGCTAGCTACCCACTCAGTCACATGGCACTGACCTGATGGCTGAAGTGCCTTCGACCTCGTCAATGTTGTAGACAAACTCTGTCCGGGCTGACACATTTTGGCTCTTGATCATACCCCACTGACTCACGCCGTCGATGTTGTCGTCTGAAACACGGAGTAGGAATGACGTTGCAGTCCTATAATATATATATAGTTATGGAATGAACTGGCAATGGAGTATGATTGGTAGAGCTTATAAGGAACATTAGGTACTTGTGTTGACGTGGAGAACATCAACTGAGCCTTACTAAATTCTGTTAAAATGTCGTCTTCACGTTCAGAACCATGTTTCTTGAGTCCGACTTCTGGTGAAGCATCGGTAGTAAGATTTATGCAACCTAAAGCGTGAACTCATGTAAGATAGTTGGGTACCGTGTCTGGTCATCCAATTCGCATACCTATGTGTATGATGCATGGCACACCTGCTTTTATGTGAGTAGCGCCCGTAAGTAGATGACGGCACTTCGCGAGACCTAACGTTGTTTAGTACTTCAGGTAACAAACAATTCATTCCTTTTTGAATGGTTGTCAGTTGACATCAAGGAACCGATAGTCCTTGCAGGTATAACAAAGTTGGTTCCGGAAGTAAGTTGGGCACCGTCTCGCATAACGCAGGTTGGTGCATGCAAAGGGAGCCGGGAACCTTGTTAGTACCGGAAGTGGCGCCTCGCGAGACTTACAGGCCGTATGGCTAATATAATGGATAGATGCTTTAGTTAAAGAATAATTTCATCCTAGTCTAATGTAATGGATAAACGCTTTAGACAAATGATACAGCCTTGAGAAGACTTATAAACGGTTTAATGACGTTTTGGTGAAATGTTTTAAGATCCACTTTGATATGTCTGTTTACTTACTTTGTGTCACCCCCGCCACCTCCAAGAGCGTTGGGTACCAGTCTACAGCGTGCAGCATCCTGTGTATGAATCAAGAATGTGTTCAATGATCGTTGATGTGAGTCGTTATCTACCCTGCAATCGACATGTACCAAAACACATAAAAACGTGGGACTGAAGACGTCGTTTCGTTTTAATTATTCTTTGCTGATTTAATTTATTCTCCTTTCTCGGATTTAGTAAATATGAATAAAAGAGCACAAAAAGTGAATGCACTGATCGTATTTCTTAAAATATAAAACTTTACGCATCAATGATGTGATTAAAGTATTGATGCTGTGTAAGAATAACCATGGTGAATATTGTTTAACCTGCATCAGTAGTATTGTACTGCTTTGCGACTTGGTAGATTTGGTGGCTGATACTAAAATCTGAACGTGTTAATGAAAATGTTGACTTCCCATTTTTAAGTTGAACTTTTAAAACTTTCAAATTTTCTTTACTGTTTCGCTAGACCGCAGCCTCTCCCGACCTCATCATAGTTCAAACTTTTCTTGTTGATACTGACCTTCGGATCCTACTATTTTTGTTTGATACAAAAACGAAATGTGATTCAATTATATGAAAATTGAACATGCTTCCTGAAAAACCGAACAAGGAAACACAGAGCGATTTCCTCTCTATATCACTCGACAATGAACGCACGAAAGGACAGCACACTACTGGCCATTCAATGAATTTCTGTCAAAGAGAAACATTTTGCAAAAGAGCGTGTCCTGCGTCACGTGATTAACGTCTGTAACTTTTACTAATCACGTGACGCAGGACATGCTCTTTTGCAAAATTGGACAATTTTCATTTGTTTTCCGAAGTTTAAGCAATCATCAGGTACATCTGACGTGTGAAAAAAGTGAATTCGTATGACGTATTTAGCCCATGAACGTCTTCCAGCCATTTAGTTTGGTTAAATGACTATCTTTAATTGTAGTCTAAGCCCATCGGTATGAGACGAAGGCCTGTACCCACCCTGACTGGGTGTATCCTGTGACGTCAAGGTGTGTCTTACTGTAGACGAACGCTGGTGTCCTCACCCCTCCTTCCCAGTACGTAGTCTTGGCCCCCCTGAGGGGGTAGTTGTTGCCGCCGTTGTTAACGTCCCCTCCATTCTGTGATAGGAAACACACGACACTCGTGTAATACTTACATACTTACATATGTCTCACTCGTCCAAACGATTTACCTCGAAATACATCTTAGGACGATGTAATTACGCCTGCAGTATATCGACATAACTAAAGATTGAGAGTTGAGTTAATGATATGTGTCAGTAGTATGGAATGATAGAAGGGGTTTTATCACCTGTTCAAGCTCTGGTTAATTTCGATCCGACAATGTCTATTTTAGGATTCCATACAATTGCACTGTCATCATGAAACAACTAGTTTAGGAGTCAGTGACGAGTAACGTTGGGAAGTCGAGATTCGGGATGGCGAGATGGTCATTATGACTCACTTGTGTCGTGGGTTTATTTATAACCCACTGGTACATGTGTACAACGTCAAAATAACGGTTATTTTCCCGAGAAAATAATTAGTTCAGAATTGTTTAAACCTGTCAAACAAATAGTGAGTAATGTCAAGTTGATTTCAACGATACGTCCTTGTTAAGTTCAAGCAGGGCCGGGTTAGAACTGATCTTCAGTAACCCATGCCGGTCGTAAGAGGCGACTAAGGGGATCGGGTGGTCAGGCTGGCTGACTTGGTTGACACATGCCATCGCATCCCAATTGCGTAGATCAATGCTCATGCTGTTGATAATTGGATTGTCTGGTCCAGACTCGATTATTTACAGACCGCCGCAATATAGCTGGAATATTGCTGAGTGCGGCATTAAACTAAACCCATTCACTAGTCTACCCCACCGCCCCTTATCGTTATTTTGATTGCAGCCAATACCTGATGTGACCAGGTATGCGAATTCTAGAATTTGACATGTAGCATAAAACCATACTCATTCACATAGGTCTTAGTATCGACTGACAGTTACAACATGTCTGCAGATGAGTTTTGAATATTGTAATTACAATAATTCCAGCTTTCTCGGGGCGGTGAGGTAGTCTGGTGGTTAAAGCGTTCGCTCGTAACGCTGAAGAGGCGGGTTTGATTCCTCACTTGGTTACAATGTGTGAAGCCCATTTCTGGTGTCCCCCGCCGTGATATTGCTAGAATATTACTAAGACAGGCGTAACACTAAACTCACTCACTCTAGCTCTCTGAGTATACGTACGTCTGAAATAAACACCAGCACTAGATTGTCCATAAATCCCCTTTCCTCGAGGACTGCCCTTATCCGCCCAACGGAATTGTCCATCTGTGTCACCATACCTGCAACAGAGGGATTACCATAACGCTGAGTGGCAATACCTTCAGGTTAGGGAAATATCCCACATCTACGAAGTTGTGAAAGTTATGTACTCAACAAAGAAAGATATACTCTGTACTACCAATTGACAGTTATGACAGCCAATAATGAAATGTTACGGTATGGCGTCCATGTTTGAAGAACAATATTAGCAGTGACAGACCATCAGACAATATTGCGGTCTGAGGCTCCTTTCACGAAGCAACCTTTACTAAGGTTAACCTAACTCCCATTCTTTAACATTGCATTAAGGTTACCTTAGTGACTTACGATCGCCTTAGTGATTTGTGAAAGGAGGCCCTGATCAAGTACAACGCCAAAACAAATTCAACCTGCGGTGATATAACCCCACCCCCAATCTTCATCGTCACATGACTGATATACTGTTTAAAGTGACGTTCCATCCACTCACTGAAACTCGTACAATATGGTTGACTGATGGATGTATACTGGACTCAACGCCCGATCTAAGCCCCATGCAATGTTAGACTAAACTAGAAGAAATACTGGGCTTATGGATCTGCACTAATTACACCACCGGAGACGCTATGGTGTAAGGCTTGACGGCCCGTTGCGTATCTCACCGCTGTAAATACGACGTGCGTCGTTGACGACGTTACTGTATTCATTCTCATATTGAGAATCCGTCTGCAAAAAGAGGACGCAAATCATTAGCACGGAAATTACACGAAATATTCAACAACAGGTACAATAATAGAATATAATATCCTTCTATAACGTGATTTACACCCATGTACGTATGAAAACATAGGCACTCTCAAACAGGGTACAATAATCAACCGTACAGTAAGCAGTGTGTACAATAGTCAGAGTGTACAGAAATTCGAGCAGTACCGTTAATTATAGTGTATCAAAAAGTGTATACACTGTACAGTAACTAAAATATGTACTGTAATTAGAGTATAAACGGTGATCAGTGTGTACACTAATCTGAGTGTTAACACTTAACAGATGATAAACTGTAACACAAATATTTACGGTAATTAGTATGTTCCTTAATTATAGAGATTCTAGAGTAATTTGACTTCATAAAAGACATTAGTACCTACACCGAAACGTCGCACTCATTGTAATAAAGAAGTTGACTAACACATAGAACTTGGTTTTCCTTTATCTTTACAATTTCTAAATGCCCCTCAAAGAAGTTAACAAAAGACATTCATTCATTCTTTTATCACAGGGTGTCCAGTATTCAGAGGGTGTCCAGTGGTCAGAGTATTCACAGAGTATATTCAGTATCTGTGTGTGGAGGGACTCACCTCGAGGGGCGTATGAGGGGCCTGGTAGGGGAGGTACAGGAACATTGGCGTGTTGGGGTCCTGGCCTTTGATGGCATTTATGGCGAGGTCAGTATACGCCTCCTGGAAACATAAGGACGCAGCTTTAGTAGTACTAGTGGTGGACTGACTGAGTTTGGTTTTACGCCGCTTTTAGCAATATTCCAGCAACATCACGGCGGGGGACACCAGAAATGGGCTTCACACATTGTACCAATGTGGGGATTCGAACCCGATTCTTCGGCGTGACGAGCCAACGCTTTAACCATTAGGCTACCCCACCACCCCACTAGTGGTGGAAGTAGTAGTAGTACCAGTAGTACCAGTAGTAGTAGTAGTAGTAGTAGTAGCCTGACAAGAGAACTGAAAACCTAAGAAAATATATTTCCTTGTTCATGGCTCGATATTGCCCTTGGTTCCCCAGACGGGTAAAGTTAGTGAAGCAAACTGTGGTGTCCCCGCTGTGACATTGCTGGAGAGTTAAACGCGGCGTAAAACTATATTCACTCAGGACATTTTCTACATCTCCGTCAGCCTGCTTCCAAAACGTTCAAGGACCTAACGTTGTAGCATAAGCCCTTGCATCATGCATTATAAAGTCAAACACATGTCTAGTGCATTGAGCTGGGGTCAATGCACAAACACAAATACAAACTACAGAGGGTAATGTTATATTTTGCAAATAATTCTCACAAATTAATGTGCTAGTCAATGTTCAAAACGTATGATGTGCTAGGGTTCATGAAAAAAGAATCGGCACGCCCTCCTATTGACAGTTACTTAAAGGAGAATGCTAGAAAATTTCAATAACTAGCTAGGTTAAAGATAAGTCACCAGGAACATGTATCCCAATTTTTAATGTAAAAGTATGTATATTTATATTTTATTCGCGAAAACTGTTTCTGATATCTGAGCTTCGGCCATCATGCATATTCCGCTGAGACTCAAGTGGCCTTTTCGTCCGTGGAGTCATATGCGATTAAAGTTGGCCATATTTCCTTACACCAAGCGCTACAGTAATACAAATCGTATGGTATTTTTCTGTCGTTTTTGTGATGGTGTTTTGCGTTGCCTGGGGATGCACGGCGTCAGCTAACAATGGAAAGAGCCACCATTGCATCCGGAATGTGTGCAACTGTAGTCTCAACTTACCGTAGAATGGTTGCCATCGTAAGTGTGGTTGACCTCTCTATTGATGTAGAAGTCATAGCCGTTACCTGGAATACAATGATAAGTATAATTCCATTTCCCCCTTCTAAAATATACCTATAGTACACAATGACCCCCTGCCTCCCCATAACAAAGTGGGTGCAAAAACAAACCCCATTCCCACACCCCACACACCCGCCGCCTAATCCAAATCGCCCCCTAGCCATAAATTATGAACGCGCCCTACACACCAAAACGTGTTCGGCGATATTTAGATAGGACTTTTGTAGTTTGGATGTTTTAGCTAAATATATAATTTGATTCAAGTCACTCAAAATCCAAATGGTGTATATTCCAACTCAAATGCCCAATAGGATATCAAACTAACTGTCAATGGTGTCCAAACACAGAAACACAGTCTCACACAACTCACAAAGCGCTAATTCAAACATCTGCATCTGATCTTATTATAAGCAACTGAGCTATAATTACTTATATTAAATTCTTGGTGTGCTTATAACGGCCCCATCCTCTATATCTCCAGGGCTAATATTTCGGTAAACCCACCCTATTCTAGCCCTGGCACAACAGGCGATGAAAGGTGTTTGCGTGGACAAATTGTGACATACGCCAAAGTTGGAATTAAATGTAAGATTTGTCCAAGGTCACATTCATGAAAAGGTTCAGGACTACCGTTACCCTTTGAAGTGGTCAAAAAAATATTCTTTCGAGGAAACGGGCGGGGGAAATGTAGGGATATCCTATATTAGGACCCTAGAATATGCTGTGGAGATAACTTGGGTTACTGCAAGATAATTATCTATCTCTGACCCTTCTGTGACAATCATTTCATATTCACCTCCCACGAACGGGCGTCGATCCACAACACGCCATTAGCGTTAAGACCATCGTCTCCATTACTTTACACAGAGCCCCAGGAAAAAAGACCCATTATGCAGGCCGTGACATAGAACGATAAGACACATGGCCCTTTATTAAATGCTGTCCGTTCATTTCACCATGCAATTACTTCTGTTAATGAGTACGTGTAACTGTACATTAGGACACGCTCTTGGAAAAAATAGATATATTGCCACCTACATATGTTCTCACTTATCCCATCTGTTTCGTTTCAATAAATCAGTATATTTTATGTGACATTAACAGACAACTCACTTATCTCATCTAATCCGCTTCGATAAATCAGTATGCTTTATGTGACATTAACAGAGACACCTGTCGGTGATTGTTGTTGTAATAGGTAAATAAAAGATAAACACAGATGTTCCACTCAACCATAAACAAAATGTCACGTTGTGTTTGTCCTCCTTCCGAAAACTTTTGTCCGAAACCGATTCATATGTAGAGCCATTAAAATGGTCCCTTTTATTGAGATTGTACCCTTGTGTGATTATCTTTGTAGTATTCTGGACACGTATTGAAATAGTGAAGTAAAAGTTAAACACAGATGTTCCACTCAACCATTAAACAAAATTGTGTCTGAAGCTGCTTCGTATGCACATTAAAATCCTTTTCGTTGAGATTGTACACTTGTGTGATTATCTTTCAAGGTATACAGACAAAACGTGATGTCTTCTATTCCTGCTGTCGATGTACACTTTACTTGACATAATAATTATCAGAACCAAATACCACATAACGTATTACTCATGGAACATATAGGTAAAGACTCTGCAAGTGTGGACACAGTTCACTGTTTGTTGAGTATCCTGATGGTGTTAGACAGCATAGTAAAACAAATTATTTACATTTCTAGTTTATATGTACCCCAGTGAGTGAGTGAGTATAGTTTTACGTCGCTTGTCGCAATTTTCGATCAATATCATGACAGGGGACACCAGAATGGGTTTCACATGTAGGGAATCGAACCTGCTTCTTCGGCGTGACCAACGAACGCTTTAACCACTAGGCCACCTTACCGTCCCTTGTACCCCAGTGCTTTCCGTGACTATAATCATAGGTATTATAATGCAATCGAATTCATTCTCAACTCAAACCATATTCCGCGCTGGAGTATGTACAGGTCTACAACCATATGCTTATATAGGGTTCCCATTACAAGCTGGGCGAGTTTATCTAGAACAAATTCTATGCATAAAACACAAATATTAACATTTCAATATTGGTTTATATAATATTCGATTTGTTTTGTGTTTTCGTTATCGGTCGGCGATCGATTTACTGTCGTAAATGTAATACCTCAAACTATTCTGATTGTTTTACCGATTTGAGAATGTGCCTTGTACATGGAAAAGGCGCATAATAAATCCACAATTATTATTATTTTATAGGAGTTAGAGATAATAATGTTTTATGTCTCTCATTACCACTCATATGGTCGTAATGTCCAGCTGCACCACCGAGAATCCCACCGAAAGAGTCAAACCCTCGATACGTGGGGGTGTAGGTCCAGTTACACATACCCAAGTGCCACCTACAAAAGAGACAATGAGGTGAGTCAGTGGCGATACAAAAGTTTGATTTTTGCTAGAGTTATTAGAAATAAGGATCTTGAGTGGCACAATAAGCGATCTAAATGATACATAACTAATATATTTCATATTTGAGTTGACACTTTCTCAGTAAATTACAGATTCTAACAATTTGTTAGGTTGAATCTCATCTAGGATTCGAACCCACACTCTCAGAGTAGGGCGACCCTTAAGCGTAATAAAACTTCCGAGGTTCGAATATCAGTTCGAACTGTTTATGTTCCTTGGTTTGTCAGTACCTATAGGGCCGGTAAGTAGGTCACGTCACTTCGCGAGACTTTAGTACCTCTGGTGACAAACAACGTTTCATACCTTTTCGAATGGTCTCAAGGATGTCAGTTGACAGTAAAGAACCAATACTCCTGGCAGGAATAACAAATCTTTCCGATCTAACCATCCCCGAACTATTACGACTGTTAACAGCTTTGACAGCCAAGCCTGGTTGTACATTTGGTCCGGTCTAGTAAAGTCATATTTGGCGGTTGCGCAATTTGGAACCATGACTTGTTATTGAATACACGCTTGTCATCGGAAATCTGGTACCGGAAGTTAGTTGGGTCATCGCAAGTTGGCGCGCTCAAAGGTAGCGGGGAACTAGCGTAGTACCGGAAGTCCTTGAATTTCGCTAGACGATAAACGTCTATGACCTGTATCACTCAAACCTCGATATCTCCAGGGTATATGTTCCGATAAATCTCCATAAATACCCTGGATGCATCTATGGCTCAGTCCGATAATTTGATTACCTCCCTTTGCTGGCTCCGCATTCTCGCAGTAGCCAATCAGCTAAGCAGCCGTTACGATCGAGCTTGCCAGTGTCGCAGCCGCGAAGGTTTGCTCGCAGTGCGACTCAGATTTTGGGGGAAATCATACAGACAAATTGACAGGTCTGATACTTTAAAAAAATTATATGTAAGACCTCCTTCTACCTCTTTCAAAGTACCTCTGCATCAATTGTGTTGCCAAGTTTAATCGGTTAGATAATTTAAGATGCGAAAGTCAGTTGTGATTGGTACGCTCAACTTCCCAGCGTAGACACCTGATTGGATAAAAAGCCAGCCAAGGGAGGCAATAAAATCATCGGGCCGAGCCGTAGATGCATCCAGGGTTTAGTGGAGATTTATCGTAACGTGTACCCTGGAGATTATCGAGGATGGTATCACTTGGACTGTTCTCCCATATAAAAATGTAAAATGAAATACAGTTCAAAGCAGGTATTACATCAAATTCACTTACAATTAGTTTCATTCATTATTTTATCTCGGGTTTCTTGAATAAAATAGAATTTAAATGTGACTGATTTTCAGCCAGTCCACCTACTTGCCGACCATGTGCGTGGTGTAGCCGTTATCTTGGAGTTTCTCTGACAGGGTACTCTTTTTTGTTGTCAAAAATGATGGGGTGTTACCCTGGATGATCCCGTGCTGAAAAAACATTACGATCAAATGTTACCTTGCAGTATTCCCATCAATGGACGGCGGGTAGCCCTGTAGTTAAAGCATTCATCTAAATACCAAGGCCGGATTACGATTCTCCATAATGGTGTTATGTGTAGTGCCCATTCGTTGGTTTCCCATTACTTTTGAACTCGATAAACATACGACCAAACCGGAAGCATGACAGTGGATATCTTTCACACGCTCTGCGCATGCGCACAGCGAGTTGAAAAGTAATGGGAAACCAATGAATATTTGGTATCCCCCGCAGTCTAACGAATGTTGAAAGCGCATAAGACAACACTCACTCAATGTTGGGAATTTACACGTCTAAGGGATCGTTCATAATTTCTGGCTTGGTGACTAAGAGGTATGATGATGATGAGAGGGGGTGGGTGGTGGGTGGGTTCACCCATTTTGTTCTGGGGAGGTAAGGGGGATCCCCACATGTACATATGGGGGCCATAGCTGTGCCATAGCTGTATTAAGGCATAGGACCTGTGCCAATCATAGACAGTCACGACAGATTTGTGGAGATGATTGGTTGCAATATTCCAGCTATATGGGGACGGTCTATAGATAATCGAGTCTGGACAGACAATCATCATGTGCATCGATCAACATCATGACCATCGGTCTACGAAACTGGGATACGATGACATGTGTCAAGAAGGTCACTGGACGGGCCCTGATCCAGTCTGATCAATAGATTATACACCTTCTCACACGATACCCCTGTTTACCTATCACTTGCCCTTTTTCGTTGACTGCGAAAAGCTCCTCGGTTTGTCACGGAATAATATAGTTAGTCAAGAATGTGTGCCAATTAGCGGCTTCTGTATTCTCGGTTCGAGTGAGCAAAGCATTCTGCATATCTGCTTTCTGCATCTCGAATATAATCGGGGAATCCAAAATTATAATAATGAAGCCGTGCTATTATCTTGCAGCTATCATATGCAAGGCACATACAACCAAAAGGGTGTACTGTCAAGGGTATATGTATGGGTTTGCTTTTACTAGCATCGAAATCTCCGAGTGGGAGATGTCAAGAAACGAGCTGAGTTCTTTGGGAGAGCTGACCTGTGATTAGAGGAACCCACGGCTACTTCATTATGACTGAGAGGTCGAGGACGCTCAGTTTTCACATGATGCGACCTCTCATGGAAACATCCTCAGACTTACACACAGAGGGTATCGTATAGAAGTAAAAATAAATGTCATTTAAATGAAATTCGACCTTGACCACTCAAGGATTATGAGATCAAGGTGGCCAATTTCGAATATTGCATGGCAAATACACAATGCAATTTAGAAGGTGAGGTGAGGTGAAATTGGGTTTAACGTCGTGATTGAGGATATTTCGCTCATGGCCATAATGTGACGACGTGCATGCGTGTGTATGTGTATGTGCGGCTGCATGTACTAGCCCAGACTGAAGCTGGTTTTATAGTGCTAGCTCGATGAGATACCATGCCGCAGTGAAGCATGAATACCCCACTCAGACACATTATACTGACTCCGAGCCGACCAGTCCTTGTTGTACCCATTAATACCGAGCGCCAGGCAGGGACCAACAAGTACCATATTTTAACGTCGTTTGGTATGACGCGGTCGGGGATCGAACCCGCGACCTATCGCTATCCGGGCGGACGCTCTAACCACTACCCCACGGAGGCGGTTGCCATTTAGAAAGTTGTTATATTTGGGATTACCCATTCATAGTAAAGTACAGATTCGAGTACTTTTGTTGGGTTGAGTCCCATCCGCTGAGCGAGTTAGTCGGCTGACTTTGTGTGCTGGGGATTAGGTGCCTGACTCTGAGGGTGTGGGTTTGAATCTTGGATGGGGCTCATCCCAACAAAAGTACTAGAATCTGTACTATACAGAATGTGTAATCCCAAATATAACATATGTTACATTACATGGCAAAGTTGAGGTTAAAAGAAATATATTGTGTGATGACAGATTAACTATAGACCTGTTTGTTTCTTACCTACCTGTAGTCCCAGGTGATACGGGTAGTAGCCAGTGAGAAGGGCACCCCGTGTTCTGAAACATAACAGATTACTGGATAATCAACACTGACAAATCAACATTCTCAAGATCAGAAGGAAACAAACACACCAAGGACAACGATGCTCGTGATAAGGGAGGGGTTTGTTGCTAGTACGAGAATAGTTTTCTGAACACACCCAACGTGTTTATGAACCTAAAATGTGTATGTTTGTATTTTTATCCTGAGTGTTAATGTGATCCGTCCATCCCCGCGGACACAGTAAACTGACGCCGACACGATCAGTCCTAGTTGTATCTGTCCCCTTAATGCCCATCCTCAAGCACGGTGTCATCGAAATAATTATAGTATCCTGTTTTATTTAAATATTGATTATCTACTGAATTATGTGTACCAAATGAACATTTACTGAATACGTAGATAGATACCAGATTTTAGCATCGTCTTATGAAGCTTCGGCGTTTAATCTTCGTCTTGTACACAATACATGCCGGAAAAGATACAGACATTTTATTTTATTTTATTTTTTATTTCATTATGTTCTCATTTTATTTCATTTAATTTGATTTAATTTGACGAGGCCAGCTTACGGAGAGCACACGGGCATGACGTAGGATGAGTTGAGAATGACGCCGTTGTTGGCCAGATCCTGCAGGTTTGGGGTCTTAATGTCGATGTTGTTCCAGCTGACGTCATTCCAACCTTCAAATGAAAAAGCAGACATATTTCTTTAAATATTCTTTTCTGATATTTTCATACAATGGACAAACAAGCAAGAAATGGTATTCATCTTCTACCTCCTCATAAGAACAATATTTACACAATCGGATTTCCCTTAGTATTCCAAAATGTCTACCTTTTTCTAATAGAAGATCCTGAGAACTACATCTGAAACGGGATAGTTCTGTTCGGAATCTCTTTTAGCCTTTGCCTTAAATCATGAATGAAATGATGGGGGATACAGGATCCGCCTATGTACTCCCTACCAGAGTACCCTGTATCTAGGTCTCCTACAGAAATATGGCTAAAAATGATAAATGCGGCATAAAACATTATTAACTTATTCCCTTTACAAGTATGTACGTTTTAAAATATTGGTCCCAGATTAGGTTATTATCTACCTCACTTAAATACCAAGACACTCCCTTTCAGTCTTGTTTATACACGAAAGCGCCGCCGCTGTGCATTCTCTAAAGCTTTTGACATTATGGTTTACTCAAAACACAAATGATCCTCCTCCTCCCTTGTCCCCCTCTTTCTCTCCCTCCCTCCCTCTCCCTTAGAGTACTGGGGTCCACATTCAAGATTTTCATGGAATGTGTTTGTAAGAGGCAATAAAGCCAATCTCACTGAGTTTCCTAGGACACTACCTGACGTCATGTATGTGTCTAGTCGTGTACCTGTGTAAACAATTGTCAACCAATAATTCAACTAGTGAGGGTGTCATTAAATACTCTGTGCATTCAAGTGCATCTCAGTAAACCCACTTTGTTGTCTGGACGTTTTTCAAAATGACACTTAAACAGGGGAAAGCTAACATTAAATGTACATAAATGTATCATTTTTTCCTTATCTTTATAGACCTGCACTGCACTGAACCTGTCGTTAACCTCTATTACCAAATCAAATGTGGTCCGGGAGATATTCGAGACAGATCTCTCTCTGTCCTTGACTGTGTTTTTGTTGAATATCGAAAACTTCAGTCAAACTATAGACATGGAACTTAATTAAGCACCTCCTCTTTTGGAACAGTGATATGGTCAGAAAGGTGTCAGGACTTTCATATTATTAGAAGGGCAGAAATGTCTGATTATCTGATGGAAGATTGTATAAGTGACTACAGGAAAAACAACAGAGTGAGTGAGTTTAGGTTTACGCCGCTTTTAGCAATATTCAAGCAATATCACGGCGGGGGACACCAGAAATGGGCTTCAAACATTGTACCCATGTGGGAAATCGAACCCGGGTCTTCGGCGTGACGAGCGAACGCTTTAGCCACTGGGCTACCCAACCGCCCTGAAAAACACCAGGATATGAGCAATATTTTAATTTGTACCCTCTGTACGTGAGAAATGCCAACACTGATGATCTTGTGGAAAGGTAGTTCACTGAATAAGTCCACACGCTGAGATAGTGTTGGATCTCGCTGAGTTCATGCGACTCCAGACTCTGGGACGACCATCCGTAACATGAAGCAGAAACCTGCTTTCGTCTGACCAACGGATTCGTCTCCAGCGCCAGTCAATTAAAACACCACTAATGATGTTGCCTTTTATAGTCATGAGTCACAGTTGGACGCCTGATGACCTTTCGGGACCTCGGTTGACAAATGTCTGTTGGGCACCCCGTGTTGCTTCAAACGAGTGCTCATAGTGAAAGGTTCACGCCTCACATAACGGGTCTGATTGCGATCTTCCCTTGGAGTGGTCTTCCTGAGTTGCCCTGGCCTTGGTTGATCCTTTACAGCGCCTGTTTGATGGTGTTTCCAGACAAGTCCTCTGATGACCGAGTGTCAGTGACCAAGATGAGGCCCAATACCCTTGAATGACATGCCAGCTACATGCATAACCACTATCCCAATGAAAGTCTTCTCGCCACGTTAAACGTGCATGGATGAAACGGGTGACATATTCACAAGTTTCTACCAGACAGATATCAGTGGGTAGCATGATTCACATGCATCCGAGGTGCGTTTTTGCAAACTATTTCAAACTGAAACGTTGTTTTTCATTACCTGAAATGTGCTACTAAACAATGGCATCATTGACATATCATCATAGCTGCATCCCTGTGATGAAATATACATTCGGGGTGCTTAAGTTCCATGTGTAATATGTTGCGCCTCTACAGAACTAAACATTGCTACATTTAGATAACATTACATTAACTTTGTTTCCCCCAAAGAACTCACCCAATCATTGTACTCTAGAGAGCTTAGCTTAAGCATTGTTGCCCCCAAAGAACTTCACTTAAAAAGTAATGATTCTAAAGAACTTTACTGAAACTATGTTGCACCCAAACAGTGCTAAACATTGTGCATCAAGATGATAATAAATGAGTATTAGATGAGCCTCAACAGAACTTCACTTAAACCTTTTTGCCTCAACAGAACTTCACTTAAACTGTGTTGCCTCAAACGACATTTTTTTTCAATTACATTTTCTTGCCTGAACAGAACTTCACTTCACTTCACTTTGTTGTAGCTACACAACTTTGCTTAAACTATGCTGCATCTACAGAACTTCACTTAAACTTTGTTGTAGCTACAGACCTTCACTTAAACTTTGTTGTAGCTACAGAACTTCACTTAAACTTTGTTGTAGCTACATACCTCCACTCAAACTTTGTTGTAGCTACAGAACTTCATTTAAACTTTGTTGTAGCTACATAACTTCACTCAGAAGTTTGTTGTAGCTACAGAACTTCACTTAAATTTTGTTGTAGCTGCAGAACTTCACTTAAACTTTGTTGTAGCTACAGAACTTCACTTAAACTTTGTTGTATCTACAGAACTTCACTCAAACTTTGTTGTAGCTACAGACTTTCACTCAAACTAGGTTGTAGCTATGGACCTTCACTCAAACTTGTTGTAGCTAAAGACCTTCACTCAAACTTTGTTGTAGCTACAGAACTTCACTCAAACTTTGTTGTATCTACAGAACTTCACTTAAACTTTGTTGTATCTACAGAACTTCTCTTAGATTTGTTCACGTCATAAATTTCATCTCTATTTTGCCTGTAATGTAATATGTAAACTGTTCAGGCAGATAATTAAGCCTTTTAACCTTCTCTGGCGTAAACGTTGTGTTGAATAGTCATAAATGAAATAAGATAAAATTCCTACAGCCGAAATATATAACATTACATGCAAATTTAATAATGTATTCATTGTTGTCAAAAAAGGACGCAGGTCGTAAAACCTCACGATAAAATAAAACCCATTTAATCACCTGTTCTCCTTCTTCTAATAATCAAAAGGTCCATTATAGAAAAACAACTACACAACACATCAGGGTTAGGTTGTTACAATGCATATGCGTAACAACGTCAGGACTATTGGTGTTGTTGTTGTTGTGTATGTGTGTGTGTGTGTGTGTGTGTGTGTGTGTGTGTCAATCGCTTAATGCGCCCTGTAGACCGATTTAATCTCACGGTAACGCAGTGAAATGGTCCCACACAGAACGCTTTAATCATGAAATGATGTAGTTGTTGGATACAGTGAAAACTTGAAGTGTAGATGGAGAAGATGTCACTTGATCGATTCGAGACATTCCATTCTGATAGTCAGCCTGGTACACACCACTGCAACGGTGGGTTATTCATTTCGTGGACACCTGGTGTCATCAGGTGTTTCAGTCATTTATTCATATAATTGTCCCCGCTATTTTCCATTTTCTCCCAGTGGAATCTGGGTCGACAGCCAATCGTGATTATTCTGTTTCCGTTGTCTCGAGCAACATTTACAGTGAGAGAGTGAGTATGGTTTTACTCAGCATTTAGCAATATTCCAGCAGTATCACGGTGGGGGACACCAGATATTAGCTTCACACATTGTACCCATGTGGAGAATCGAACCCCGGTCTTCGGCGTGACAACGAACGCTTCAAGCTCTAGGCTACTCCACCGCCCCCAACATTTACAACTGATATAGTACATATCTGTGTTATCCCTAGGAACTTCGAGCTGTGAGGTTTCGATGTTTCAATATAACAGATTATAATGAAAACAAACTCTTCAACTGATGTTTAATCAACAACAGACTACACACTGATCTTGTACAATATTGACATAGTCGAGTGCATGAAATGTGACTTCTCTGTGAATACACATATCCCCCCTCCCCAACCCCCAACCCTTTTGTCCTGGAAGTTTATTAAATGACCATTGAAACTCCCGTGAAAATGAAGTAAGCACACAAACCCCACCCTCTCTCTCTCTCTCTCTCTCTCTCTCTCTCTCTCTCTCTCTCTCTCTCTCTCTCTCTCTCTCTCTCTCTCTCTCTCTCTCTCTCTCTCTCTCTCTCTCTCTCTCTCTCTCTCTCTCTCTCTCTCTCTGTATCGGTCCCTGTTACACCCATGTTGTTATTAGTTATTTTCATATTAAATGCTATCTATGTATTACTGCATACGAGTATCTCTATATATACTCACCCAGATCATCAGCAACAATCAGCACGATATGAGGTGGATTAGTGGAGCGCACGCTCACTACGGAGCAAACAACGAGCCAACAGAACTTCAACATGGTCGTCATATTGTGGCGACTCCCTTGCTTGGTAAACCCTGTTATATATGCTGCAGGCGAACTAGGTGAACTAGACCCAGAGACGTTATAAGCTCACCAGACCGTGGAACAGGTGTGAGATTGTTATCGAATAAGTGGACATAAAATCCCTGTTGTTCATACATCCTACGTCAATGGGTTGATGATGATGAAAAAGATTTGAACAACTGTCAAAAGCGGCCCAAGGACAAATTGATAGACTCTTTATAAACGATAGCTATGAAATTAGGGAAAGGATTCAGTGAACATACGTAATTAAGAAATATCATGACTTTTATGATATTGTTCATTTTCATTAAATGACATGTTTCGAGAACTCCTGTTGTTGCCCGTACGTTTCAGCGAAAACCACTCATTTCACCATAGCCTTGCTCCAAGGCTGTACTGAGTGCTAAGCCCATGGATGTATAGTACTTCTATCCCTTAAAGAGGCAAATCTAGACAAGCGGACAGATATTTTTTAGAAATTATCATTTTAACAATTAATTATTACATTAGAGACTTGTGCAAGTCTAATTTCACAATATTTTGCCATAAACGCCAAATGCAATCTGTTACAACCAATAATCCAGACCGGTGATTTTCTGGCGATGATGCTTATCTATTTTATAATAATGTTATAACATTAAGCACCTTAACATTTGAAACGCATCGGCGAAATAAGAACATGATGATGATGATGATGATGATGATGATGATGATGATGATGATGATGATGAGTGATGGCGGTCACTCAACAACGAATAACAATTGTAAGTGATGATGTCTATGAAGATGTGAATCATTTAATTAACAGGATGCCTAGGGCCATTTGATCCTAGTCACCCATTCATGACGGTGCAGTTATCGACGGTCATGATAACGAGGACACATTGACTACAGCGTAGATGGCAGAGTATGAGTAGTATTGGGGGGTGTCAGTTTCCCTGAACCGGATCATAGTAAGTGTCATTGGTGTTTATCTCTCAAAGTGGCAGCCTGTTACACAAATGTATATCATTCGCTACTTGATAAAACCATAAGCTTTAAGGAAGGAAGACAATATATCGATGAACAACTTCTTTATTACAATGAGAGCGATGTTTCGGTGTAGGCTATGACACTGTTATCAAGCATGTGATGAACAGAATGAGGACAGAGAAGCATATATACAAGTGTGTGGAGATGTTTGTACAGTAGTAGTAGTAGTAGTAGTAGTAGTAGTAGTAGTAGATTACCTAATGACACCATTTCTAGCTAGGTGATACTCTAGCCCGGCCTTCCAGATACAAAATCGTACTTGTTGTCTCTCTACTTGGCGCTCAGCATTAGGGGGTAAATCAAGGACCAGAGTCAGTATCGTGTGTCTGAGTCCGCTATCCATGTCGGTGAGTAAATGTGTCGGTTGTAAGTCGCCTTAAGCAATATCCCAGCAACATCACGTCAGGTGACACCAAAAATACGGCCTGTAAGTCTCACGAGGCGCTACTTCCGGTACTAAGTTGGTTCCCGGCTCCCTTTGCGCGCGCCAACTTGCGATATGCGATACGGGGCCCAGCTTACTTCCGGTACCAGATTTCCGGTGACAAGCGTATATTCAAGAACCGGTTCTGGCTCCAAAGTGTTCGACCGCCAAATATGACTTTACTAGACCGGATGAAGTGTACAGCCATGCTTGGCTCTCACACTGTCGACAGTCGTAATAGTTGGCAAATCGGGGATGGTTAGATCGAAAATTTGTTATTTGTTATAAGGATCATGGGCTCCTTACTGTCAACTGACAACCATGAGACCATTCGGAAAGATAACGTTGTTTTGTCATCGGAAGTGGTAAACAGCGTAAGATCTCGCGACGTGCCGTGACCTACTTACCGGCCCTATTGCTTCACACATTATAAGGGGCGGCGAGGTAGCCTAGTGCACGTACTTAAAGCGTTTGTTCGTCACGCCGAAGACCCGGTTCGATTCCCCACATGGGTACAATGTGTGAAGCCCATTTCTTGTGTCCCCCGCCGTGATATTGCTGGAATATTGCTAAAAGAGGCGTAAAACTAAACTCACTCACTCACTCACTCATACATTGTAGTCATGTTTGGAATAGAACCCGGACCTTCGCGTGATGAGCAAAAGCTTTATCCACTAGACTATCCCACCGTCCCCTACCCATGTTGAATAATGGCATGGTAAAGTAGTGCTTTAGCACGAATATTGTACAAACAATCACACACATACGTGTAAGCACGTCTCTAAAATACACTTATCTTGTTTCTGTTCTAATAGTGAGTTACAGTTTTACGATGTGTCGGCACTATGTTAGCTGAGTAGCGACGAGTAAACATCGTTATAATAGAGCATTGATAGTTCATATGAGCTGTGACTTGTCGTGCGGAACTACAACGTTAATCTTTTTCTGAACACAAACTTTCTAAATACAGTGGTTACAAGGCAACGCTGACATCTTCACACATAGTTCTTATTTTAGTTAGCCGAGAAAAACAGGAAATCCAGGAACAGCTTCAACACTGTAGTATGCTAACAAGATCTTTTAGTTATAGATGATGTTGTTTTATTACTAGCAGCGTGTGTTCTTACAGGTGTACTGGTAGAAGAGAGTGAGTGAGTGGGTGGGTCTAGTTTTACGCCTCACTCGGCAATATTCCAGCTATATAGCGGCGGTCTGGGCCAGATAATCCAGTGATCAAAAGCATGAGCACCGATCTACGCAAATTGGGATATGATAACATGTGTCAACCAAGTCAGCGAGCCTGACCACCCGGTCCATAGATTACTGAAGATTAATTCTAACCGGGGTCTTCAAAAGTTACAGCAGAAGCAGAGATAGTAATAACTGTAGAAGCAGCCCGACGGTCGGGTTAAACTTTAGACATGTATATGAAGATATATTGTGGGCAGAGGTAAGTTTTGGTCAGGGATGGCAAGTTTTACATCTAACCAGCCCTGTGGTCTGGCTGAATTTTTGGGGAGTTTCATACCCTGATCTAAGATATGCTTTCCTCCAGCATCATGCTGACGAGAAAGACACATGTCGCCGTATCCCAACTGCGCAGATCGATGCTTATGCTGTTAATGGCTGGATTGTCTGGTTCAGACTCGATTATTTACAGACCGCCGCCATATAGCTGGAATATTGCTTAGTGCGGCGTAAAACTAAACTCAGTCACACTAACTCCATGGTCATATGGTGCGGTCCCAGTGGCTACCTCGGGAGCTCGACCGACTCGACCTCGCAAACCACTCGACCTGTCTCGACCTGGGGGGTATCTCGACCTCACGACGACCTCAAAACGACCTCATAAGGACCTTTACGGCCTTAGTTCGATTTTAGTTCGACTTCAGTCGGCCAAGTTGAGAAGACCTATACTCGACCAGCTAAACCTGTATATCGACCTAATTTCGAATTGATTTCGTCCCAAGTCGACCGACCCGACCTCAACCGGAGCGACTGGTTCTCGACGGAAATTCCATTTTTCTGCCGAGTAGACCATTGGCTTCCAAATTGTATAAATTACAGGGTGCATTTTCACCAGGTACCCATTCACTTAGAGGACTACCTGGTGAGCCCTGAGAAGCGAAGACTGCTTACCATTTGGATGCAATTCTTCAAAGGCATTTAGAAGTTGGTGTAGTTATACAAGACAAACAGCTTTTTGATTTATTTTACACAACGTTTCTTGGCTGCTTTTTGCCCCTTCATCAGGTTGATGACGAAGGGGCAAGAACCAGCCCAGAAGCGTTGCGTAAAATAAATCAAGAAGTTGTTATCCATAAGATTTGTCTTGTATCATTTGGGTATAGATAGCCTGGCACCTGCTTGAACTGGTGGATGACCTAGAGAATGCCAACCCTCCTCCAAAGCCGTAAGCACACTAATCCCATCCTTGACGCCTTCAAAGCTGAGTATCGGTCAGATGAGTGGGATCAGAGCAGATGGAATACTGTAGCCCGTGCTTTCAAGGAAAGGTGGCAATTTCCATATTGCATCGGTGCGTTTGATGGCAAGCACATACGCATCATGAAGCCTCCCAAAAGCGGGTCCCTCTTCTACTACTACAAGAACTTCTTCTCTATCGTCTTGCTGGCACTCGCGGATGCCGACTACAGGTTCCCGTGGGTCAGCGTCGGGGCCGAGGGATCAGTATCAGACGCTGATAGTCTTCAACCATTCACGAGATCAGATGGAGGGCGATGACCTTGTATTCCCCGTATGGTGTGCCATACTTCATCATCGGCGACGATGCCTTTCCAATCCGCCCCTGGATGATGAAGTCCTTTTCCATGCGTCAGATGGACCCCGATCAGCAGATCTTCAACTGCAGGTAATTATTCTTTTCCATAAATGCCTAAATCAAATTATAACTTAGTATCTTTGGGTGTATGCAATATTATATCAAAGGTTTTGAATGTTGAATGCATTTGATTGTGACAATGTTTAATTTGTGACTTTTGCAGACTGTCTCGGGCCAGACGAGTTGTGGAGAATACCTTCGGGATTCTAACTATGAGGTTCCAGATCCTCCTCGGCTCCCTAAATAGCACTACAGACAGAGCTGAACAGATAACCCTGGCCTGCGTCACTTTACACAACATGCGCAGAACGAGGAACCGGAACAGTCAAATGAACCTCATAGACCAGGGGAATGAGGACTGTTCACTCACCCCCGGCGAGTGGTGCTCCTGCACACATCTGCTTAACCGGGGTGGGAGGAATGTTACCCCACTAGATGGAGCCAACCAAAGAAACTATTTGAAGTACTATTTCATGGGCCCAGGAGCTGATTCATTGGCAAGAGAAGATGATATCCAAATGACTTTAAAGTGTACTCTATTATTCAGGACTACTTCATTTACAAAGGAACTCTTGTTTGTTTTTTATTTACACTATTTACAATTGGTAAACACAATGAAAAACTTACTACATACATGATGAACAAAACAAACTTTATTACAATCGTACAAGATGAATTTACATT